GAAATTTCAGTCTTTGTATTTTCTTTATTTCCTAAGTGATGCTTTGTTTTGTTCATTTAATGCACATTCTCATGCATATAATCGTGCATGCTTTAATTATATGTTAATGCATCACTTCTATGTCAACATGTTCAGTTCCCCTTTTTCATATAAACATTCTTGTAAAACAAAAAAATAAAATCAGACTTTTGTTATGTAAGAGGGAGGTGGGGAGCACTACTGTAATAGTGTTAGAAGATGGGTATATAATTATAAAGATTTTTTATTACTAGTGTTTCTAAAGTGCTATTGTCGCCGGCCTCGCCTTATATATATCTCCTTGTCTTTGTGGCACTCACTGGCAATTATGTGCTCCGTTCGCGAGAACTGGTCCTTATGAAAGTAACCGGGGTCCCTGATATGGCATAATTGGCATGTCTGTATTCTTGCGCCCAGCACATCCATTTCGGGACAGGCAGTATGTCCGGATGTCAATTGTGGCGCCTAATTTGGTCCCCTGTGGTTTGGTCCATATCAGATCCATCTGTGAGCTGACGAGAATCTGTCTCATGATTTTCGCCCTCAGCGTCTACCTCCATATCCTCGGGCTGCGTAACAATGGCGAGCTTTATTTTTTTACGTGGTAATAAAAAGTATGAACCTACAAAAACCAATATATTGTGCTATTTTACGCAAAATTTGCTGTTTAATCCTGCCTTGCCAAGGTTTGTTTCAATGGTTTTATCCATTAAAAACTCATCATTTTAGGGTGTGCATTTATTTATCTACTAAAACTGCACATACATAAAATAATTTTAATAATGGGTGTGAATAATAAAGTGAACATTACTTGGCAAAATTGCGCAATAAATTATATTTCAACAGTTATGTCAAGGGCTATACTTACGCTCACTTACTATGACCCACCGCATACGTTGCTATGTCCATCAAAATGTTTATACAATTAGTGACATCAAATGACCAATTTTTGGCAACACGTGCGGATTGAACAAATAGCGGCATGCATTGATTGGGTGCATTCGTTTTTTGGCTATAAAATATGCGCACACTAATATTTTTATTAATTGACAATACATGTGTAAAAAATTATTAGCAAAAGAAGCTGCTTGAAGAAAATTGATGTGCACAGATTTACTGCGAAAGACGTTATCCATGCTTGCTTGCAATAAATGCGAGCATGTATATAACTCCAATTAGCTTACAAAAATTAAATGACACACATACACTGACAGCTGACTGTGTTTTGAGAATAATTAATCGACACATGTGCAAACAACGCTCAGCAGCACTCATTTTGAATCGTTTTGCTCGACATCATATTATTGCATTTCCCCTCCTTTATATGGCACGGCCATGCCCATACTATTGCTTGTTTTTGGATTAATATTATATTCATTTTTATTCGAAAAATTAACAAAACGCCACCTGCAAACTTTACTTTTTTCCGTTCATTTTTCAATATTATCAACAACATCAAACCTACAAAAGATATGATCCAGTCTGTACTTATATTCAACCAGCTAGGAAAACCGCGCCTTGTTAAATTCTATGAGCCTTTGGACGCGTCCATTCAACAGACCCTCGTGCGTGAAATCCATACCCTCGTGTCCAAACGCCCCGACACCTTGTGCAATTTTCTTGAATCAAGCCAATCAGTCAATGGCGCGCGCATAATTTATCGGCACTACGCCACACTCTTTTTCGTTTTTCTTGTCGACTCTTCCGAAAGCGAGCTGGGAATACTGGATTTGATACAGGTGTTTGTGGAGGCCCTGGATAGGGTTTTTGAGAATGTGTGCGAGCTGGACTTGATTTTCCATTTCGATGAGATACACTATGTTTTGGCCGAGGTTGTGTCGGCCGGGATGGTAGTGGAGACCAATTTGAAGGAGATTTCGAGGGCGGTGACCGAGGCTAAGCGGATGGCCAAGCCTGTGCAAGAAGGATCAAGGCTGGGCATTGGAGCGCTCAGACGTGGATTCGCTTGACGGTTACGTTTTTTATTTTACTGTCTCACGTACTCGATGTAAACACATAGTATATCAAACGGTCGGCTAATTCACAATTACTAGCTCTTGATATCAAGGCTAATACGCCAAAGAAAATAATGAGACTACAAATATGAAACAACTGTATTTTATTGCCCTTTTATGCTTTCAGCCACAAGCACCAACAGCGCGCACCCACTCTTGTCCATTTTTTTTAATTTGCTTTGTATTATTTCAATGTCATCAAAGATTGAGCGCATTAACTCCAACAACCATGACTGGGGCTCCGATGCTGCCGATCATTTTTCAATGAAGGAGTACTTGGCAGATTCAGCTCACTTTAGTTCGACAGACCAAAAGCTGGACAAGTATTGTCGAAAAATTGACACTCACATCCTCATATACGCAATTGTGCTTTGCATCTTGGGCCAAAGCGACCGCGGCTCCATTGGTGTCGCCAAGGTGGTCGGTCTAGAAAAAGACCTTGGAATGGTCAAGAATGACTTCAACATTGCTACGACGCTATTTACGGTTGGGTACCTTTCGCTCGAAATGTTTTCCAACTTTTTGCTCAAGCGCCTGGGCGCATCTGTGGTGTTGCCTACATTGGGAATACTCTGGGGCATAGTGTGTGCATTTCAGGGAGTCATTAAAACAAAAACACAACTCTACATTATGCGACTGTTCTTGGGAATGGCTGAGTGCGGATTCACCGCGGGTATTCTGCTTATAATGTCGTTTTTCTACCCCAAAAGCAAGCTGACTACGCGCGTCGGGTTTTTCTACTTGAGCTTTCCGTTGGCCAACGTGTTTTCTGGCCCTCTGGCTTTTGCCTTGTCGCATATTGACCATCCGACAATAAAACACTGGCAGTGGGTGTTTATTCTCGAAGGGCTCATAACTGTCCCCGTGTCTGCCCTTGGCTACTACATTCTTCACGATCATCCAGAAAAGTGCTCATTCCTGTCTCAAGACGAAAAGTCACTCATTGTGGCATACAAGCGCCGGGAGGGCACCCTGGGTGGGTCCGAGCAGCTATCAATGCGGGATACAAAGCGGGCACTGATGGACTGGCAGCTGTGGTGTATGACATTTGCAAATTTTGCCGTCTGCACAGGGAGTCACACTTTGTCGGTGTTTGCACCCGAAGTTATCAACGAGCTGGGATTCTCGCCCATGCATTCTCAGATAATGAGCGCCCTGCCATCCCTCTGCGGTGCTGTTGCTATTTTATTAGCCGGAAAAACTGTCAAATTGTGTCGGAGCCATTGGCTCGCTGCATGCCTAGCCTTGGGCTTCTCTCTCCTGGGCAGTATACTTATGTTGGCCACGCTTAATGTGCCTTTGCGCGTCTTTGGGCTCTGTTTGCTTGGTACTGGATCGTTTGCTGGCTTGGGCATTCTGCCGGGATGGGTTATTACAGCAAATTCGCAGACCGTTTCCAGCTCGACAGTGGCATCTACACTAACTGTATTTATGGGCGCTACTGCAAGTTTTGTGTCGGCAAATGTATTTTTGAACTGGGATGCGCCAAGGTTTGTAATCGGCCATACAGTGAATGTGGCTCTTCTCACCCTGGGGATTCTGGCATGTATCGTGACGCGGATAAGCATGGGTTTCAGAAATCGTCAGTTTGACCAACAGAAAAGACAGATGAAAATCAAAATCGAAATTGAAAGCATAAAAGCTTTTCGTTTTGTATACTGAAAATAATATTTCAATCCTTTTAATTTGTATTTGTTTTAGTTGGTGAGTGTTTTGTGAACAATTTATAAAGGTTATAATACAATGCATATCTTCAGTCTGTGCAACAACATTTAGCAGAGCCATCTTTACAGGGCCAGAAACCCGGGCCGAGACCCATCGGCATGCATGTATGTATAGGATAGATGTGGGACGTCACTCCGACGCCCTGATCCAATTCCATCGATTTCAAAACCGTGTGGCATTCATAATTGAAACTGTTTTTGCTATAGAATGATAACTGCATATATTGATGCAATTTTGTGGTACATCAACATAGCATTTGTTATGATAGTTATTTACATGTGAGCGGCACTGGAGATTTTGCACACTTGTGTTGAAATTCTGGGAGAGACGTCCTGTGAACGTGTAGAGATAAAATGCTACGTATAAAAGTGTATTGAATATATAAATGCTATGCACTGGAAAAAGGTAAGGAACATATTGCTCTGTTTAGTCATTGTGTGACTTATTAATGATTGTATATTTGGCTGGAATAGCCTATCGTGATCTATAAAAATGTGGGTCTAAATCGATATATTCAAGTCTTAAAAATTACTTAAGGAGCTGGAAAAAGGGGGCAGCGCTGTAAACATCATGGTGTTCCTTGTTGTCAGCCAGCAATAACAGAAATGTGCATAGTGGCCATGAGGGCGATCTTGGTTCTTGAAAAGGGAAGATAGTAGCCTGGAATGTGTGTTGGGCACCACATCACTCCCTACGAGACTGGTCGCTAATCTTGTCCCAGTACTCCTGAATCAGATCCAGTGATTCAAAGTTGCTTATTGGCTCCCAGGTGCTGTCGCCATTAATCCAGTCAATTAAGTAGCGGATACCACCACGTGTGTTCTTGTGCCCAGTGATGGCTAACACCTCGACATGTGTTTCATCAAAGTCGGGCGCTGACGCAAGAGGAATAAGCTGTGACGTCATATAATTGCGCAACAGTGGTTCACATGTCATGTCCTCCAGCTTGTAGGTGCCAGGTGCTACTACAGCGACAATGGGTAAGGACCAGTATGCTTGGCCTCACGTTTGTGCATGTGCTTGCCGCGGATAAGGACTGCTGTTCCAACCTCAAACTCCATTACCTTGTGTCTGTTCTTGAATCGTGCAGTTTGCTTGTCATTAGTGACAGCTGTGTGCTGCGCCACTGTTATAAAGAGAGTGCCTCGCATGCTGAGTGCACGTTCACGTAACTGCTCGATCTGTTCAGTGGTTGCCTCCACATCCAGCAGCTCTTTATCAGTGTGGTCGGCAAGCATGTTTGGCTCACGCCCAAACATGGCAAATAAAGGCGTAAAACCATGACGTGGAGAAATCTTGGTGTTCATCGCATATTGTGCGAAAGGAACACAGCGGTCCCATGTTGCTTTGCGTCCTGCCACCAGCTTGCTGATAACTTGGCTGGCTGTAATGGAACTTATAGTGGATTTCTGAAATATATATATATTTAGTACGAATAAGGGAGCTTAAAGAGCTCCGCTTATTTATTCAACACTATCGACAGTGAAAATAGAAATCGTGATCATAAACAATCACAATTTCAAATAATCGTAATTTCACAATTGCAAATTGTCACGTGACATTGTAATAATTGATGTCACAGTATATACCATTGGAGATCAGATATTACCTGCCCAAGTTCGTTCGCACTTTGGTCAAGACAAATTTATTACTCTTATCTTCTGCAAAACTGGTATTGTTCACGCCAACCTCAACATCAAACCGCGCACTGCCAATAGTGAATACTTTGTCAAGAATGGCATTGATCCCGTATTTGCCAAGTGTAAAAAATGCACAAGAACGCCGACCCAGCAGAATCGTATTTCACCAGGACAATGCACCACCACCTCACAAACCAAAACGTACGTTGTACCACATTTTGCAGATTGTGATGAAACAACTTGAAGCAGTACCATACCAGGCCTAGCGACTTGTTTTTAATGCGCGGAAAAATCCAAATCTCACAAGCTCAGAGGTCTCAATTTAAAGGATATTCGAGCGGTGAAAAATGCATGGCTGTGGTACCAAAAAAGCACCGTGTCACGTAATCATTGAAGGTAGCCAATCACCGCCTAGGCGAATATTTGTTGTTTCGCGCAAGGCTTATAATAAGTCCTCGCGGACGCAAAAAACTAGTCGTTTTTGGTTTCAGTTTAGTTATAATTGAAAGAAAATACATTGACACGCTTAAAAATAGCTGTCTCATTGCTGACAATTCGCGACACGAACTCATGCAGAAACCCAATGCACCATGGGGACATTCCCTGGTCATCCTGGCGGACACATGCAGTGATGACATCGACAGCGCCCAGCTCCAGCAGCTGCACCATCTGTGGATTTGCCATCTCCATTTCGTTTTCTTCTGCTGCTGCCAGCCGATATGCCATGAGAAAAGTACACAGCCGCACGAGACTCTACACCGGCATGCGCAAAAGCTCAAGCTCAGACATTGGCTGGCGTGCGACACCGAGCAATGCAGACAGAAATACCAGGTCGATCATCCGCCGGTGGTACTCAGTGCGCAGCGCAAACTGCTTTGCCATAGCCGCACATAACGACACAAGCACAGCGTCTAGCTGCTGTCTCTGCTTGCTGCTGCCTCGAGCCAAGACATTGGCTGACTGCAGAAGTGTTTCGCTGAGCACCTCAAGAAACCCGCAGCCAGCTGCCTGCCGCATGTGCCGCTTGGATACTGCCGCGTCTGATGTGTCTAGCAGCCCGAGCAGCGTGGTGGCTGCCCGCATTGCCACTTCTTTCTCCCTAGGCGCGTACATAGCGTTCACCAGCACCTCAATTCCGCCAGCCCAAATCACCTTGCCGATCCGCTGCAGCATCATCACCAGCACCTGTAGCAACACAAATGTCCTCAACCGGCCCTCCTCCTCTGCTGCTGAACTGCCCAGGGCCTGCGCGACTATCAGCTGCACTATCTCTCGCCACATGGCCATATCGAGCAGCAGCTCAGATGCAATATCCCACAGCTTAAAGTTGTCTGAATGCAGCACCAATTATGCCAAGAGATTAGCCATTTCAAGCGTCTGAATGTCCAATTCTGCCTCATTGTCCGCACTCCCTTTTGGGATTTATTGGTCCTGGAATATCAGGCGTGTCGCTGTTGCTGTCTTTGGCTGTGTGCAGCAGAAATCTAACTCATACTGTGATTGGTCTAAAAGATGCGAAAGTACCTGGTATGTGCCGAGTGCTGCTCCGACGCCAATTGCGAGGTGGTACCAGCTATCGTCTATGGCAGTGAAAAACAATATTGAAAGTGTATAAAAAAGAAATAATAAAATGTGAATTGTGAATTGGAAAGGAAAGGAAAGGAAAAATAAAGTAAGAAAGAAGAAAGAATAACGTTAAATTGAAATCATTTGGCAAAATAACAAAAATCGAAAATTATGGATGAAATCAACCATGTTCAAGTAAAATTGGCCAATGTGCGAGTTTAAAAGGATGTTGTTTACAGTTAAAGTGATTGGTGAAAGGTGATCGGTGGGTTGGTGAAAGGTGATCGGTGGGTTGGTGAATCTGTAAATAAAAGAGGGACAGACAAGAGTTTTAATCTTTATTAAACGTGAAGAAAATATGAAGAAAATGTATAATTTTATCTTTTGCAGTTAATTTTTTGGGTCGTAAAAAGATTTATTAAAAACAACAAAAACCTAAAGAGCTAGCTTCTTGAATGACCCAGCATTGATCTCGTCCTCGGCTGGTCGCTTAAGCTGGCCATTATCCTCTCTGAGGAGCTCAATTGCCTGAGGATGCATAAATCTGGGAGCAGCATCCCAGTTAGCCTGTTGTTTAAATGTACTGTCCCGCCAGAGCTGGTGGCTAATGTACTGGTTTCCTGGTTCAAACAAGAACTGGCGCATTGAGTGGAATAGGTTCCTGAATATCTTCCCTGGATTTCCTATCCCAAACAATTCCAGATACTTTTCCTCAACCATCATGATGCTGTACCGACTCAAAGCCAGGCTTTGGTTGTCCAGAAATTTGAACCTCTGAACGTCATCCCTCTTAGTGCCAGCTGGACGCACTGCGTCCATAACGACACAGAGAACACTCTCCAGGTCATCAAGGATTCCCTGGATGGGGCTGCTGAGCATAGGAATGCCCATGAAAAGCGGCGTCCCTGTAAATGGGTCCTTGGCCACCTCCACCTGTCCCACTGTCGTCGCATTGAACCCCCACTGCTTGGCAATATCAATGTGATTGGGTTGAGTTGGGCCAGTGTCCCTGGCAGCATCCTCAGCAGTGCCCCAGCCAATGACCTTGGCACAGCTCCAGTCAATGACATACACCTTGTTGTTTTTGACACACACGTTCCCTGCTGAAATGTCCCTGTGCAGGACACCAGTTTCACTTGCCTGGGCAAGACACAAGGTTAGCTGCTCGACAAAGCCAGAAACCAGCTTGTCTTTCTGATTGTCGGCCTTGTCTTTCAGATACTTGGCTATTGGCTGGCGTTACGTTAAAAATCGATCTTGAACAAAAATGAACTAAAAGGAAGCTAAGGGATGAATAGCCTCCACTGTTCATATCATTAGTATTTATGTGTGCGTATGAATTCCCGCATATCCAAGTAGGGAATTAACTAGCGATTGATTCATTAATCAATTGCCAGAGACAAGCCGCAATTCCTTGTATCACACTTCCTATCTTTTTAGCTCCCTACCTCTATGCCTTTATATTGCCTGTTTTCTTTTTCTTTTTGTCATGAGTTGCATCTACAACATCACAAGGTGATCAAACTTGTAATGATTGCTGTGCCGCCATGTATTTAATAATAAATTTAACAAAACCCCGAGAACATTTTACAATGTTTCAAGGCCCATGGACACTCATCTTTTGTTCTTTTTTTTTGTTTTTTTGTTCAGGCAATACATTAGCAAGGAGGGTGGTCAGCAGCAAAGGGAGGAGTGGGTAATGAGGATACAAAATATGAAAATGAGGGCTGGTTGTATGACAAAAGAGAATGACGTGGAAAGCCGATGGATGTATTTGAACATCCCTTGGCATAAGTTGTTTTGAAAGTAAAAATGTGGACTGTAGATTTTGCGAGTAAAGGGTTGGTTATTGAAAAGTCAAGAGAAAGTAAGTGGTGTCCGCGGTCGCTGATGATATATTCCATATATGAACATGGCGCGTAAAGTGTAATTGGTAAGTGGTGTTGTAACAAATTGTGGTTGAAATGAGAAACCAAAGAAATGTCTTGGGAAGTGGACGCTCTATTTATATGGAATGCGGCATTCAAATGAATGAACAAGAAAGGCAGCCGAAACAGACCTACCATTTAGAAAAAGAGATGGAAAATGAAAATACAGCAAGCTCTTCGTTTTGCGCCAGCCTAAAATAATTTCCCCATGTTTTTGCACCAAGAGGCTTGTATTTGGGCGATATAATAAGCCCAAACTGCCAAAAATAGCAGCAAGATATATCTCCATGTGCTTGAAGAAAAATGTGAACATTGCATCATTTTGATTCCAACATTGCATAATTTATGCTGTGAAATAAAGTGAAAGTGATTTTGATATTTCCAAAAATACAAACATGCATTCGGCCATTTTTGCAAGCCAAACAATGATGTATTTTTTTGGGGGGCAACTTTTATTTCAAAATTTTACATGTATATTTAGAGAACCTGGATAAGAGGCTAGACTTGAAACATAAACAATTAGTATTTGCTACAAATAATATTAATCAAAAAAGGATATTTATTTTTCCAAGGAGAACAATTCTTGGCTGCCCAACAGCCATTCCTTATATGCTCTTGTTATGACATAAATAAACTAAATAAAACGTATCATCATTGCTCTGATTGCCACGTGCATAATCAATTAATCTCAGTATAACAACATACAACGCCATGTGCCTTAATGTTGGAATATAGGAACGTTCTATGAACGTGTAGATAAACTATAATGACAAAGTATATTTAATGAATAAGTGCTATGCACTGTGAAAGGTGAAGAGTAGAAAAGCATATTGCTTTGGTCACTGGGTGACTTATTGTTTGTGTGGCTAAACAGCCAACACTGGTTAATCAGTTGATCACCATCAACCAATACTTAACTGTGACATATCTGGAGTCAATTCACACACTGGTTTGAATAGTATTGGATGTCAGTGCTTTAAAAGCATGTTCACAAAATGATGAATCATTTCCGGCAATGACATGTACAGGATGCTGCTTCCATTATTGCTAAAAATGACATGTATAAATAAGACATGGTTTCTCGAATATTCAGTTGGTAGTTCTTTAGACACTCTTGCTCCTTTTTTACTCACAACTGCAAACATCTTTATTTTATTTACCAGCAACCATCATTTTCAACATGCAGCTCTTCTCATTCACCACTCTTTCCCTGGCTGCCGCTGCTGCCAATGCTGTTGTGCGCGCCGACGCTTATGCCGATGCCATTTTTTGACAGGTTTGGAGCGTTTCATTACCCAAAGCAAGCCTCTTGGTACACAGAAAGAGTAAAAAACATATTTCAGGCTGGCAAGCCTTAGAACCCACTGCGTTTTTCATTTTTCCATCTCTTTTTTCAATTGGCAGGGCTTATTTACTGCTTTTCTCCATCTATTTGCATGTCTTATTTCATATAAAAGGAGCGCCCAGTTTTCAAGCTATTTTTTGGTTCCCTATCTCTCTCCCAACAACCACCACTTCCTCTAAAATACTACCACCTTTTTTCTAATACGCACACATATTTTCCTAACATTACGATATCACGACTACAGTACACACGCACACACACAGCAGCATCAACTTTGACTTTAGCATGGATTATCAGTTCACAATACACAACTTTTGTGGGAGGGGATCGCACACATACAACAGTTCTCGCCCAGCGTCATCCATTGCACTACATTGGCCCATATATTATATCCGCCGTCTGCCACAGCCACGCTCATTTGTACATCACAAAAAATAATGTGTCTAGTAAACACTCGGTAAGATATCTGCAACTGGTCTCATCAATGTCATGTCTGGGATGTCTGGGTATATAAGGGGACCTAAAGAACACCCTTATAATAAAAATCGGGCCGGTTCCATTCCATAAGACCTGTAACCGTGGTATATACGGGGGCCCACAGAACATTTGTTCAATATGAATCCGGCTGGTAACACGCCTAAGACCTGAAATCAGAGGCAGCGGAATGGGAGGAGGGTGGGGTTTACCCATGTACCTTCTCCGGATTGCCAGCGTCTGGATGGGCTCCTCACAAAATCACAACACGGGCATGGCTAGAAAGAGTAGCGCATGTACCAAACCCACAACATGACAACCAGTTGCAAATATCTCCGAGCGTCCAACGACATTTTGCACTCGATGCTCTATGAGCTCTAAACAGCTATAATTTGCGCGGTGATGATTTTTAAATGGCACTTTACTTTTAATTGTGCTAATTTTTGTCTTTGCCATCCATCATGGCAGAAAATAAAACCAGTGTACACACACCCCCAAAGTTTCCATTGAAAAGTACAATTACAAAAATTAGACTGAAAGCCAAGAGAATGAATTTCGTAAATATCGCTCGAAAAAATCAGATAATATTAGAATAATAAATTGCATAATTTCAGTTTGCATGCACTTTTGCAGCCGCTGATTTAGTCTGTGTTTTGGCTGATCATGTGCAACAGCCATCAAACAGAAACACATGTACAACTGTTGGGCACTTGTCCAGCTTAATCTGCGTTGTGCTTAATTTGCTGTTTAGTTGATAAGAGAGCGTTGATAAAAATAAAAATAAAATAAGAGATGACAGCAAGCATACAAACAATGTGGCTGTATTGACATTCGCTTGGGATTGCGATTGGTATTGGAGAGCATTGCAGAAAAAAGCTATCGCAGCAAAAAATGCTTCAGCTTTTTGTTAAGAAAAAACAGGAGATATTGGAGTGTGTACAGCTAATGATACATTCAATTAGGAGTTATTCGTTAGGATTGAGATGGGCATGTTCATTGTGTAGATAATCTACAGCCCCATTTATACAGCCTGTTCTGCAAAACCACATCGAGTGCAGCTCAAAAATAGCAGCGTTAATGTAATGCTGCGCAGCCTGAAGACATGGAAGTAGATGTCGAGGATCGTGAAACAAGTTTCCGTCTGCATGCCGGTTGATAGGGCACTAATTGGATCATGCAGGCGTAAATTAGGAAGGTATAATAATGATGTCCAGACATGCTCCCTACTTTGCAATGTACACGTACAAACGCAAATATGCAAAAACCACAACATTGACTTGCCAAGACACCGGTTTGCTCACAGAAAAACCAGTTCTCGCTAGCGGAGTGCACAGCTGGCAAAGTGCACAACAAAGGCGATGAGATACATATATAAGACAAGGCCAGCCCTAGTTCTGCTTTTGATTCCCTTGATAATAAAAACTATAACAAAACCCAACCATACTTTTAACACTAGGTGACTAGTGCTCCACTCAACTCATAATACCTTTAAAACTAGACAAATAGTGTCTCCTCCAAATTACAACTGCAAGAACCAATTAACTGACAAATGAATAAAGTATTGGGGTTTAAACAACAAAGCGGAAAATATGAAGAAAAAAAATTTATACAATGCGTTGTTTTTCTTTTATTATAATTTCAAACCAAAAAGAATAGACTTAAAAAACGTCTTTATACAATCTGGCCGCAAATCTTTCTCTACATTTCTCTTTTCCTTTTACTTTTTTATTTATAAAAAAATGCGCAGAAAAAGAAAAACTATGTATAAAAAACTGGACGGTAAAAATGACGCTGTATTTTTATACTGGCTTTGATGTTTCTTGTATCCACATTTGTTTTTATTTATGCCAATAATTATAAGATTTTATTTAAGCATGACCAAACCTAAAAACAAGCATCAAGACATAAAAGCTAACACCCAAAGTACTTGAGTCTTGATAATATAAGAAAAGCAAAAGTAAACACAAAAACTGCCTACGTATACCTAACCAACAACACGTTCGCACACATTGGGTCCATAAACGATGTCCAAAGTAAAACATACTGATACGATTTATAGTTACTTAGGCAAACAGGGTATGTTAATTTGTACAATCCTGGCCATAGATACTTTTTATGTCTGTTACCTGCTCGAAACTGCTAAGCCCAAATTTTAAAATGCGTTAGCTAAGCCCACATTCAATGTTTTATTGAATAAATGTATTAGTTTGGAAGAGGGTATATTTAAATAATACTTTTTTTTAAAATATTTCTCATCTTATTACAAAACCAATACCAGCACTCTTTTGTCTCCTTGTGTGAGTTTTTGTGCTTGGTCATCCAGTTAACTGAGTTAGTAAATTTTTTACTCTATATTTATTTTTTATTGGTTAAATGAAAAATATATACTATCTTGCGTGTGTTATGAGGGAGTGGTGTAAAGAGCATTATGGTAGTAGTGTTATGAAAGTGGTGGGTGAATTTATAAAGGGTTTATTTACTAATGTTTCTAAAGTACTTCTAGCCCTAGCCTCATGTTATATATGTGCCTCGTCGCCTTTGTTGTGCACATTGTCAATCGTGCGCTTCGTTGGTGAGAACTGGATCTTCTGCGAGCAGACCAGTATCTTAGCAAGTCAATGCTGTGATTTTTGCATAAGTGCGTTTGTACATGTACATTGCAAAGTAGGGAGCATACCTGGTTATTATTATGTCTCCCTAATTTACACCTGCATAGTCCAATTAGTACCCTATTAATTGGCATGCAGATGGAACCTTGTTTCATGACTTTCAACCTCAGCATCTACTTCCATTCCCTCGGGTTGCGTAACACGTGTAAAAGTACTAGTAAAACTTGGAAAAACTGTTACATTATTAAATTATTATTTTGTAAACAATATATATATTAAAACAATGACATAAAACAAGGATAAACGAGAAAAGAAAAAAGAAACGCAATTAGCCAATGCATTATACTATACATTGTCGCATTGCGTGTTTGTTATTGTATATCGAAACACATTCTTATACATATACAGGTCGCCGATTCTGCGCTTGCAAAAGCTCCGACTTGTCAGCAACCTCAAAATTCTCCAGGGCAAACTCTACATCAGCCTTGACTTTGAAATTAGGCGTAATTTTAGTCCCCTCGGTGATAACAAGAATAGTGCCCTGGCCGTAATACTCGACTTCCCACAAAAGCCTTGAAAACAGACGCGAGTTAGCCAGCGGAACCCACAAATTGCAAACAGACTTTGCCCGCAACTCAGGGCTAGAAAACATGCGCGCCAAATCATTAGCACTCGACTCAGTCATCGGGCGCTTCTCAATCATGCTCAGGCGCTTATCCGCAGTATGCATGCGCGAAAATGATGGAGCCCAGGCTTGGATGGCGGACTCCTCGTCGGCTACTGTGAGACAGTCAGGGCCGAGAAGCCGTGGGAAGGCGCGCAAGGTCAGTTTGATCAGGGACGCGGGAACCAGCGAGCTGTACATTGCGTACACCCAGTTGCGCTTCTTGCGCTGCTCTAAGGACAAAGTGGACGTGCTCGATGTGCTCGGCAGCTCAATATCGTCATCGCCGAGAACGTCGGGGAACTCACGTGCCAGCAGCGGGTTACGCTCAACGTCGGCGGCCTTTTTAATAGGCAGGTGGTTGATCGCCGGAATATACACGTCGTTGATATACAGGTGAGCCACAATGGTGAAAAGTAGAATGCCGACGGATACGACCACGCGCATAATGGAATCCGCACTGCTGCCCAGTCGGGCAACCATCATGCAGATCATATAGATTTCAGAGATGTAGATTGCAACAAGCATCTGCTTGATGGTCTTGGGGTACGACAGACCGCCGGAAGTCCACTTGCAGTCATTGTAGACGTAGAGAAACTGGTAGCGGTAGATGAGATAGAACAGGCCAAAGTACACGGCAACAAACCAGCTGACAATTGGCGCGATAAACGAATAGGAGAAGCCCATGAGGAATATAAGCGAGTGTGTGGGGATAGCCGTGGCCCAGTCAAACTCGGACGGCTCCTCGGCCTGAGACAACGCCCGCGGTGTCTTGGCAAAGAGCTTGGGAATCAAGTAGCGCATGGCCAGCGGCACGCCCTGTAATATTTCGCGAGCCGCATTGGTGAATGAAAGCAAAAGCACGTATGCGAGAATGCCGGTTGCCGACTTTGGCACGTCCTCCTGGATGTGCTTAATGATAGTTCCTGGGTTATTAATCGAGTTTGTGAGAATGAGCAAGATGGAAGACGACGAGATGTTGACCAGGTAGACGTTCCACACTTGGAAAAAGAACAGGCGGTTGATGAGGCGCATGTTGATAAGGCTGGTCTGTGGGGTGCCCTCGAGGCGCAGCAGCAGGCGCAGTATAACAGGCAACAGTGACATGAGCACCAGAATGATCGCGGGCGGCACAACACCGCTAAAAATCCCCAGAGCAATGTCGTTGCCCTTCAGCCACTCGAATTGCTTCAGCTTGACAAGGTTCTTGGCCTGCACCAGACCGGTCACAAATGCGGCCAGCAATGTCCACAGAACAGTGATCCCGACGGTAATGACAAATGACACGTACCCACGAATGCGGCGACTCCACGGGCTAATCTTTAGGTTGGACCAAATGACGTCCTCTGGGTTAACGTCAACCGCCACGCTGCTCATCGAAAACGGCCTATAGTCAATGACGGCCTGCGTAGCCATATGGGCGGCAATCTGCTTATTGAACATGACCATTGCCGACGACTCGCGCTTAAACCCGTTGACGTCCTTGATACTCTGAGCAATGAAATGGTTGCACATGGCGATTTCAGCCGCCAAGTACTCAAAGGTCTCGACCTTTTTTCCAAACAGGGGCATCCACCCCCTTTGAATAACCGGGCGCTTGGGCTGCACGTACATGTCGCCGGACAGGGTTGACACGGCAAACTTCTTGCTGCACTCAACGGCGTAGCGCGTCAAGAGGATTTCAAGCCTTTTTGCCAACTTGTCGCGCTTGTTGACCACGTCGGCAAGCTCCTTTGATGTACGGTTGACAAATACCTGGCGGACGCCCCCGGGCAGCATGTCAAAGGTCTCGGCGAGCCGGGCTTCATTGTTGACTAGGCTCTTGGGCACATCGGTGATCAGAACAGTCGAGGCAGCGGCCCTCGCAGCGTAATCGGGGTGTGTCAGCCACCACATGCGCAGGTGGGTGTAGATGCGCAGCTCCCCAATAATGCACCATACGGTCCAACTAACAAGCAGCGCGAGAAATCCAACATGAGCCCAAAGCCGGCTACTCATAGGGTCCACGTTTCCAATCGACAGCGAGCTGAGGTCCTTCAGCCCGTTAGTGCCCAAAATATTTATGGGCAAAATAGACGCGGCCGACAAAATACTGGTGACTGCAAAAATAATAAACATGCACCGGATGCTGCGCAGGAACATGTATGTGTCGAGTCCAGAGCGCCGGATTATTTCCTCGTCGGGTACGCGCAGTACGGCGGGAATCCAAGCAAAGAAGCCGTTGCCGATGGGGTCGGAGCGCCTTCCGCGCTCAATCGCGTATGTGCGTGGCGCGTAGACGCGCTTGAAGCGCGGCCGCAAAATGCAGAATAGCATAATTATTATAAGGGCAACGCCAGCATTGATAATAAGGGAGGCTAGGAATGTGCGAACCGAGTTGGATGTGTCTTTGTTGGAGCCATCCGAGCTCAAAAGCGAGGAAAGGGACATGTGTTTTTTTGTGAATGTGTGTAAATAATTAGAAATATTTGAAAAGGAGTTTAATGAAGTGGTATGTAATGTATGAAGTGGAATGAAATGATATATGATATGATATGCTGTGTGTGGAAAATGAAAAAATGAAAGATGAAAAATGCAAATGCAAATGCAATAATATGAATAAAAATGGAGTTGAGGAAAGAAAGAAAAAAGAATTGCGCAGACGGCGGCAGGGTGCGCTCTGGCTATTATTATAAGTGAAAGAAGATTTTACGAGCGCGCACAAAAAAGCCAAATTTTCTTTAGTTGGCAATTGAAATAATAGAAAATGATGCGCGCGAATCTCTAGGCCAAATCCCAAAAATAATTGCATTTGCCTTTATGTAAAGAGAAGTTCTGTTTCTTTTTTATTTAAATACAGAACATGTACCTCAAATTGCAGTGACATCATCTATCGAGGACAAAAAATACATGTTTTCTTTGTAACCTTCCCCCCAAAAAACTGACATACTTAAAAACACAATTGCGCGTGATTGGGGGTATCAAGAAACGATGTTGTTGCAAAGGGTTCTAATAAATCAACTTGAAAAAAACGTGCTGCAAAGGGGTTCGTTGGCGGTGTGTTTTTATGAAATCGCTACAAAGGGCCCTCTTCTCTCCGGTTGATCATTTGAGAGGGGGCTTGGTGTGGTTTGGCAGGGAACAAAGCTCGAATTCAGTGGTTGCTTGGCTTGGCTTGGCTTGACTGGGTTGGGCTGTATTTGCTTCTGGGCTGTGCTGCGCTTGTGAAGCTTGTGTCTCAGCAGCCCGTGTGTAATTTAATTTTCTGTGATTTTAAACGTACGTAATGTGAATGAACAAGTTGGTTTTTAATCATGTTGGACCCGTGGGCTTTTGCATTGGGCAAACGGATAGACAGGCGGAGGGAAGAGACAAGTTATGTGGATAAATCAATCCATGCGCTGCCTGCGGGGGATGAGTAGCTGCAGCAGAGAGCTGCCTCCTTGGCTTTGCACCCGGCTGCTGGTGCTGCTGCTTGCTGCCAAGTCTCTTTCCAAATGATTGCACTTAATTTCCTAACTCTGGCGAAAGGTTTCAACTCACCTTTACGTTTCGTTAAAAGGAAGGCACCTAAATGCACACTCCAAGGTTACTCCCCGCAGGTTGGGAGGGGCGGGGGGGGGGTCTGTTATGGTGTAGTTCTTATAAAATTTTGATTACAGCTTAATTTGGGTTTGGGTTTTCTGTTGGATAAAGAGCTTATAGAGCCCCCTTTTATTTTGTTTTAATTTTTATTTTGCGGCAAAAAATCGGGGGAAAAAAGCCAAATATTGACCTTTATTCTTCTTCCGCTGGTGGATTTATTTTTGTTTTTTTGCGATAAAGCCCAATCGATAAATCGAGAGGGAAAAAAAGCCAAACAAAAGGAAAGAACGGATGGATAGGATGGGATGGACGAGCAGATTATTCACACAGCGTTTTTGCTAGTGTTATTATTTTTAGCAAACACAAAAAAACAGCCTCTTCCCCGCTTCACTATATCTCTCATTTTATTCAAGTTTACTTTCTTTTTTGTTCTTTTTCTCATCTCTTCTTAAAAATAAGACAAATTTCAAATTATTCAAATTTATAACTACTATTTTTTATTTCTTACTTTTATTTCATATTTCTTTTACCCAATACTTTCTTTACAAAACCAATCGAGATGACCATAGTCAAGGAATACAGAATTAGAAACAACTGCACGGTCGATGAGTACCGCATTGCCCAGCTCTACGCCGTGGCCAAAATGTCCATGAACGAGACTGGTGGCGGCGAAGGAGTCGAGGTGCTGAAGAACGAACCCTATGACAACGAAATGGGAAAGGGCCAGTACACATACAAGATTTACCACCTGGGCAGGTAAAGTATTTGAAGAAGAAAAAAGCATTTTTAGTAATTTAGCACTAATTTTATTCTGTTTGTGTATTATTTATTGTGGAGAATGTTGCTATTGTTCCCTATAAAAAAATTGGTGTATTAGGGTTGGTTGGATAGTTGTACTAAAAATAACGTATTCATTTTATTCTAATTTTACTATTATTATTATTATTATTATTATTATTATTATTTTGGTTAGCCGTATCCCTGCTCTGCTGCGTCCCCTGATCCCCAAGGATGCACTGATCCTCCACGAGGAGGCCTGGAACGGATACCCCCACTGCAAGACAGGTAACGTTCCCTAGACAGCAAGCATATTGCGAGAGAGAGCCAAAGCCAAAGCCAAAGCCAAAGCCAAAACATACACACACAGCTAACAACAAACCCCCTTCAAACAATTGCAACCTGTGCTCATTTTATGCATCCCTGTATAAACCATTTTTGTTCCCACAACAACGGACAAATGCAATATAGTTGTGACTTCGCCGTACATGAAGGAGAACATGCGCGTGGTCACCGAAACGATGCATCTGGCCGACCGCGGCACCACGGAGAACGCTCTGAACCTGAGTCTCGACCAACTGGCACAGCGCCAAGTAGAGTACATTGACGTAGCAGACAACTCGACAATCTCCAAGGCTGCCTACAAGCCTTCGGAAGACCCCTTCACTTACAAGTCGAAAAAAACCGGGCGCGGGCCGTTGAACAAGTCTGGGTGGGAAAAGGACTGCGAGCCCGTAATGACTTGCTACAAGGTTGTCACTGGGGAGTTCAAGTGGTGGGGGATTACGTCGACGGTTGAGCCCCTGATACAGAGCAATATGCGCAATGTCTTTACCATGTTCCATCGCCAGTTGTTCTGTGATACGGATGAGTGGTATGGAATGACTATTGAGGATGTGCGTGCGTTGGAGGAGGAGACTGCAAAGAAGCTTGTGGAGAAGCGCCAGCAGGAAGGTTCGTCCAAGACTGACTTTAATTGAGGAAATGTAACTTTAGTTTCATTGATTTTTACAACAATTTTATTTATCTTTTTTTCTTCTTCTATACCCCCATCATCTATATAACATTCTTTTTTGTTTGTTTTGGTTACAGTGGTTATAAGCCGAGTTCAACAGGAGCAAGTTTAAAAATGAAAAAATAAAATAAAATAAAAAGCGTGACTTTTTCCCACAGTACAGAGTCAAAAACAGAAACCTCTTATATTTTAAACCTCATTCATGCGCTTGATAAAAAAAGTAATGCTTACCACCTCTCATCTTTCTTGAAATTTTTCTTTTTCTTTTTGTATTTCAACTTTATACTATATTACAAATCCCCTCTCTCCAGACAATACAAAAAAAACAGATAGATAACAAGAACGAGAAAAAAAGGGGTTTTTTTAATTTTATTATAACTATCATTATGCCGAAATACTACTGCGACTATTGCGATATTTTCCTCACGCACGATTCCGTATCTGTGCGTAAAGCGCACAACACCGGGTGGAAGCACATAAACCAAGTGGCCGCATACTACCACGGCCTCGACCACGACAAGACACAGGAGATCATTGCAACCATTAAAACGGCCTACGAAGGTAAGGAGCTTCCTGATCTGCCCACGGTCGTGTATCCGCCGCCTGGCAGTGGATATGAGGGTGCGGGAAGCGGCAGAAGGTATTCCGGCGGCGGAGCCAGCGGGTATGGTGGTGGGAGAGGCGGGGGGAGGGGCGATTATTATGGCGGGAGAGGCGGTGGAGGACGCGGAGGACGCGGTGGGCCGAGAGGCGGTGGTGGGTCAAGGGGAAGCAGCAGCGGTGGGTACCGTCAGAGATCCAGATCCCCATACGGTCGCAATAATGGTAGTGGATCATTGGCCATGCTGGCTCCGCCGCCAATGTCAATGCCGATGCCTCAGCAGATGACACTGCCGGTTCCGCCAATGGGAGTGCAGCAGCAGTATTCCTCCAGCACAGGACGCTTGTTTAGGTCGCCAGGCGGGGGAAGCAGTGCAGGGCAGTATGACCAACAGCAGCAGCAGAGCCACTACAGCAGCGGTACTGGTGGACCACCGCCACCTCCTGGCATGGCATCGTCGTTGTCGTCGAACTCCCGTAGTATGCGCTATCCCGGGCAGCAGATGCCGCCACCACCTCAGTCGCAGATTCACGAGCGCGAGCGTAGCCGCGAATGGGACCACCGATCATAATCTTATAAAAAAATATATAAATATAAATCAAACACTCGATACGCCTAGAGTTTGTTCAAAACATTAAATGTTGTTTATGTTCTTTTTTATCATTTTAAAATTAAAGCAGTGATAGTGATATTAAAAACCACACTAACAAATCCCTAACCATTGAGAAACCTCTGAAAGCGTGCTTACGCATTTATTTTTGCTTTTTGTTAAAAGGTAGGTTGTGTGCGTTGACAATTCTTTAACATCTTTTTCAAAAGGTAGGACAAAGGCAGCATTACTCTTAGGCACTTGGCAGCGGATTATCGATTTCCCCCCATAGAAAAGTTAAAGAATAAGACTGAAGATATCTATTACTAATTGCACTGAGGTAAACGTAAAAAAGAACCCTCTTAATTTCCGTTTTCCTTTTCCCTTCTCACATGGCGTCGTAGCCGACCAAAACGTACGCTGGGCTGGGCTGGTACAGCATCTGTGACACCAGCTCAAAGCCGGAGTACATGAATGCGCGCACAAGCGTCGCTGCCGCCGCCGTATCCACCGGCCCACCACTCACCGTGCTCAGCGCCTTAGGCAGAGCACAAATAACCGACGCACAGCCCAGGACATCCTCAGCAAGCTCCATCAGCGCCATAACCGCCGTGCGAAAGCTCCCCTCGCTAGCGACAAACTCAGACACATACACGAAAAGCACATCGTCAATGATGAACCCGTGCCAGGGGCGGCGCTCACACCCGATGGCGCGGAACTTGATGTCGGCTGAAATATGCCGCACGCCGGATTTTAGTGTGCCTTGGCTGGGCACGCCGTGTGGGAAAAGCTCGCGCTGCAGATCTGCTGCTGATTGGAGGGCAATCTCGTGGTTTCTTTTCCTCGCATCAGCCGAAGCAGATGCAGAAACAAGAGCGCCTCTTCTGCAGCCTCTTTCCATGTCCTGCATCATGCGAGGCATTGTTCTATTGCTCATACTGTTGCCGTTGCTGCTCCCAAACGACTGCTGCTGCTCCCGGACAACCGTCCCTTGCCTCTGGACTATCGACATGCGGCCGTCGTCCCCAACCGCATACCTGGCAGCGCTGTCACCGCCGCCAGGCTCAATAGCACCTACCGAAGAGCCGTCAAAAACACCACCCTACTTCCCTACCCACCGTGTAAAAGTACCGTTCACCCCTGCTGTTTGCAGCACGCTCAACACTGCACTCGGCAGGGAAGAAAAGATCACGACCGGTCGCCGCTGAATTATTCTCCAGAGACGAAGGGCTCATCTGCTGGTCAGCGTACTGGCCATCGGCATTCTCGCCAAACACCGCCGCCATGCTGTCCAGATACCCAATGCCTCTGACATCGTTGGAAATAGTCGCCGCACTCCCGCTAGCGCTGCTGCTCCTGGGCGACAGGTCCTGCAACGGGATAAACGCATCCCTGGTTGCCTGGCGGACACTGTCGCCGTAGATACTATTCGGTTTACCATCATCAACCGAGGTATTATCATTGAGGCTCGAGCTAAAGCTGCTAGCAATGCTGCTTGAGGAAGAGGAAGAAGAGGAATAATCGCTACCGATAGTAAACATCATTTCAGAAAGAAAAAAAAAGTTGACTTGAAAAGATTGAAAAAAAAGGTGGTGGTTAAAAAAAATAAAAAACTAACTGTTATAGAGCTTTATGTTGGGCTCTGAAAATATTGACGATGAGGAGTAGAGAAAAATGACCAGTGTCTTTGTCAGCTTCGGGTATTGATAATTTTCCTTTTTCAACTAAAAAAGGAAATGTAAAACAGATTTGAAAAGTTGTTAAAAGATTTTGTTAGGGCTTTTTGTAGTAAACAAAAAAAAAGCTATTCTTCGTAGTGGAGATATTGTTGTATTGTAAAAAATAAGAAGAGAAAAGAAAAGAATGGACAAACAAAAAAATTTTATACTGCTTTTATATTTTTTTTCTTGTCGTGTGTGAAACAACCCAACCAATACGAAAAAATGAAAATGAAAAGAAGAGGCGCATTTGTGCTTCTGTCTTATCACAGCCAATCACAGCGCAACAATGCGGGAGTGTTTATTTTTCGAAACGAAGATTCCAACCTTCTTTCTTTTCGTTAATATTTGAGTCACAAGGGGTCCAAAACAAAACGCACGCTCAGAATATTTAAATAAAAATCTATATATAACAAAAAAAACCAAGCCATTTTCTACATTTGTTTTACTGCACGCATAAAGCCATGATCAACAAGTTCGACGAATAGCATAAAACAATAAAGGTAATTCAATCAGTACATATCGCCGAGCGCCTTCTGCAGGTCCCTTGCAGAGTTATACACCCGCTCGGTATTGCTCGTGTGCGCGCGGCCGCCACTGCCACCGCCACCGCCAGAAACATTGATGCTGCCTCCACCATTCTCATTAACTCTCTCCAAGCTCATCTCAACACTGTCATCCCAAAAGGCCCTGCGCTGCTGCTGCAGCTGCTTTCTCTGTTTTAAACCTTTCCTCTCGCCCACCGCAGCAGCCGGCGCCGCCGCCACACGCGAGGTCGGCAAAGTATCCGAGTGATGCAGCCCCGCCAACGTCGCAATCTGCTCACCCTTGACATCCAAAAGATCAACCAAATCCTTCAAATCCCCAGCCATCTGCCTCCTACGCCTCTGGTCGCTCTTCCGCGTCGGATCCAGCATCTCGTACTCCCCAACCATCCGGCGGTACCGACGCCCCACAGCATCCAGCTCCTCCCGTAATTGCTCAATAACCACCCCCGTAGTCCTCCGTGTATCCCCCAAGGGCGATCCACGCTGAGCCAAACTCCGCGCAATTACCTTCCCGCTCCGCGTCGGCGTCGGCGTAAACGAATGATAGAGTGAATCTCCACGCACACCCTGCAAATCATCCTCACGCGAAACATACGCTGGCGGTGGCGACAATGTTGACCGCTGCGAATGCGGGCGCTCCATAGTCATGACATCAACGTAGGCATTCAGAAGCCCCTGCAGCTGACGCATCGGCAGAGACTTGTACGCCACTGCGTGCTTCCCATAAAGATACGGATCATGGTTCTGTGCCTCCAGGGACCGACACACCGGGCAGTCTGCCGCCTTGGTGCTTCGCAGATGGTGGAACCGCTTAATATGCTCCTGCTCAAGCCCTGCCAGTGTCTCGCTAAGCTGCCGCACAATATGTGCACTGTAGATAGCGTCATTCAGACTATCATATCCGTCATCTGCGCGTACATTTGTTCGCAGACTCTGCTGCTGCTGCTGCTGCTGCTGCTCATGCTCATGCTCATGCTCATGCTGGTGTTGTCGACGAAGAGAATCTAAGGTCTGGCGTCTCCCTAGTTGGTCGCTGTTGCCTAGATGCGAAGTTATGGATTCGCCAGAAATCCGCTCGCTGCGTTTCTGCGCAGTCATGGACAGCGGCGGCAGCTGGCTGCGGTGGCCGGGCGTGCTGGCCGCATGAACTAAGGCAGGGCCGACAGAACCGGGCACCGGCATAGGCGCGTCGTCCTGCACCGTCGTCATCGTGTCCGATAGCTCGCCGTCATCCTCATTGTCATACTCGTCGGCCATAGCATCCATGGCTGCATCAACATCAGCAGCATGGTCAGTATTGGCAAAATGACTTCCAAACGCACTCATCGCTTGCTGCTGTTGGTGCTGGGGGCGGCCCCGCCCAGCCAACGGCGACATCTGCTGGCGATAGCCACGGCGTCCCCCCATCGAGAAGCGCTCCCGCAGCGGCGACACAGCCCTCGGCGCCGGCGGCGACGCCAGGCGTTCTCTCAGTTCAGGCTCCTCCTGGCTACTGGGCCAATGCACCCCCTGCGCCAGCCGGCCTCTCCTTGTCGGCGTCTCGAACACAGGCGCCCCCACTATCCGCTGGCGAGCAGCCAATGCCGGGCTTCTGCTCTCCCTCGGCTCGGACTCTTCCGGCACAGACCCCACGTCCGCCGGCTGTTCCGGCTGCGCAGCTTCCGACTGATTCTGCGTTTTGGCGACCAGCAGTTGCTTGCCAATACGCTCAAAATGAGATTCCATCGATGCCAGAACACTGCGCATAAACGCCTTGTCCACGGGACCATCATCCCCAGCATCAGCATTATCAGCTGAAACGTCCTCCGTCTGCACAGCCGTCTCGGTCGCCATCCCACGCCTTGGCTGCTGCTGCTGTGGCTGTTGCTGCTGCTGTGGCTGATCCAGAGTCTCAGAAGCTTGTTGTGCGGAAGCTCTTTCGAAACTACCATTCTTACTGACGACCGCCGAAACCATCTCCTCCAGGGTCCTGTAAAGATCCTCCTTGGATATCGACCCCTCACCCAGGGCATCCAGCACTCTGGCCAAGCCCTGCGCCAACCCACCGCTACTGTCACCACCATCAGCTCCGCTGCTGCCGCTGATTTCACGGGTGACCGATGCAGACAGTGGTTGCGGCAGCGATGACACCGACGGCATAAGCGGCGACATCCCGCGCATAACGCTATAATTACCGGCCGCAGTATCGCTAGTATACCGCTCGACATACTGCTGCGTGCTCTGTGTGCGCTGAGGTGCCACCTCACTGCGGTATCTCTGCATAAACCTATCAGTGGCATTAGCCTCGGCATCCGACGCCGCCACCAGTGCTGGTGGTGCCGGTGCAGCTTCTGACCCGACAAAACTGCCTGACTCATCGTCAATAAACCGCGAAAAATTATTGCGCCTACGCGGCGTTGGTGCAGCTGGGCGGGAATCTGGATACGACCGGTTGCTAATATCCGCTGCCTGCTGCTGCTGCTGCTCGCGTTTGCGCTCGCGCTGCTTCTCTTCAGCCTCCATGCTTATTCCCGCATACACGTTGTTCAGCTGGCGATCCAACGTACTCATTGTGCGCATCCGCCGCGAGTCATGGTCAACAGCAATCGGCCCAAGCTGCGAGCGACCAGTGTCAGCCGGCCGACCACCCTCTTTGGCACCAACACCGGGTGGCGTTTCTATCTGCGTCTGCGAGCTCATAGTCGTAAGAACAACCTTGACCATATCGTAGATCTCCTTCAACGACGGTGTCCCTTCGGCATTCTCCGACACCACCTGCGGCTGCTGCTGCTGCCCACGCCCAGCAGATTGCTGCCCTTGATGCCCCTGCTGCTGCTGTGGTAGCTGCTGGCCCCTGCCAAATCCGCTCATGCCCATATGCCCCATGTCCAATCCTCCATTGACCCCACGGACGGCGTCGGCGACTCATACCTTATAGTATGCACAGCGTCAGACTCGTAGCTCAGCATCCCGCGCAAATCACCCTGCGACCTGCCACCCCACTCCGAACCCGGCCATCTGCAACCACCCGCGCTCTCGGCGAGTTCTCCATCGACGAAACACTGTCAATCTTTCCCAGCGCTACATCCTTATACCTCGGCAGCCTCGCAATATCCACCGTCGGTTCCTGAAACGGCACATACGCTGCCGACGTCACCGTCGACTGCGACGTCCAATCACGCGACACAAACCCGTGCCACCAGCTGCGTTGCACTGCGCATAGGCGACGCCATTCCACGTGACGCTCCCAGAATCCGTGCATGCGCGGGTGCGAATTGCCCAGTGGCGAGGGGCGTGCGGTTGATACGGATTGACTCGGTTGGCTGCATGTCGCCTAGAAGCAGTGAGCCGAGTCCCAGTGAACCATCGTCGCTCTGGTCATAGTCTGGGCTGACTTGAGCGGCCTGTGCAAACTCGGCTGCTGCCCGAGCATTGCGCTGCTGCTGCTGGTAGTCCTGCTGGTGGCTCGCCTGGTGGCTCGCCTGGCGGTCCTGCTGATGCTGATAGTTCTGCTGCTGCTGCCGGCTCTGCTGCTGTTGCTGGTAGTGGTGGTGGTCGGGCGTCGACTGTCGCGAGGCAATCGTCAGCGGCGGCGGGCGGCGCATATCATCAATGGACCGCGGCCCCGCCGGCCTGGCATTGCGCAGAGGCGCCATCTGACCCTGGGGCTGCGCCCTCTGCATCTCGCCCTGTGGAATTCCGACGGCGGCGTCTGCAGTGCATGGGCATCAAACGGCGGCACCACATGCAGCACACGTGTGGACGGCCCATGGTATGGGTCGCGGCTCATGACTGTCCTTGGGGTTGTTGGCGGCGGTGGCAGCAGTACGGCGCCATCAGCCTGGCCATTGTTCTCGCGCTGTCCATAATGGCCATAATGGTCATACTGGTTGTTTTGCGCATGGCGTTGCTGCTGGGATGATCCGTCACAGGCGTAGGCTGCGCGGTGCCCAGGGACGCGACGATATTCCGGTCGCCAGGCCCAGGCGCTGCGAAGCGGATCCACCCGCGACCCATCGGCGATTTTGCACTGCGATGGCTACCCTCAGTTGAGTGGCTGAGATCGGCAGGGATCAGGCCACTGACCTCCGAGTCGGCATCTGACATGCCCAGGCTGTTGGCCTTGCCCATCAGTTCAATGGGGTTGCGCATATCCATAGCGAACCGTTCCTCCTGCTCTCGCATCGCCTCCACCGTGGCCTCCCTGCCATCCCACGTGGAGAAATTGCGCCTCCTCGCCAACGTTGACTGATTTTGCTGCTGCTGGGAGACCCGATGTCCCGGCCGCATCCATTGATTGCGTCCATTGCCAATAATCGACGAGCTCGACGCAAACAGCGACTCCGGCGGCCGGTCGAACCAAATCCATCGTTGTCATGGTCAGATTCACCCATAAGATCAGAGAAATCCATTTCATGCTGCCTCGCAATATCCTCGTAATCAGGGTTGCTGCTGGTCGCGTAGTTGCCAAACATCTCATCAGCATCCTCCACCGGCCCAAACCCGCTATCCCTCGCGGAGCCACCCCCCCGGGAGTGCTTGGCCTCGACGAATAGCCCAAACTACTGACCATATTCCCGAACCGCCCACGGCCCGAGTTGCTGAACGGGCTGAACTGCGTCGGTGACGACAAATGCCCACGCTGGTGTGAGCCACCACCGCCACCGGCCCTGCCCTGGCTAAAGTACTCCGAGTCCTGCCGCATGGACTCGGGCGACTGAGCGCCCAGGGTCTCCTGACTGCCCATATTAGGATGGTCAAGCGAATCAAACGACCCATTCAGCGAGTACTCCCCCCTCGGCACAACAAACCGATCATCCAGCGACCGATGCGCGTCGATATTCTGGAAAGGCGGAGGCTCCAACCGCAACGTCGCATCATCATCCGCTTCCACCCTAAGCTCCTCAACCACCCTGATATTCTCCGCTCTCAAAGCCGCTACAGCCTCTGTCATTTCGTCCACCTGCTCATTCTGGATCTCCCTGACGACTGAGTATACCTCGGCAATGGTCGAAATGATTTGGCCTTCGCTTGAGTTGTCGGGGGTAGGAAGTGGATTCCTCAACTGATGCGCTGCACCAGGCTGAATTATCATATTGTCTCGCCCTATATTCGCGTATTCAGCGCATCTTCCTCGCTGTTCGTCGCTGAAGTTACTGAAAGCTGCGCCGTGGTGAATGTGGTGTTGATATCGGGTGTATCTGGAATCTCCCGCCATTCTCATCCCAGTCAACCTCCTCCTCCTCCTCCCGCTGCTGCTGCTGCTGCTGTGGGAAAGACTGGTTGAGCCGACCCATTACTTGCGCCAACTGAGCGCCTATTTCTTCAATCCCACCAACCTCTCGCGTATGTTCAGGCGAGCTAAATGTGGTCAGCCTCTCGTCACGCTCATCGCTCTCGTCGTGTTCACTGTCCGAGGGACCATCCCTTATAACATTAGGACCATTAGGCTGGCGACCATCGGGGTGGCTACGCATAGTGGAGTGTCTGTCGAGCGTGTCTGAGTGCAACGAGCGCGTATGGCTGTAGTCGCCGACACCACCGCCATTAGCGCGGTTCAAAAAAGAGTCCTCGGAAATATCCTCGGCCGTCAGACCCATCGTCTGACGCGTACCACCGCCAGTTTCCCCAGAGTGCGTGGAAAATTCCTAGTTTTAGACAACAAAGAAAGCCAATGACAATATACAGAACCATTAGCTTAAATCAGCCTTATCATTTGCAAAAAACGCGATCCTTACTTTTGTTATGCGTCAATCGCACAGGCATAATCCAAAAATCCAAAAAGAAGAATAAAAACAGCTTACCATCTCCTCCATTCCTCTGTCATCCTCAAAACTATGCCCAAACATATCGTCTTCTTCACTATCATCTCCACGCCGTCCATTTCGGTACCAGCCCTGCTGGTCGACACGGGACTCCGCCGGCGTATCGCTCATCCGGCGTATCTCCAGCCGCTCTAAAGGCCCATCAAACTGGTCTGCAAAATCCACCCCCGTTTCATCCTGGGACACAGCACGGCCAATCTCCGACACTGCATAACCCAAATGCTCAGCTGTGTTGTCCTCGTACCCGGAAAGTTCCTCTGTTGGAGGCTCATTGTGATCTGAATACATTGCCTGGTAATTAATTGAAGGCGACATTACTTTTAAAAAGGAATAAAGTTGTTAGAATTGAAATTAGCGAAAGAAAATAAATAAATAAATACGAATAGATGTAGGAAATATAAAAGTGCAAATTTGGAAGCGAAAAAAGGGTTTAGTTTTTTGCTTGGAGGGTTTTTTTATTTGTTTAATAAAATAAGTGCAAAAATGAATAGTGTTAGGGAAGTGAAAAAAATAGAGGGTGGGCAAACAAAAAAAAGGATGAACGGAAGAAAAAAATAAGACCTTTTTTATTTACGTTTTTTAAAAAAAAATTACTAACGCGACTTTTTTCTATTGTCCAAATACTGAAAAATAAAAATATTATCGCGACGCGATTCAGATTTTCGTCCTTCCCCCTCTCATCATTTTCACAAAGTTCATGAAAATAAAACTGCAATTCCTGCCTAGTGGCTTTCGTCACAAACATAAAAAATGCAAGCTTTAATTTAATCACGTGATTAATACCCATTATATCTTAAAATATATGTGTATTATTAGTTGTATTTGATGTTGAATAATAAAATGTGTTCTTAATTAAGCTAGTTGTTCTCTCGCATGAAATCTTTTGTTTTAATCGTTTATGCTGTTTATTGAAACTAGTCGGCAGCACTAGTTTTCTTTGCTTGCTGATTACTCAGACTGCTAATCAAAAGTGGGTTCAAACCTGTTGAGAATAAGTGAGAAATAGCTATGTAGGAAAAAATTGGCTACCTTAATTCTGCGCCACTTGAGCTCTTGCTCGTCTGACTATAGACAATAGACATAGGCTAAACTCTGCGCATGTTTGTCTCGATCGTCTTTTGTCACTTTTTGCGTGAACCAAGTAGGTGCATTCCCAATTGTTTGCTAAAACAATTAAAGATGATGTGCATGTTTGGGCTTGCTGCAATACCTTTGTTCCAAAAACGTCGTCTGACTTCAGGCACTGATTATTCTGCTGGATGGGCTGTAAAGTTCACAGGAGCCACTCCAGTTTCAGCTTGTGCCATGCCATTAAGGATGGAGGTAGAAATCCTTGAAACTGGGAGTTGGTTATCCAAAAGAGGCTCAGTGCTATTAAACGCTAATTTTGAATTCGGGATCAGGCCATTAGAAAAAGAGGACAGAGTGAGAAATGGAAAGTGTGAGAAATGGATAAAAGGATAAAAGCATAGTCACTGTAATGAGGACTTGTAGTTATAATATATATTAATAGAAATGGGACTACGAAAAGAGCTGAAGAGCTCACTATTCAGAACTCGCTGTGCGCATAAAATACCATAAACATATTTCACACGTCTACGCTGTCACATGACGCAACCTCCATTTCTGATGTCACAATCACTCATTTTATTACAAAGTATTATTTTTATACTTCTTACTTAAACCACCACTGTGAATTTCAAGCATATCAATGATTCTTTTAATATTTTCATTTATATTTATATTTGATGGTTATGTATTACTTTTGCAAATTTGATCAAGAATATTTATAATAAATATCTTCTGGAGAGGATCGTAATTAATAATTGGCTCATTACTGGCATATTGGCCAAGCACCTGCATTAACATTTTCTCATTACTCGATGAGAACCCAGCATTGCAATTACCATCAATAAAATCAAATAGTTGGTCTCCATTTAGCTTCAAATTAAATGCTGAGCTACTACCACAGCTATTTAAATGCTTGTTTTCTTCGGAATATTTTTCCTGAATGATTCTAGCAGGAAAAATTTGGATCATAATTTATTTCATACCCAAACTCAACACGAACAAACCTTTCCATTATTTTAGTAGAATTGGAGAATCAAGATAACAGCCATAAATGTAAAATCTGCTGTTCATAATATTTAATGATTGTATTTTGAATTTAAATTATTTATCTTTCATTACTCAATTATTTATTTTAGGCTTATCAAGGGTTTTCTTTATTATACTATTGGTTGATGGCGATCAACTTATTGTTTGTGTGGCTAAACAGCCAAGACTGGCTAATAAGTCACACAGTGACCAAAGCAATATTCTTTCTACTCTTTACCTTTCACAGTACATAGCACTTATTTATTAAATATACTTTGTCATTATAATTTATCTACACGTTCATAGAACGTCCTATATTCCAACGTTTTTTTATATGTACGCTCATGCGTGTACTTTGCAAAGTAGGGAGCATGTCTGGGCATCATTATTATGCCTTCCTAATTTACGCCTGCATGATCCAATTAGTGCCCTATCAACCGGCATGCAGACGGAAACTTGTTTCACGATCCTCAACCTCGACATCTACTTCCATGTCTTCAGGCTGCGCAGCATTACATTAACGCTGCTATTTTTGAGCTGCACTCGATGTGGTTTTGCAGAACAGGCTGTATAAATGGGCTGTAGATTATCTACACAATGAACATGCCCATCTCATCCTAACGAATAACTCCTAATTGAATGTATCATTAGCTGTACACACTCCAATATCTCCTGTTTTTTCTTAACAAAAAGCTGAAGCATTTTTTGCTGCGATAGCTTTTTCTGCAATGCTCTCCAATACCAATCGCAATCCCAAGCGAATGTCAATACAGCCACATTGTTTGTATGCTTGCTGTCATCTCTTATTTTATTTTTATTTTTATCAACGCTTCTTATCAACTAAACAGCAAATTAAGCACAACGCAGATTAAGCTGGACAAGTGCCCAACAGTTGTACATGTGTTTCTGTTTGATGGCTGTTGCACATGATCAGCCAAAACACAGACTAAATCAGCGGCTGCAAAAGTGCATGCAAACTGAAATTATGCAATTTATTATTCTAATATTATCTGATTTTTTCGAGCGATATTTACGAAATTCATTCTCTTGGCTTTCAGTCTAATTTTTGTAATTGTACTTTTCAATGGAAACTTTGGGGGTGTGTGTACACTGGTTTTATTTTCTGCCATGATGGATGGCAAAGACAAAAATTAGCACAATTAAAAGTAAAGTGCCATTTAAAAATCATCACCGCGCAAATTATAGCTGTTTAGAGCTCATAGAGCATCGAGTGCAAAATGTCGTTGGACGCTCGGAGATATTTGCAACTGGTTGTCATGTTGTGGGTTTGGTACATGCGCTACTCTTTCTAGCCATGCCCGTGTTGTGATTTTGTGAGGAGCCCATCCAGACGCTGGCAATCCGGAGAAGGTACATGGGTAAACCCCACCCTCCTCCCATTCCGCTGCCTCTGATTTCAGGTCTTAGGCGTGTTACCAGCCGGATTCATATTGAACAAATGTTCTGTGGGCCCCCGTATATACCACGGTTACAGGTCTTATGGAATGGAACCGGCCCGATTTTTATTATAAGGGTGTTCTTTAGGTCCCCTTATATACCCAGACATCCCAGACATGACATTGATGAGACCAGTTGCAGATATCTTACCGAGTGTTTACTAGACACATTATTTTTTGTGATGTACAAATGAGCGTGGCTGTGGCAGACGGCGGATATAATATATGGGCCAATGTAGTGCAATGGATGACGCTGGGCGAGAACTGTTGTATGTGTGCGATCCCCTCCCACAAAAGTTGTGTATTGTGAACTGATAATCCATGCTAAAGTCAAAGTTGATGCTGCTGTGTGTGTGCGTGTGTACTGTAGTCGTGATATCGTAATGTTAGGAAAATATGTGTGCGTATTAGAAAAAAGGTGGTAGTATTTTAGAGGAAGTGGTGGTTGTTGGGAGAGAGATAGGGAACCAAAAAATAGCTTGAAAACTGGGCGCTCCTTTTATATGAAATAAGACATGCAAATAGATGGAGAAAAGCAGTAAATAAGCCCTGCCAATTGAAAAAAGAGATGGAAAAATGAAAAACGCAGTGGGTTCTAAGGCTTGCCAGCCTGAAATATGTTTTTTACTCTTTCTGTGTACCAAGAGGCTTGCTTTGGGTAATGAAACGCTCCAAACCTGTCAAAAAATGGCATCGGCATAAGCGTCGGCGCGCACAACAGCATTGGCAGCAGCGGCAGCCAGGGAAAGAGTGGTGAATGAGAAGAGCTGCATGTTGAAAATGATGGTTGCTGGTAAATAAAATAAAGATGTTTGCAGTTGTGAGTAAAAAAGGAGCAAGAGTGTCTAAAGAACTACCAACTGAATATTCGAGAAACCATGTCTTATTTATACATGTCATTTTTAGCAATAATGGAAGCAGCATCCTGTACATGTCATTGCCGGAAATGATTCATCATTTTGTGAACATGCTTTTAAAGCACTGACATCCAATACTATTCAAACCAGTGTGTGAATTGACTCCAGATATGTCACAGTTAAGTATTGGTTGATGGTGATCAACTGATTAACCAGTGTTGGCTGTTTAGCCACACAAACAATAAGTCACCCAGTGACCAAAGCAATATGCTTTTCTACTCTTCACCTTTCACAGTGCATAGCACTTATTCATTAAATATACTTTGTCATTATAGTTTATCTACACGTTCATAGAACGTTCCTATATTCCAACATTAAGGCACATGGCGTTGTATGTTGTTATACTGAGATTAATTGATTATGCACGTGGCAATCAGAGCAATGATGATACGTTTTATTTAGTTTATTTATGTCATAACAAGAGCATATAAGGAATGGCTGTTGGGCAGCCAAGAATTGTTCTCCTTGGAAAAATAAATATCCTTTTTTGATTAATATTATTTGTAGCAAATACTAATTGTTTATGTTTCAAGTCTAGCCTCTTATCCAGGTTCTCTAAATATACATGTAAAATTTTGAAATAAAAGTTGCCCCCCAAAAAAATACATCATTGTTTGGCTTGCAAAAATGGCCGAATGCATGTTTGTATTTTTGGAAATATCAAAATCACTTTCACTTTATTTCACAGCATAAATTATGCAATGTTGGAATCAAAATGATGCAATGTTCACATTTTTCTTCAAGCACATGGAGATATATCTTGCTGCTATTTTTGGCAGTTTGGGCTTATTATATCGCCCAAATACAAGCCTCTTGGTGCAAAAACATGGGGAAATTATTTTAGGCTGGCGCAAAACGAAGAGCTTGCTGTATTTTCATTTTCCATCTCTTTTTCTAAATGGTAGGTCTGTTTCGGCTGCCTTTCTTGTTCATTCATTTGAATGCCGCATTCCATATAAATAGAGCGTCCACTTCCCAAGACATTTCTTTGGTTTCTCATTTCAACCACAATTTGTTACAACACCACTTACCAATTACACTTTACGCGCCATGTTCATATATGGAATATATCATCAGCGACCGCGGACACCACTTACTTTCTCTTGACTTTTCAATAACCAACCCTTTACTCGCAAAATCTACAGTCCACATTTTTACTTTCAAAACAACTTATGCCAAGGGATGTTCAAATACATCCATCGGCTTTCCACGTCATTCTCTTTTGTCATACAACCAGCCCTCATTTTCATATTTTGTATCCTCATTACCCACTCCTCCCTTTGCTGCTGACCACCCTCCTTGCTAATGTATTGCCTGAACAAAAAAACAAAAAAAGAACAAAAGATGAGTGTCCATGGGCCTTGAAACATTGTAAAATGTTCTCGGGGTTTTGTTAAATTTATTATTAAATACATGGCGGCACAGCAATCATTACAAGTTTGATCACCTTGTGATGTTGTAGATGCAACTCATGACAAAAAGAAAAAGAAAAACAGGCAATATAAAGGCATAGAGGTAGGGAGCTAAAAAGATAGGAAGTGTGATACAAGGAATTGCGGCTTGTCTCTGGCAATTGATTAATGAATCAATCGCTAGTTAATTCCCTACTTGGATATGCGGGAATTCATACGCACACATAAATACTAATGAATATGAACAGTGGAGGCTATTCATCCCTTAGCTTCCTTTTAGTTCATTTTTGTTCAAGATCGATTTTTAACGTAACGCCAGCCAATAGCCAAGTATCTGAAAGACAAGGCCGACAATCAGAAAGACAAGCTGGTTTCTGGCTTTGTCGAGCAGCTAACCTTGTGTCTTGCCCAGGCAAATGACTGTAACATCAGAAATGAGCCCGAGTCACGTGATAGCGTAGACGCATGAAATATGTTTATGATATTTCACGCGTACAGCAAATTCCGAATAGTGAGCTCTTTAGCTCTTTTTGTAGTCTTATTTTAATTAATATATATTATAACTGGCCAAATTTGCATTACACTGGCTGCCGAGCCATATAATGGCATTTTCAGGTAGACATACGATTTATTGCATGTAACAATGTTATATATATTTGTTCTGGACAAGCCGGCAAAGTTCTCAATGAATTGTTGGCAAAACCCAATGTGCGTTGCCTTAAGTCCATCAGTGAAGGAATAAAGTACCAATTGTCGATAAACCATTTTATAGCCCAGATCACAATGCAAGACCTTTTGCATTGCTGTTACCAAACAATTGTACTGCTCAGCTAAATTCTCAGCTTTTATATGTGGAGATTAGTCGGCTTTCTTGCAAGTAGCAGCACCATGAAGTTGTGCAATTTTGAGCTTTAGACGGCTGCTTTGAGGCCCATTTTGAATATACATGTTTCCTCGATAAAACTTGCTAACCCATTTTTAACTGTTGATATGGAAGGTGCGCCTGTGCTGAAATACTGGTGTAAAACTTGGTGAATGTCCAGCAGTGTCTTTCTCTCTAAATAATGATATTTAATAAAACCAATATTCAGTATTTGCATTATTTTTAGGCAGATATCGTTAATTAAAGTCATTTTAAAGAGTTTTAAATGATAAAAGTGTTATAGTAAGAGGGGGGTGTGAGGAGCATTAGTTGTCTAGTGTTAGAAATACGGGGTTGAATTTATAAAAGGTTTTATTACTAATGTTTCTAAAATACTACTAGGGCTAGCCTCGTCTTATATGTGTGCCTTGTCGCCTTTGTTATGCACATTGTCAATTGTGCGCTCCGTTGATGAGAACTGAATCTTCTGTAAGCAGACCGGTATCTTGGAAAGTCAGTGTTGTGGTTTTTGAGTGTGTGTGCGCTCATGCGCGTGCATTGCAAGATGGGGAGCATGTTTGGGCATCAATGTAATGCCTCCCTAATTTACACCTGCATGATCCAATTAGTGTCCTATCAATCGGCACGCAGGTGGAAACCTGTTTCGCGATTCTCGATTTCAATATCCACTTCCATATCTTCATCCTGTGCAACAATAGAGGCTTGGAATGTGTGTTGGGCACTACACTGCATTACAAAAAATGGTTCATTTTTTCTTTTTATATTCTTTTGCTTCATAATGATCACCAATAACATTAAATTTAGTTATTCCTGTTTTATATCCTTGGATTCCAATAATAACACCTCTACACTTCTGCGTCATATCTTTTATATTTTTATATTTTTCATCGCTTAAAGACTGCATGGTTACTTTTTTGCCCTCTTTATTTTTTAATTTCATTGTAGTTTGTTTATTATTTTTATTCTCCCCATCCTTTGCATCCTTTTTATCAATTTCTTTATAATAAATCTCAATGTTTATATCTTCGGGGTTCGTGATTATTTCTTTGTATACTGTATCTTCCCAGTATTTTTCTCCAGTAGGAAAATAATCCTTGCAATTATAAATGGCGACAACCCACATTTTATCTTTACATATCTTGTATAAAGCTTCAACAAACGCGTATCTTAAGTCACCCTTTTTTGGTACTTTTATAGTGGATTGGTCTGACGGAGATTCGGATGTTTCGAGTACAATGTGTCTTTTTTTTTAACACTATCTTTTTTATTGATAACAACATGTCCTTCAAAATATTCATCATTCTGACCCATTATATGGTATTTTATTTTGACCATTTGACTGTTGTCCTTGTTTCCATTCTTGTTGTTGGAATTCCTGAGTCCACTAAAGAAGCCGCTTCCCCCCTCCCTTGTTTTTGTCGATGTCATTGCTGTTTTTTTGGCGGTATCAATAGTACTGCTACCTTTGCTCTCGACGGGTTCGCGGACGTGGTCGTGATTTTTGGTCGAGGTAGGTTTAGCCCTATTAAAATGAACAACTAATAATGATAGATATTTTCCATGGTTTTTAAATAAAGGTAGTAAATGTATAAATTTAAATGGAGAAAAGAAGAGAAAAGAAAAAACATTTGCTTAGTTGCTTCATTTTGGTTTGGTGTACAATTTTATAAATTGAAGAGCGACATTATTTTTTCTCAGCATAATTTGCAGAAAAAAGCTGGAAAATTGAAGTATTCATTGTACATTTTAAAGACTACCATTTTTTTTATAAAAAGCATACCGAATACTCGATTGTAGTTTGTAGTATTATAGAATAATGTAAATAGCCATGGTTTATTATAAAAAGACGTTCTTAGTATATCAAAGACAAATGGGTTTTCTACCCCCGCTTGTTTGGCTATTCACTTGGCATTATAATGCTAGAATGTTCATCTGCTTAAGTGCTTAAGCGATTATACAACTGAGCACTTGAAAGTTTTGGCACCTAACAGCTTGGACGCTTGGCGCCTCGATTCAAACGCCCACAAAGACCGAGCAAACAATTTTTGTTGTTTGGGGCTGGTCTGCTCATCGGTAAGAGCGTGAAATAAATGCAGCTATTGCTTGGCACAAATTTCTTCACTTGACTAAATAACGAATTTGTATATTCAACACAATAAAAAAACAGGTTCATTTTGTTTACCACTTGGCGCGCTTGCTGCGGTGGTTGCGGCGGTTGCGCTTTTTACTAAAGGCAGCGTTCTTGTGCAAACGGAAGTGGCTATCAAAGTAGCCAGAAGGGTTGGGCGACCCACCAAGGCTTGGGTCGTCCTCCGACGAGACACTCCCGCCAGTCCCATTGTCCTTTATCATCGAGTCATTGACTTCAATCTTCAAGTCCCTCAGAGAGCCAAATAGCGCGTTGCTCTGCAGGCGATACTTTGGCGTGCCAATCTCGGGGATGAATACAGGCACTGGGCCGGGCGTGGTTGCCGGAGTGTGCGACGGAGTTCCGTCAGTCTTCCAGTTGGACTTTTTGAAGAAAACGTCTGGCGGCGTCAGCATGCCCAGGGCGCGGCGCATGTGTGAGGTCAGGTAGGTCAGGCCGACCTGGTACGACGCATTCATCCAGCCGAATCCCTCGCGGGGCACGTGCTTAAAGTCAACACCAACGTTGCCATACTCGACCTGGAAGCGGTGCGTCATGTTGACTACATCAAACTTTTCGGGCACAACGCCGTTAAAGTCGACAAAGGCCTGCGTGATGGTAAACAGCCAGCGGTAGGCAAAGCGACGAGCGACATCGACAAAACCATAGTTGTACAGGCCGTACCAGGCAATGATCTGGTGCGGTGCCCAGCCAAAGGGGAAGTCCCATTGACGGTTAGGGCGCTGCAGCGAGATGACGCCGCGCGACTCCTCGGTTCCGCTGACCAAGCCGCCCATGACCTCGAATTTGCGGCAGCTCACTTCAACCAGCTTGCGCGCCTGCGCTGGCGTTGCACACCCGGCCCAAAGGGCCCACAGAGCAGTCACGCTCTCGTAGACGGACTGCTCGCCCAGCAACACGTCGTAGTCAAAGTACAGCCCCTTTTGCTCGTTCCACAGGTAGCGGTCAATGTTCTGCCGCCGCTGCTCAGCGCGCACGCGCCACTCGGCTGCCGTAGTGTCACGTCCACCAGACCACGAAAATTGCCCGTCAAAGTGCTCGTCCAGCGTGTCGGCAATGTCCACCTCGTACTTGTACAGGAGGCAGTTGAGGTCGGCCGTCGCCAGGTTGGCGCAGCGCCGCTCCAGCCGGTATGATGTGTCGTGGCCGGACTCGCGCACTGCACGGTCGTGTACAAAGTACGCATCGAGCTCGGGCTCGCTGATTTGGTCGCTGGCGTACAAAGTCTTGTACTCCTCGATGCTGATGCCCAGCCGCTCGGCGTACGGCTTCATTGTGTGGTCAAAATGCGTGCTCTCGGTCTCTGGTGGCATGCCGATGCCCGTTGGGTGGTAGCAGCTGAGCCCAGTCTTTTGGTCAAATCGCGGGGCTTCCATCCACACAGTCAGGTACTCGGTGATGGCCGCATCGAATGAGCGCTTCAACCACTCGTGGTTGCTTGCCTTTTCATCAGATGTTGATGCTGGCAACGCCTCGAAGACCTTGAGAATCATGTCTGTGAGGAAGGGCGGTTGCGAGCGTGTCAGGTAGTACGAGCGGTTAGCGTTGAGGATCTTGCCGTAGTGCTTGATTTCGTAGGCAAAGTTGTCAACCATGTTCTTGGACAGCTGGTAGCGGCCGTCATTAAGCAGGCCCAAAGCCTCAAAGTAGCTGTCCCATCCGTACTGCTCGTTGAAGCGCCCGCCGGGAACGACAAACGGCAGCGGTCGGTAGACCAAGCGACCGTTGGCATCGTACGAGACATCGGCGGCCAGAGATAGAATGCCAAACTCGTTGTTGATCGACTTGACGTAGCGCGGGGTGATGTCCTTGGGCAGCTTGACAACCTTGATCTTGAGGTTGCTCAGATCGCGCGCAATGCCCGTGTAGTACTCGAACGCTGGCTGGTCATTGTATGGCACGTAAATGATGGGGCTGGCTCCGGGCTTGGTGTTCTTTGGGTCCAGGCAGATAGCCTGAATACCAGACTCGTCCATGCAGCGCACCAAACCGTTCCAAAACGATGTACGGATCATGCGCGACAGCCGGTTGACGGGGTTCTCGTTCAGCCGCTCCTCATCAATGACCACCTGGTTCATGCCGCAGTCGCGGGCCAGTGCCATCTCCTGCAGCAGGTTGGACAGCATATACGTGCCACGCACCTCAAATGTGCGGAAGCCGCCGCTGCCGGCCGTCGGCACCTTAAGCACTTTGGGCCCAGAGTCCTCGATTGTGATCTGGTAGTCGCCGTTTGAGTCCTCCTGCGCAAGAAGGGCTTTCTCAATAACGTCAATGTCGATAAGGAAGCGCCGGGGATGCGAGCTCTTGTCATCGACTGACCCACGCCGCCGGACATTGCTGAAAGTGGAAGTGGTGCGAAAAATGCGCTCGGGACTCTGATTCAGGCTTTCGGATGGCTCCTCGTCAAGGAGCTGCATTGGCAGCGATAGGTGCGGGTCCTGGTGGTACGGCCTCTACAATTGTAAAATTGATAACCAGGCCAAAATATTCTTTTTTTTAGTAGAAAACAGACCAATGAGGATGAGATTGGGTTGGGTTGGGGAAAAAAAACAGTGATGACGACATCATCATGCATTAATGCTAGGCCAGAGTGGAAAAATAAAAAATTATCGAGGCGGAGCAAAGCGAGGCGAGGGGATAATATCACTGAGCCAAAAAAGCTGCCGTAGCAATATCGAGAATATCAAGAGCATGGTGTGTGGGGGGAGGGGGGGTAAAAAAAAGTAGTAAAAAAGACCAAAAATATGCCAGTACGCATGCCTGACCTTTGTATTCTGGTTTTGTGTGTCAAATTCACAAAAGAAAAAACAAAAATATTATGCAGTGATTACTATGAACAAAAACAGGAAATGGTGGACCGTGCATACAAAAAATAAACAACTTGATTGATGTTTTTGTGCCTTATTGAGCTTTGCTGTGTGCCTGATATGAGATTTCGTGAAGATGAATCATATTATAAATGGGCTTCTATTTACCTGATAGGTACGGGACCGAGACCGATGAATACCAGCGGATCTGCGCGAGGCTGGTTCGCGGTAGTACTCGCTGGGAGGCGCATGAACGTCGATCTTGCGGCCTGTATCCACTACCATGGTTTTTTTCTGTATTGCTTAGTTGGCTAGAAAGTGGATGGAAGAAAAAGTATGGTCAAGGAAAAATATAGAATAAAGCAGCAACCACAAAAAATAGAAAGAGAAAAAAGCAAGAGTGAAAATAGATGGAGAAAATTAAGGAGAAAAAACGATATCCAGAGACAGGGAATGGCAGACTCTTTATATATGGAAAACTAGAAGAGAACAAAACAAATGTATGCGTGCACTCACAGAGTGAGAATCGGAGAAAGCTAAAAAAAGAGAAAAAAATGGAAATGGAAGTAAAAGTGATAAATGGCGAGTGAATGCGCAGTGGAAAGAAAAAGCAGATGGAGGCTTCGTAACCAGGAGAGGACCAAGCGACAAAGAGGGATAAGGGGAGGAGGGGGAGAGCAGAGGTTTATGCGTGTATGTGTGTGTGCAAAATAACGAACGAAATAAGAGAGAAGGGGGTGATAGGGGTGGGTTTGCGAGGGGGGTTGGTCAGTTCCATTTTTAGTTATATATTTTTTTCAGGGGACGGGGGTGGCCTAAAAATGGGTGGTTGCGTGGCATCGAATTAGCGGGAATTTCTTTAAAAAAATAATTTGGCGCAACATCGCGAAAGAATAGCAAAAAAACAAGATTTATGCCAGTGTATTTTTTCCCTTATTGAAATATTTTTTTGTTGCCGAGCTGTTGCTTTTGCATGGGTCGTCTATTGTTTTTATTGTGTAAAATTTTTCAAATAAGCTGCGCCAAATCAGTTTAGTTTTGATGTATTTTTTAGACGCCGTGTTCTCCCCATTCTCATATGCACCAATTAAAAATTATTGGGAATCCAGCAGTTGGGAGATGGGAAAAATAAAGCAGGCACACGATGACAAGCAGTCATAATACCATACATCCCCTCACCCACCCAGCCTGCCTGCCTGCCTGCCTGCCTGCCTGCGTGAGCATATTGTGCATTCTGGAGTTGATAGAATGGCTCACATGTCTCACCGGAAGCAGTCAACGGGGGATGATTTTGAAATCCCTGCTTTATTTCAAATCAATTATTTTTAAAGATTGTATCTTGGTTTGAATGGCCAGAGTCCCATGCCTCATTTGCTTATTTCAATTGTCATTTTTGTTGCATTGAGCATCTTTGCTTTTTTGTGATCTTGCTATAAAGGCTAAAAGAATGATGAGAATAAAAAATGTTGCTGCTGTTGGTTGCATTTGTGACAACTTTTCTAATACTCATTAATCGAAGAAAGCGTCTTTTATATGGTCACGATGCACCAAATATCTACTGCCGAGTCTGTGCGGGTCATTTTGCAGTAATGAACATGAACATTTTTTCATTCAAATAAGAATACAAAAATTGGAATACATTTGCTTTTTGCTGAACTTAGACATGGATACAATTAATTCAGCCACAATTTTCCCAGACATAAAACAATTTGTACCTGAGTTGAATCTTTCTCCGAGTCAAAAAAGCAAAAGTGCTTAAAACAAATCTTTATGTTGAATCTTTATGTTTTACTCGTTTGTTTAAGTTTTTTATTGCTTTCACATCATGATACAATCAGGCTTTATCTAGGAGTAACAAAAAAAGTAAACAATCTCATTGTTGTTGATGTTGTATTTTGTTATTGTTATTGTATTTTCTAAATGCGCACAGGACGGGTCCGACAACAAAAAAAAGACAAGCACATGAAATTACATGCACGCACGCATGTTTTTGTATTCGGATATCCTGAGTAAGGAAAATTATTACAATTAGTGTCAGCTTTTATTTTTGTTCAAATAAACATTTCAATACGTAAAAAGAAAAAACATCCACCTTTACAATTTTTGGATTTAAAAAATAACAAGAATTTTTAAAGTGTAGATCGGTCAATTATTTGCTTGCATCTAAAAATACAAAATACGCATTTTTCACAATTTTCTGCAATTTTTTGTCTCTTTTTCGTTCTGGTATTATTGCAAAAATATAAAAAGATCAGATTGTATCCGATTAGCAAGTCGTCAGACACAAATACAAAATAGAAACACGAACACATACAGGAAAATTAATTATTTTGTTCTCCATTTGTACCTAAGCAATATTGATTGATTGCTTGCATGACATGTGCGGAATTACATGACCTGACATGACCTGACATGACATGACATGACATAACATAGCATGACATAGCATAGCATATCCTGGAAAAAAGGTAATGCCATTGCGTTATTTTAAACACATTTCTATTTGAACATTCCCAATTTTTTTGTTCACTGCATGTATGTATAAATGTATGTGTTTGTGCATATAACAAGAGAAAGGAGCATCCAATGCACAATGAAATTGCAGTCGCATTTGAATATATATGCATATGGGTGGTAAACAAGCAAAAAACTTAATTAGCAACTGTTCTACTCCGTGCCAGATTTTGTTTTCGGATACTTCCAATCTCAACATCCATCAAGGTTCCAAAAAAACAATAGGTATTTATTTGACTAATTAATTAACTTATTAATCGTTATAAACAAAAAAAATAATTTAAAGTGAGTTATAAAGTGAGTTAAAAAACCATTTTTTGTTTACCCATAAAAATAATCATCGTCAGCTGAATACGCATTGCAGCTGGTAGTACGGCTCTTGCGTAATTTTCTCGAGCGTTCCTTAGCCAACTCAGACTTTCTATCAACAACAACCCGTCCTTGATTCTGCACCCCCGCGTCTCCCGAGGTATCAAACTCGACCTCAAAGATATCGCGCAACAGCGGATTATCGACAAAATGCACCGGCAACCCACTCCCCAATACAGCCTTAAACACGTGCAAGCGAATAATACGCTCCCAGCGGTCAAAGATAACTGAGCGGCCAACAAATATCAATTGCATTTTGGGCGCCTTTCCAGTCTCGATGGATTTGAGCACATCGCGCATAGCCGACCTCTGCGCCTGGGTGACTCTCTTTCCGTGTCGCTTGGAGCTCTCATGTTTAATGCTCAGGAGCGTAGCCACAAGCTCCTCCTGCTGATCAAACTCATACAGGTGGGCGTCATGGCTAAGGGCTTCATGCATTAGGGCAAAGTTCTGCGCCGCGGCCAGACGCAGATCAATGCTTTCAGCACACAGTGCCTTCATATGAGCCTGGAAGTCACTCTGCTGGAACGTGCGCTCGGCCAGTGCCTGGTTGCCGGCCACAAGCACGGTCATTAAAAACCCGTACGTCTCCAGCGCCTGTCTGAGCACAACGACGGGCGCGGCGGCGGTGGCCGAGAAAAAGCGGTCGCTGATAAAGCGCATCACCTCGGCGGCGTCATTATGGTCGGTGCCTGAGATGAAGTTGGCCAGGCCTAGCATGTTCAATGCCAGGGCGCGCACGCTATCAGTCTTATGGTCGTTAATCAGCGTCTTGAGCTGCTTGTCGATGGACGCATACTCGTTGGCGTGCTCCATGCCAAAGTTGACAAACCATTGGCCGATTGCCAGTAGTGCAAGCAGGGTTTCTTTTTCGCTCTTGTTGTTGCGCACGCTGCGCTTTAGTGCCTCTAGGAGCGTCACGCGGCTGTTTTCCAGCCCATCGCCGATGAATCGAAGCGACATGACGCGGACAATAGTCAACAGACCCTTTTCTCGCGAACTACAGGAAAATATATAAGTTAAATAAATGCGTTTAGGCGCAAAGAGCCGGGAATAAATACAGAATACAATAGGGAAACAGTACAGCAACAAAATTAGAGCAATTAGTGGTACTTACACAGCGCGTTTGTCACCTACAGACTCGAGGGCATCTCCCAGAATGCTCTCCCAATTGTCGCCGGCCTCAACGGCCTTGGCGCCGGCCTCCTCGTCTCCGGCCACCACCCATGCATCGTCTGACGCCACGCTGTCTGTATCATCAAACTCATCGTCGGATACGTTTGCGCTAGGAGCCTGCTTGGGTGTGCTGGCCTTTGAGCTACGCTTGCTTGATGGCCGACCAATACCACTGGAGCTCGGTGTGCGTCCAGAGTTGAGAGCTGCTTTTAATAATTCGCTTGTGCTTGTTCCGCCAACCATTGCCTGCCGTACTTGTGGTTAATGTGGGGTTTAAATAAGAAGACGTGTTCGGGTAAATTCTACAAAACAAAATAAGTAGAAAAATAAAATTCAAAGTGAATAATAGTAAAAACGAATTATTAAAAAGCCGAGGCGCTGGCTCAGTGGTGTTTATATAAAGTAGGACGAGGGATGGAACCCCCTCCCCCACTGTTTTTGTTCGTTCAGGCATCAAACAAGCCGCAGCCGCATGCATGTGTCGTCATTTTTTCGCCGCTTTATTTTTCTTCAATACTGCGGCTACGCCAAGCCAAAAATTTCCATAAAGAACTTTAACAAAAAATTTTGAATTCAGCGCTCTTTGGGCAAAGGGATTAAAAACTCATCCAACCTGCGCAAAGTATCGAGATCCACAGAATACTTTTCTGCCAAAAGTGTAGCAGCAGCAGTCGGCAATTCTCCACCAGAGGGCCTCAGCTCTCTCAAAAGCCCTGCAACCTGCACAGCTGTGATCCGATTCCTCGTGCCCGCAGCCACCTCGATATCGTCGTCCTCACGTCTGCTGCGCAGCGTCTGTACGTTTGTGTTTTCATTGGGGTTGGCCGGTGTGATTGTTGTTAGGAGCTCCTTTGGGTTAAGAAAGCGTTTGAGGTTGGAGCTGAGCTGCTCGTGTTCTTGCTGCTCTTGGGCGTCCTCGGCTAGTATTTGTTCGCGGGTGGGCATGGAAACTGGCCGGTTGACGGTGCTGTTGGTGCTGCCGGTGCTGTCAGTGCTGGTTCCGGGTTCGATTGTGGGTTTGGCGGCGCCTGCTGGCTGCTGTGTGTGGACTGGCGTGCGCGGCAAACGCATGTTTTTGGTTAAAGCGGCCTTTGATGCTGACTGTCCCATTATTTTAATGTAAAGTTCTGGAAAAAAAAGCTCAAATTAAAGGAGCGAATTTAATTTGTAAAGGGCAAAGTAAAAAAATGAGGTATCAGCAGTTTCAGCAGCACACTTTATTCGTTTACGTATTGTCATTTATTTTTATCTCACTCTGCCCATCTCCCCACTTGATGAATGATCTGGAAAAAAAAGCGCTGGCCACAGAGGGCAAAAAAATAAATGTAGTTGATCAGTAATCAGCTAATCTCAGTGCGGCAATCAATCAATCAATCCACTCCTATATTTTTTTTGCAGGCTTTATCTTGACCAGAAACCAACACCAAGCATTAAAGAGAAAAATGCTGGTCTCAATTCAAATTTCAATTAACGAGCCTCTACCTCTTTTGCTTTCTTTTTCTAGTTTATTGTTGTTGTCTCGTTAATTTCAAGCACACTCGCTTTTTTTCTAATTCACTTATCTTTTTCCATCTCTCTTTTTCTCAGGGTTTCAGCTTGACTTTCAATCCTGGCTCTACATTTCATATATTTTCTATTCTTTTTCTAAATTCGCCCCCCTCCAAAAACCCCCGTTTTAAGAAAAGAAAAATGTTGCGTTCGCTGTTTACTCGGCCGGCATCAGCGGCACTATCGTTGTCAGCACGTACCCTGCTTATCTCCACACCTACGATGATTATCCAGCAGCAGCACCAGCGCAACTACGTGACGCGGCAGCAAACAGAAATCATCAAAGCAGTGACCCGCGATGCGCCAATGGAAGTCAACCCACGCATTGATGTTCCCGAGCCAATGATTTCCGCCAGCGACCGCCAGCGGCTGCGCTCCGACCCTCTTCTGGCTCAATTAGTTAATATGATCATGCGCGATGGCAAAAAAATGCGCGCCGAACGGTTTGTTCAAATGGCATTGTTGGATATTCGCGAGCATTGCAATTCTGATCCGTACAAGCTTTTGTCTGATGCTATTGAGTCGGTTTCGCCCCTGATGGATACAAGGAGTGCGAGGCAGGGGAGCAAGGTTATTCAGGTACCGAGGGCTCTGAATTTGAGGCAGAGGAGGAGAAAGGCCATTGTTTGGATTCTGGAGTCGGCGAAGAAGAGGAATGAGAGGGAGATGCACTTGAGGTTGTCTGGGGAGCTGCAGGCTATTGTTAATGGCGCATCGGGCGTACTGGAGAAGAAGTTGCAGCTGCACAAGGCTGTTCTGGCCAATCGCTCCAACATCCGCACAACCAAGCGCTGAGCTTCATACTCCCCTTTTAATCCCATTTCTGGGATTTTGGGATGGTGCATGGTGACCAGGTATGGCCCATATATTTTTTTACAAAAATAAAATGATCTTATTATATATTAAAGAAATACTTTGTTGCTATAGGTTCGCCAGGTGCTTGGCGTATGCCCGGTGGCTGACCGACCAAGAGAATGCGGGGGCTCGCGATGTGCCAAACTTGGGCAATGGCAGCATATTCTTTCGATTCACAATGTGCGCCCTGGTCAGACAGCAGTAGTCCACGTCGTTGGACCCCAGCTGCAATGTGGTTGCCCAGAGCAAGGAGCTGATTCCAGCCCCATGCGTGACAAACACTAAAACAACCCTTCGTGTCTCCCTTCCCAGCACCTTAGCCTTGGTTACCTGTCCAATCTGCCAGCTGACTGCATGATCGAGTGTCGACACGAACCGGGCCATCATGTCCTGAAATCCCTCTGGATACGCCGGCATCACCGAGCTCGCCGCCACATATGCGCCACTATACGGCATATTTGTGCACGCTTTTCCGTTCTGAATGCTGCTGATGCAGCTATGGATTAAAGAGTCGGGCACTTGCTGGTCGAAATAACCTTCTCTCATGACCTCGGAAAGCCCCGGCTCAACGGAGATTTTCCAACTAGTAGGCTTTTGGTGTCTTTGCTGGAACCCAGAGCAGAGCCCCTCGGATGTCTGTGCGCAGCGCAGAAAGGGCGAAGTGAGAACTAGATAGTCTGTGTTGCTCGCAGTATCTGGGCTGAGGCCATTGATGTGGCTTGTTTCCAGCTCGTAGATTAGCGCTCCTGTCTTCTCTGCTTGTAGGCGGCCTTGGGGCGTCAGTGGCGGGTCATGGGGCGCTGAGGATGTTGCCGCCCATGTATCGTCTACGTGGTCTGTGCGTTCGCCGTGGCGCACGAAATAGCATGTCAAAGTGTCCAATGGTAAATCGATAGGAGGCATTATGAAAAATAATACTGAAATTATTAATAGAAAAGAGAGGAAAGGATATAAAATGAAAAATGAAAGTCATATAAGCATTCCAACAACTGTTTAAAATGGTTTTGTATGCACTGGCATGTGATTATACTCTGACCACGCGGCCTCTCTAGAATAATTTTCGTTATAGGTGCATGTAGACAGGTCTGGAATTAGCCCCATGATGGCCAAGGTGGCGTGGTTGACAATTCGATTTATTCATTTAATTGAGCATGTTTTTTTTTCTACATGTATGATATTTCACTCAGTGTATCTTTTTTTCACCCTCAGCCCATCAGCACATGGGTAACAAGGATACCATTTTCAATTGTCTGTAAGGCAGAGAATGTCCATCTAATTTTATAGTTTGCAAGAGCATTATTCATTATTAGCAAATGACAAGCCGCACAGTACTGTCTAGAGCCATTCTGGGAAATAATACCGATGTCGTTGTATACGACGGATGCGCATAAAAAAGGAAGCGAGCAACGCTTTATCAAAACAACAGACATGGCAGTGGATATGTTATCAGTGGAGGAAAACTGCAGCTACCACAATGTCATTGATTACAGTGTGCTAGAGCTTTAACAACTTGTTGTATTGCAAAGCACAGTAACAAACCAGCGTTGATAACAAAAGAGACCAAGCGCATACTGAAAGTGGTGGATAAAATATAGATCGACTCACATAGCGCTGATGTGCACAGGTATGTTGGCGACAAGACCGCTCGCAGCACGATGACTTTATTCAATCGTCCATTAGTTCAGAAAATACAGTTGCCAATTATCAAGTCTTCGGAAAACGGGGAAACTCCGCTTATTAAGTTGCTAACAGTGGCAGTAGCCATGTCTTTTGAAGATGGGTCCCCTAACGTCCAGAAATAGTTGTGTAAACCGCTACGCAGGATTAACAAAGTTTTATTGCCAAATGTTTTGACAGCATCAGGCTTAATCAGAAGTCTGTGCAATAAAATAACCCTTGGTGGTACTTGCAGAAATCTTTGTTATTGCTGTTATAGGCCAGCTTCAAATTGGCCCTGTGATTCAAAAAAGGCCAGCTGGAAATTGTGCCGGCCTTAGTTGTAGTCTTAATGGATTTGATTGAGCTTGTCATTGATTTTGCGCATGGTTTTCAAGGTTTGATGTGCTTTGCGCCTGTTGCGCTGGCCCAGAATGCAGCTCTTGATCGTGCCAAAAGCACTCTTCTGGGGTTATTTTCCAAGGACTCGGAATGTTTTTGGAATATGTATTTGGATAAGATTCGGATCTGAAACAATACCAGTAACAAAATAAGGTATTTTTTCCATGGCTGGGCGCAGATTTATTCTGAAGCGATTATTGCGAAGACGCTGGCTATGGCTATGACACCAATGGCGGCAATGACAGCCATATTACTGCCTGTTGTTTATGTGCTCTTTTACAGGTTGCGCAACTGCAATTTGAAGCTGTCCATCATGCTGACATAACGCCGCCCATTTACTCGATGCTGATATTATTGTTTCCTGATTGGTTATTTAATGAGCAGCTTGGCAATTTTTATTTGCCTCAATTCTGGATCCATGTCGCGCCGGAATTGCTGGTCAATTCAACCAATGCCAGGCGCCAAGTCATTTTTTAATTTAGGCGTAGTTGTAGACGTTACCGCTGGTGCCGCTGAAAAATACACCGGTTCAGTCGCTTGCTGCACGGTTTGTTGAGAAATCGCTCGCCAAAAATCATGTTTTTCATTCTGCTTTATTTCAACTGACTCCTATATGTGCTTAAAGCAAGTCTCAAAACAATTATACATCGATTATTTGTCCGCGCTCTTCCATTCAATGCTGCCCTGTCATTTTATTTGGTTATAAACAATGTGATCAAAAATAAAGCGGCGGTTAATAAACGGTTAAATACACACCTCGTTGCTTGTACAGCCTGTTGTATCCTTCGTACGGCAGTGCTTCTTTTATTTGTGTGTAGATGATTGCGATATTACTACTTGTATAAGAAGTAGAAATAAAAGGATACATATAGCTTAATTTAAAGCGTGAAAGAATGAGAAAAGTCGGTACCGCACGCGTATACATTTAAGCTCGTGTATTCTTTTAAATTAATGCTAAAAAGCGACATTACTTCTTTGGCTTTGAATTGTTTGATTGACTGAATGACGGCAAACTGGCACAGCCAACCATTAGGCCCAGTTAGAATATTAGAGCCAGAATAAATATTGACCGCCCAGCTTTTTCTGTTACTGTGACAGTGAAACGGATGAGGAGATGATCACCACATAAGCTCGGTTGAGCAGAGAGGCTGCGAGCTACTGGATTAATGCTAAACAGGAATTAATGAAGTGGCATTTAAGGAGGTTTTCAATTGCCTATAAAAGGGCAATTAGGGAGGACTCAGTAGGAGGCCTCTTTAGTGAATTTTGAAATAGTTCTAATACCAAATATAATTGATGGGTCTAAATAGTTTTCTCGGTGGCGCAGCACTTCTACTTCAGTGTGAAACGTGTCAAGCTTATTGTGAGCAGTGTTGGTTTGTTTGTGGGCTATGGAAATTAGATGCTGCAGAACTGCCAGTTTAGCGTGCGACTTTGTGAGGTCAGATTCGACCATAATATGGGCCTGTGATTCCTGAGCGTGAGATGCGACCAGCTTGGCCTGTGCAACTTTGGCAACTTTAAGGGTGGACTCCAGCTTCAGAACTACAGCGCCAATGCTGGCACAACCAAACTCGGCTGTGTTTTGGATCTCTGCTTCCTGGGTGCGAGCTGCCTCCAATTCGGCGAAGCTCATCAAGCTGCGCATAAAATGCGTCGATTTCAGTGCGCAGAGCTGCGTTCTCAGCATTCGTCTCCGCGCGGTTGGTCTCGGCCACATAGAATAGCGCTTATTGGTTTGCATACTGGAGCTTGTAGATTGTACGAGAGGCTCCGTTGTTGTTGTCGTCAGTCTCGGGCTTGGGCCTAAATAGAGCGCGGCAGGCCCGACGAAGCACACTGGCTGTGCATGACGCAGTCGATTCAGTGGTTGATGCGGCAGTTGAAGTGGTCAACGTGACAGGTGTTGTGGCAGCAGGAGTAGCAGTGGGTATGCGCAGGGTTGGGTGCACCTTGCGTGCGACAGTATTCATACGAAAAGGCATGGTAAAAACGATGGATAACAAAAAGAAAAGAAAATTAAAAAAAACAATAATAATAAGGAAATGACAAGGTGTTCAAGTCGTAGTGGTGGTAGTGATTTTATAAACAAGGTATGAGTTTGTTGGAAGAAAAAAATGGAGCAAGGGGGAGAGGGGAGAGGACCGTTTTTTATTTTTCAGTTGGGCAGAAATTTTTGTTGCTCTTTTTTTCTGTTTTCTGCGATTTGAGAAAATGCAGCATCGAAAATCGAACTATGCGTTTTGAGAACATAGAAATTGAACACGGCCATATTCTTTGCTCGATATAGGTCAATCACGCCACTTGAATTTTTATGAGGTCGACGCGTTATTCATTGCATTGTTATTGCAAATAGTAAAGCATGGATATTTGTATTTTTTGCATATCCTTTGCCTTCATTCGGAAGACATCGCATGCACGCGTGTGGATTGCCAATCACTATTTATTTTCCTTTTCAAGGCGCGTATCTAGAGATTAGCCGAAAAGGATCTACACTTATTAATCCTCAGATAATGATGAAAGATGCCTATTTACTATCAAGAGGACTGCTTTTCCAGTTTGTCGGGCACATTGCTCCCCACAAGCAGGGTCAACAGCAGTATCAGTATCAGTATCAGCTGCTGAAGCTGACATCCATATTCATGGTGGTGACTGTGCGGGGGATCACGGTCAAACAGGGTTTTTTGTTTACTTTTCTCCTCAAGGATCGCAATGGTGCGTCTTTGCTATGCCTGAAAAAAAAGATGGTGTCGCGGCAATAATTCACTATCTACTTGGTTAAAATAATATCGCTATTTTCGATTTGTTTCTCTTCTTCCATCCATTTCTCTTTTTTTGAATGCGTCGAATAAACGGGAGGGAAACAAAAAAATTGATAACTTTTTTGTTTATAATGGGGAGAGGGGGTGAAACAAAAAATAATTCAATTGTTGTTGTGCGGAAAAATAGACAATGCGCCGAACAAGGTGAGGGGTCAAAAAATAATCGGCGTTTTGATGATTTGACGCCTTTTCCCTCCACATTCGACAGAAGAAAAATAATAAAGGCACAATGAAAAATTAGTTTGCCGACACCCTCATTGTCAGGAACAGCCAGAAAAAAGTAGCTATTGGCCTAATTGGCTCCCCTTAACGACACCAAGACAGAACAGCTCAAGTCGTACAGTTGGTCCTAAACCAGTGCGGACGAGTATTCGGGGCTCGAATGCTGAATGCATCTTATTTGGTCAAAAAGAGGCAAAGAAAAGAGACAGACAAATCATTTTTTGAAACTGGCGGTTGCTAGCAGTCTTATTGCACGTAAACAAGCGTTGTCAAAACGGCGCTTGCTTGCTCGCTTAGTCTAGTGTTTCTTTTATTTTTGTCACGCACATTAGTGCTTGGTTTTTTTGTCGTTTAGGCTTGCTAATTCAAAAATAAAATGTCGAATTTGGAATTCAATTTTCCAATTTTGCAAAAAGCTCTTTTTGGCTCGATTATATTGTGCATATTTTAATCGAGTCCTTGCACAAGCCTCGCAATCAAATCAGAAGCGCATGAAAAAAGTTAGACGACCCACGGTGAGTAGCAATATCCATTGTACCGGAATCAGAAACAGATGGCCTGTCTGTAGACTTTCTGGGAAGCCAGAGCGATTCTGAGAATTATTTGGTGGCCTTCACCCTAATTGGAACCATTGGTAGTTCAACACTCGCAGGCAGGCACGGTGACGGGTACTATTTGCGCTGCTCAGTGCATGCAGGAAATAAAATTGTTATTTATTTTATAGCCAAGGATCGAATTTCATTATATCCACGTGCGCCGATTGGAAATTGAATTATTATTTGCTAATTTCCAAAAAATAAACAAAAAATAAAATAAAATCCAAAAGTCAGGATTCAAAACTCAGAACTGATCAACAATTTATAGAATAAACAACTTGACTCAATCCTTTCACAAATAAGTATTGGCAAAGCTTGCCTTGCGACATCATATTCCCCTCTCTCTCTTCATTCAGCATATTTTGTATATAAAATTAAATTGTTGACTATAGATTATTGTTATTTAAAAATGATTATTTTGCTATCATTGGCGTGAGCTATGGCAATTTTAGTCATTGTCAGTAGTCGCAAGAGCGAGCTGTTTATAACATTTTAATTGAGCCCTACCCAATTTTGCATTTGAGACACAGCACGCCTTTATTTTTATAAACTAAGCACATATATATGCAGTCTGATGCGGAGGTGAACCTATTGTGAGTGTGGCAAAAGGGGAAGCCAATGATATTCAACTAAGCAGTGTTGCGCAGACTAAAGATATGGAAGTGGATGTTGAGGTCGAGAATCGCGAAACAGGTTTCCATCTGCGTGGCGATTGATAGGACACTAATTGGATCATGCAGGCGTAAATTAGGGAGGCATTACATTGATGCCCAAACATGCTCCCCATCTTGAAATGCACGCGCATGAGCGCACACACTCAAAAACCACAACACTGACCTGCCAAGATACCGGTTTACTCGCAGAAGATCCAGTTCTCATCAACGGAGCGCATGATTGGCAATGTGCACAACAAAGGCGACAACGCACATATATAAGACGAGACCGGCCCTAGTAGTATTTTAGAAACATCAGTAATAAAGTCTTTTATAAAATCACCCCTAACTTTTAACACTAGACAACTAGTGCTCCTCACACCCCCCTCTTACTATAACAGCAGCCACAAGGAATACTGGAAAAAAGGAAATAAATATTTATTAGAAAATTAAGGTGTCGTCATCCTCATGGTGGGAGCACCTTGGTATTTATCGAAGCTAAACTATAATAAGTACATGGCATCTCCTATGCTGCATACATGTACACAAACTTCATAACAAATGACAATAGCAAAATAAATGATATTTTTGATGCATCTCAAAATTACATTAATTTCTGTTGATATCACTCTCTTGCAAAAACAGGTTCAATCATGAACAACGCGTGCCTTCACAATCAATGTGATTGGATCAGAACATCGGGTGACGTCCCGAATCTGTCTGATGCATGTGTGCGCGTCTGCGGATTTCACCCCGGGTTGCTGGCTTGGGTTGTAGCCCCCTAAGGGGCTCTCAACAAACCAATACTAGCACATTGCAAAATGGTTAAAATACTATCAGGTGCACTTCCCAGAGTCACTTTATGCTATCAGCAGTTAGCAGATAGACAAACCTAATGATTCAACTTGGCACCAAGGACATATATACAATCCAGTTCACGATAGACCAACTAGGCGCAGAATAAAAGCAAGGAAATTATGTCAGCTTATCTCGGATACGGCTTCAACAAGACAAAAAACAAACATGCCCAAAAGCGCATGAGTGATATGGGCCATATGGCCAGATTTTCAATAGAGACCATGATAAATAAAATAGCATAGTAGACATTTCGTCTAGTTTATTATCTTTTTTTGTATTTTGCTTGTTTGATATTTTGCTCAATAAATTTAATTTGACCACTCGCACTAGCATATAATTACTGGCAACCCCGCTTATAAGGATGCTGTATACTAAGGCTATGCAAACCCAACTACATCTCCAGTTGCGTGGTATCCGCAGTAATAGAATCAAGTGTATGTGTTTATTCTTAAATATTAACTATTTCTATATATTCAAATCAATATATTCAGGTCATATTTTAATCTAAAGAATTAATTAAAAACTAAAAAGCATATCAAAAACAGTGCAAATATTATACTGCAGCTTAGTGGTCAGTAGGAATGGTATTGGTAATGGGGTGGTCAGCAACATTGACGATCTGGCGGCGGTGCTTTCTGACAACGTTGTTGGTAATGGGATAGTCACCGGCATTGACGATCTGGCGGCGGTTCTTTCTGACAACGGTGTTGGTAATGGGGTGGTCAGCAACATTGACGATCTGGCGGCGGTTCTTTCTGACAACGGTGTTGGTAATGGGGTGGTCAGCAACATTGACGATCTGGCGGCGGTGCTTTCTGACAACGTTGTTGGTAATGGGATAGTCACCGGCATTGACGATCTGGCGGCGGTTCTTTCTGACAACGATGTTGGTAATGGGGTGGTCAGCAACATTGACGATCTGGCGGCGGTTCTTTCTGACAACGGTGTTGGTAATGGGGTGGTCAGCAACATTGACGATCTGGCGGCGGTTCTTTCTGACAACGGTGTTGGTAATGGGGTGGTCAGCAACATTGACGATCTGGCGGCGGTGCTTTCTGACAACGTTGTTGGTAATGGGATAGTCACCGGCATTGACGATCTGGCGGCGGTTCTTTCTGACAACGGTGTTGGTAATGGGGTGGTCAGCAACATTGACGATCTGGCGGCGGTTCTTTCTGACAACGGTGTTGGTAATGGGGTGGTCAGCAACATTGACGATCTGGCGGCGGTTCTTTCTGACAACGGTGTTGGTAATGGGATAGTCACCGGCATTGACGATCTGGCGGCGCTGGTTGTCAATAGCGCTAGCGACGTGATAGTCAGTGACATCGGTAGGCTGAGGACCATTAGTCGGGATGGGAGAAGCAGTAGGAGCAGGGGAAGCAGCGGCAAGGGCCAAAAGAGCGAGAACGGGGATAAAAAGCTTCATTGTTGAGTATTGATTAAAAAGCTAAAAGGTAGATGAGTGGGTAGGGTGTATTAAAAGTATTAGCGTGGAGAAAGATAGAAAAAAAGCTGGGTGTTTTTGTTTGCGTGTGCGGTTTGTAGTGATAATAAGATATTTACGACAAACCCGAGATTTAGCTGTCCTTATATACTGCAATTTTTGCTGATTAATGTATGTGGATTTTGCTTCACATACAAAGTTTTTATTAGGAATGAACATTAAAACATGCATTGTGTAATTAATAAAAAATTCGTATTAAATATTTTTACTTTGCTTCAATCACTTGTGAGTTTAATGTTCAAGCGCATTATAGCAGAAATATCACACTATTCTGTTAAATTATCGAGGTGGGTACAATTAATTGTGTCATCCACCTACCAACATTCATTGGCCCGCCTTTTCCTAATCAAAATCATTGTGCAGTTTTGTCTACCCATCTGACAAGCCAATTGAAACAACGCATTAGATGACAACCTCCAAGCATTTTTTTGTAAATCTGTATTGTGAGACAAAGAAGCAATTGTTGAACATTGCCACTATTGACCCTTTCTCTCTTCCTCCCTATTTCGTGTTTTAAAGTTTTATATATGATTTTATTGGATTGTATTTTCAAAAAAGGGGATCGTCACTTGAATACACAAGCAATTGATGCTTTTGTATGAGTGGGCAACTGCGCTTTATTGTTTGATTGTTTTTTTTGCATAACCGTATTTGTTCTTGCCTGTGCGTAATAAATGGAGTCAGTGGTACAACTAATACATAATGTCTTATGAATCTGCCAGAATGTAGTTTCTGGATCATTTCAATAACGAAACAATTCTACACAAAGCATCATAGGGATAGGGTGGGAGGCAACATTAGTGTCATCAATGTCAGGAAGGATCACTTTTTTTTGTATTTTCAATGAAAGTGCAGCCATTTCCCGCACTTTTATTGTTTTCACAAATGAAAAAGTATAAGGGCAATACAATAGAAAATTGTGCCCCTTCTTTTTTCTTTTCAAGGTCTGCTATACACAATGCGCTTGCGTGCAGAATAGAGCCATTTGGTTGTTTGATTATTCTTGATTTTAATCTGTTACGTATCAGGATTAAATTCCACATTTTTTAATGATCAGGATCACTGTGACTAATGCGGTTATATTCACGTGACAGTGCATTCGCCTGAGAGAAAAGATACTGCACTGCATGCACGCAGACACACGCAGACGATTGAGGATTGGGGATTTGGAAATGAAGCGTTGTGGGCGGACGGACGGGCAGCAAAAATAATGGTCATATTCAGGGTATTATTAAGCCACTGTTGTGATTGGCTGACATTACAACAGCTCTTTTACGTTTGCTCTTTTTTTCGTACATTCCAGAATAACTAATAATTCAAAGCTGTTTTTACGCGGTTTTGCGAATTACGTCTCTCCCCTTTTTCTCTCTTTCTCTCTTTCTCTTTCAATATATTATTTTCTCCAAATCTCATTGAATCAGCTAGCTTGAATTTGTACTTTGGCTTGTTAGTTTATTTTTTATTGCTCTTTTTTGCTTTGTCCGGAGGTTGTATCAAAAACCCAAACATTGTATCACGGCGTCAAAGTAATTTTTATTTCATTCATTCAATTTTACTTATTTACTATTTCAATTACTTGACATGGCACCGCCAGGAACTCAGCGCGGCGCAGGACGTCCGCAACCAACATCCGAGCGCCTCATGGGACTTGCAAAGGTAAGAAGCATAGCTGAGTTAGCTCATCTCGGGGGAGGGGAGTTTAAAAAAATTAATTGAATCAGCAGACATTTTGCAAGAAATTCAAACCGGAAAGAAACTAAAATCACAGTAAGAAAGCAACTTCTTTTACTTTTTTTATTACTTGTAGACAGCCCAGTTTTACTGGTGGGTTGGACACGTCGTTATGCTGGTTTTCGGGGCAATATACTACGTGAAGCGGCCTTTCGGATGGCAGTCAGCGCAGTGGTACTACAGCAAGGCGTACATGGGAGCGATAATGAGCTACGTAATTGTAATTTACAAAACCTACGGGCCACCGCAGATCAACCTCGAGTTCCTGCACCGGCTGATGGTGGATGAGAATGTCGAGTATCTGATGCTGGCCTTTTACTGGCTTACGCAACCGTCGATGGTTGTCACCCTGTTGCCGTTTGTTGTCTTTTCGCTGTTCCACGTGCTGACTTACCTGCGGTCAACGCTGATTCCAGCACTCTTCCCCGATGTGACGGCGGAGCTGCAGCGGTCGCGCACGCCGGCGGCGGATCAGAGCGTGAGATTGTCGGCAGCAGCGCGTGCGAGCAAGATCATGAACGATTGGAGCTCCAAGTATTACACGCCGGCGCTGCGGGAGGTTGGAGTTTGGGAGGTGGCGGTGATCGGGGCTTGGCTTGTTTTGGGCGCTGTAACGTTCCAGACGCCGCTGCTGGCGCCGCTGTTTTACTTCCAGTTTTTGCGCATGCGGTATGCGCTGAGTGCTCCGACGAGGGCGGCATTCCGTCGTGTGCGGTCGACGCTGGATTCGGTGTTGACGCCGCCAGGCGCCAGCACCAAAGTGCCGGCTGTTGTCACGGACTCGTACATCAAGGTCAGAGACTACTTGGTTGCCATGGGAACCAACATTTTGAACCCAGTTGCCCAGCAGCAACAGCAGCAGCAGCAGAGGCAGAGATAGGCTCTTTATTCTTTTCATTTTTTTTGGCTTGTGTAAGCTCTCAATTAAATCTTTTTGGTTAATCAGGTGCTTCAACGATCAAGCAAAATAGAGTGGGGGGGGGAGTTGGGCGGGCAGGAGCAGGGGCTGGTTGGTGTAATTGAAAAACAATGTTTTTTACTCTGTAGTACAGTGGATTGAGTGAGCCCTCCCCCCCTACTTCAGAATTTCCATTCTTATTTTTTATTATCTTTTATTTTTTTTCCCAAACCGAGAAGGAAATACATTAAACGCATTTATTTCAATTTCAATATAAACAGTCAATGATCATTGGTACATTCACAACCTCGGCGTCGCAGTCTCTCGCACGCGTGTCCAAGACACTTCTCTCGCGCCCACTCCCAGCCTACCGCCTAAGCTCGTTCCACACGACCACAGCATTCCGCAAAACTGCCAGCAGCAATGAGGTTAAGCTGAATCTAGATTGGGATGGGTTTTTCAAAATGCGCCGTCAGAGACGCCTTTGGGAGCGGCTGGCTGCACTGCCGTGTGCGATGCTGGGACTAGGTGCTGGAGCCGCGGTATTTGCCAGTTTGCCGATTAACCCACAGCAGACATTCATGGGACTTGATCCGTTGATCGTGTTCAGTGGCGCGACGATTTTCTGCGGCGTGCTGGGGTTTGTCGTCGGCCCGTCGGTTGGCCGCGTGTGGTATCGGATTGGAAACGGGGAGATGGCTAGGGCGATTGATGCGAAGGAGGCGGAGTTCTTTAAGCACGTGAGGGCGAACCGGTCGGACCCCAACTTTAGCTCTGCAAGCAACCCACTGCCGGACTTTTACGGCGAGAAAATCAACTCGCTCAGCGGATACCGTCAGTGGCTAAGGAAGCAGCGCGAACATGAGCGCAAGGGCACGTTCAAGCTGGGCTCGGCCAAGAGAAAGTAGTAGATTAAAAAATATATATTTGTGCTTTCTTTTTTTTCTTTTTCTTTCTTAGTTGTTCACCAGTGATTTGATTTTGGAGATGATGCCGATTAGAGCGTGGGCGGCGGGTGAGTCTGCGTGGGCATCGAGGAATGGCGTGCCTTGGTCGCAGGCACGGCCGATGCGCGGGTCCAGCGGAATGGTGCCAAGTAGGGGCAGGCGCAGCTCCTCACAGAGCGCCTTGGCGCCGCCAGTGGTCGGATAGAAGATTTGCGATTCGCCGTGGCACGAGGGACACACAAAGCCGCTCATATTCTCGACAACGCCAATGATGGGCACCTTGGCCTTGCGGCAAAAGTCAATCTCCTTGCGCACATCCTGCAGGGCAACCTCCTGCGGCGTAGTGACAATAACGGCTCCCGTGATTCCGCTGTCGCGCAGCATCTGTACAACCGACAGATGCTCGTCAGAGGTGCCCGGGGGGGTGTCGAAGAGCAGGTAGTCGAGGGCACCGCCGTCGCCTGTGCTCCAATCGACGTCCTTGAGAAACTGCTTAATCATGCCGTTTTTCTTTGGCCCGCGCCAAATCACCGCTGACTCCTCATCCGGCAGCATAAAGCCAATGGACATGACCGCCAGGTTGTCCTGCACGTACACCGGGGACCACCCATTGGATGACCGGTGGATCTCCTCGCGCTCGCACCCCATTATCTTGGGCACTGACGGCCCGCAAATATCAATATCAACGACGCCAACGTCGACGGTTTCGTCGCTGGACAGAGCAAAGGCCAGTTGGGTGGTGAATGTGCTTTTGCCGACGCCGCCTTTGCCCGAGAGAATCAGGATCTTGTGCCGGATGTTGCGCAGCCGCTCGGATATGATTGAGAGGTCCGGGTCAGGCCCGGATGCTTGTGTTGAACAGATCTCTTGGTTCGGGCAGCCCTCGCAGCCGGCTGCGCGGCCTGCGCCGGTGCTCTCGGGTCCTGGGCAATGCTCATTTGCGTTTTCTGGCACGTTGCTCGCTGGGCCTGTGTTTTGAGTTTCTGTTGTTTTGGAAGTGGACATTTTTTGTATTTGTAAGTGTTTGAATTTAGAAATATAAATTAATAGAAAGAATTGTGGAAAGAGGAAAGAGGAAAGAGAAAAGGGGCGTGGTGTTTTGCCTATTTGCAAATTGGGTCAATGCGCTGCATTTTGTCCAATAAAAAAAAAAAAAAAAAAAAAAAAAAAAAAAGAGGCATAATTTTTTGGCTTACAAATCCAGAAAACAATCATACAAAATTGTTATTGGGTGAGTTTTTGACAAAGTCCCTCTATCCATTCATTTTGTAGCCCCCAGATAACACAAGTAGTGGTTGGGCTGTCAGGCAAGTAATAGCTGCCATGATGTGAGAAAAAGTGTTTTTAAAAATAAAATAAAAAGTATCTAGTCTTGTTGCGCTTTTGGATGCTGGGCCAGCCTTTGGGATCAGGCTTTGCCGATGTAATGTCGCGGTTTCAACACCCGAAATTAAAGTTAGACTCGACGGCGGTCTCGGCTTAATCCTTAAGCAACCAAACTTTTAATTTTCTGTGAAGTGCCGGACCTTGTTTTATGATTTTTTTTGAGTATCATATATAAATCGTGTGACTGTGAATACTGTATATATAATTAAAAATTAAAAACCTACATAGTTCTAGAAGAATTTTATATTCACCACATGAGGATACATTTGACTATATGATTTGATAAAGTCTTTATACTTGAATTCATCCGGCAGACAAGTAACGTTCTTTAACGACAGAATTGCCAGCAATAAATATTCCAAGCACTCAATCTGTGCCTCCTTATTATCGTCTACCACAACCATACCCATCACGCTTATTTCCGTAATCGTATGCGAAATAGGACTAACCTGGCAAAAGTTGAATTTACTATTGCCGTTGTAGATAATATCAGTAAGGACTAGTTGGCTCAACCCAGGTGTTTTTACAATAAGATCCAAGAGTGCAGTGTAGTCTATGGGTGAGCCTGCTCCCAAGTTGTGAAGGTTGGTCCACGCGATTTTATGGGGGTCTAGGGTGGTGTCCCCGTTTATATCTATGTAGAGCCCGGACTGTTTTATTTTAATCGGGCCTGTGTAAAAATCATTTGTTACTTGGTATAATACGTCATCTATAATATCATTGGGGGGTTTTGTGCGGATTTCAACATTGCACGTGCTGATTTTTTATTTTTATTTTTGCTTATGGTGGAATCACTCAGCAGCTTTAGCGCCCTGTGTGAACCCTTTGATTTCCACATTACCCAGGTGGGTGAAACTAATGGTTGCATTTAATAAACTGCTGTTATTGTATATATTCCTAACGATCAGATTGCGCAAGCAAGGCATGTGTAAATTAAATGGCTGGTTGTTGCTTTTGATCAGTTTATCATTTGGATTTTCCAGGTATTCGCCTGCCTGTTCTACTTCAAAATGTTTGAGATTTTCAAAAACAATATCCTTTACTTTAGTATTATCATTGTTTATGTTGGTTTTGTCTACAAACATTTGCCAATTGAAATCATCAAGGTTTCCATAAATACATATCTTTTCGATTTTTTCCGGATTCACCCTAGGCAACGTGATCACTCCCCGGGCGCCAACATCAACAATCAAACATCTAATATTCGACAAGAATATATCTGCATCCAACATCACATTAGGCAAAATATTACACTCATACGATTCAGCCTGATGCGCATATGCGCTAGCAATATATTTGCAGAAATATTCTGCATATATATCGCAATCACTTTCCACACAGGCAACCAAGTTACTGATGCTGGGCATGCCAGAGACAAAATATTCTGCAAATAATTTAGTCGCCTTGAAGTAATTTTCATCGCTGCTGTATGCTTCAGCATAATAAAAGTCACAATTGCGTGTGGCGACATGCAGGGTTTTGACCGTGGACCATTGACAGTATCCGTAAGGCATTAGTCTTTGAAGTCTGTTGATTGTTGCGTTAGTTACCTTTACGGTGTGAAGTTTTGGACAGTTGATGGCCAATACAGGGGTTTGGCCTTGTCCCTGAATGCTTTCCACACACATTTGGTAATCCGCTATTTCGTCGTGTTCGAGCCAGCCAAAATTAACGTCTATCTCTCTTAGCTGTTCAAAATTCAGCGCCCCCAGTGATGTTGAATTATTATCTCCAAATAAGTCCCAGGAAAAGCACGCGTCTGCGTCAACAAGCTGGAATTTCTCCAAAGTTTTGGCGAATAGTCCAGGCAAACTGCGCAAAGTGTAAGAGCGCGAATGATGCAGTATCAGGTGAGTAAGCTGCGGCGCAAACCGAGCAGCGGTGAATGTCACCGGGTACGCCAAATCCACGTAATCTAGCTGATCCACGTACATATTAAATAACATGTTGTAGAATGCAGTTCTATCGGCTGCGCATTCGTTGAGGGTTAGTTGGGTCACTTTGGGCATGTTTCGTTTAATGTTGGATGCCAGAGATTTGACGCGCTTTTCAGTTACGTTGAATGAATCGTCAGAGGTGCTAAATTTTAGTTCTTCCACGTCTATATCGAGCGTGGTGACGTTTGGCCAATGGCATTGTTTAAAGCTCAGGATGTGTTCCAAGTGAGCAAAAGTGGGGGCTGTAATGTCCAGTTGTATGACTGCTGGGAAGTGCACTTTACCTTGACTGTTCATTGATTTTATATCGGCAGCCTCATCAATGGACAGGGTAAAGTTGAGCAGGTTTGGGAAAACAATGCTGGAAGATTGCTCGCCAATTGTTAGTTTTTTCCAGGCAAAACTCTCGTTGACGTTTGTTAAAACCAGGTGCTCCAACATATCCACATATACGCGTGGAACAAACTCAGTCGAGCCCAAATCAACTTCTAAATCGGTTAGCTGGGCAAACTCGGTTGATTCCACGAGTGCAAGCGGCTCGCAGCATTCCAGGTATTTAAGCTTAGAAGCGTAGAGCCGGGGCAGCATTTGGGTAATAGGTTGAATGCCATTGGTTTCGTCGTTTATAGGCAAATGCAGTTCGGAAACATTGGGCATGTGTTTGGCAAACTGCTCAGCTAAAGTGCGTGCCTCGTGGCAATAGTCCGACTGCACTTCCTCCTCTTCATCCTCGTTGCTGCCGACCTCGATGGTACCCACAATGGCGATGCTTTGGACGTTGGTCCAGTTGCAATCATCAAACGAGAATATCGACGGCGATTTGGTGACTAGCGACTGGCAGTACTGCGGATAATCCAAAGTGACATGCAGGGTTTTGACCATGTGGGTGTTCCCGGTGGCCCTGATCAGGCCGATGTTCGTGAAGATTAGCTTGGGCTCTGTATTTGCGGTATCGGTAATGGATTGAATGAGCTTGGTGAAGCCGGTGCCGTGCTCGTTGGTTCCGTCCAGAATGGCGTTTCTGTAGACTAGAGGTGCTGCTGTCTTTCTCCATTTACGACAGACGCCCAGGAGCGGGAGGGTTGCGGTCCATGCATCAATGTCGAAATTGTCCGGGTCTATGATCTTGCGTAGTATGAGATGGAGAACTACAGATGGAGGTTGGCTGAAACAAGGCATTATTTGAAGACTGTAATTAAAAATAAGCAAAAATAGGGATTGAGATAAAGGAGAGAAAAAAGGGAATGGTCAAGAACTTGTACTATTTTAATTATTTATATACAGAAAAAGAAAAAGAAGCGTTTAAGCACGTGTGTGAAAAAAAGAAAAAGAAAAAGAAAAGAAAAAGAAATAAAGCGACAATGAAAAAAACATAATATTTTCTAACAATGTGTGTGTGTAAATAAAAATAAGGTAATTTCAATCGGGAGTTTGAAGAAAAATAAAGAGTAGCCGCTTATTTTGTAATCAATTACATGTTGATTAATTACACAACTCATCACATTATGTAAACCCATAGGATTGGTAAATTATATGCTTAATGCTATCCGCAATTATCAGCCCCTCCCCTTCCCACCCCCCTGGTACAAAACTCGCTTACTTTTTGTTGTTTTTCGCAGACCTCGTAACTTATTTCAATCCTTAATTTCTTATAAATGGCAGGGAGCAGCGGCAGCAATAACAACAAAAACAACAACAGCAACAGCAGCAAACAAAAGGGCAGCAATGCCAGTAGTGCTAATGGTGGTGGAGGCAAACAAAAGGCAGCAGCAGAGCCCACCAAAGACAAGAAAGCAGGCAAAGACACTAAAGCAAGCAAAGACACTAAATCCACCAAACAATCAAGCAAAGACACAGCGATCCCAACCACAGGAACAGCACTAGCCGCCAAGCCCGTTCTTTTCAGCGGCTGGACAGGCAAAACGCCAGCAACCTTGCTAAACGAATACGTGCAGAAGCAGCCAACCTGGCACCGAGCGTCCTACAATGTCTCGGGCGGCACCAACACAGGCGGCTACACGTGCTCGATCCACCTAGGCAAAATCGACCCCAAGAACAAATCCACGCCCTTGGCAGTCCACCTCCGCGCACCCGCCAGCCTCGTGGAGAAGCAGCCGACACCCGTGGAGGCCCGGCACATGGCAGCCACGTACGCCCTGTATCGCATGCGCTCAGACACCAGCATGTATCTGAGCCTGCCGCCGGAGCACCGCGCATACTGGGCGCTGCTGCAGGAGCGGCGCGAGGACGGCCGGTGGAAATACGCGGCGGATCCGTTTCTGGCGCAGGCCGAGCGCGAGAAGGCGCAGGCGGAGGGCGACCAGGCCAGGGCAAAGCGGGCAGAGAGGCTCAGGCGCGCAGAGGAGGACGGGCACCGCGAGGAATTGCTGGCGCCAGGCCTGCGCGCGCGCTGGGAGGAGATGGCCGAGGCAAGGATGGCCGAGCACCACCGGCTGCGCGTCGAGGCAGTTGTGCGCGAGTGGACGCGGCACTGGGGCGTGGCGGACCAGGACGCCGGCACGTGCACTGTGGAGGGCCTCGTCCGCCTGGGGTTCCGCCCGGCCCACGCCGAGGAGGCCCTGCTGTATGCCCGGTCCAAGGAGCGCGCGGTTGATTGGCTGTGCGTGCACGTGCCCGAAGACGACCTGCCGCGCCAGTTCATCAGCCGCGTGGAGGCGCCGTCGGTGGTGCGCGGTGGCCGCGTGCGGGCTGCGGCGGAGCGCACGCTGGCGCAGTGCGGCTTTGCCACGGCGCTGGTCAGAGACGCCGTTGGGCGGGCGGCAGAGCGGCTGGGCGACGCGCGCGAGGACGCGGTGGAGGCCGTGGCGGCGCAGCTTCTGGTCGCGCGGCTGCTTGGCGGCTCGGAGGCACGGCTGCTTGGCGGCTCGGGGGCGCGGCATGGCGACCCCGGCCCCGAGCTGCTGTTCGCCGAGGAGGTCGAGTCGCTGCAGGCGATATTCCACGGCGAGGGCTCGCGGGTCGTCAGCAGGGGCGCCTATGCGCTGAGCGTGCAGCTGCGGCCGCGCGGCATGGACGCGGCCGGCGGCCTGCGGCTCGAGGTATGGGTGCCGCCTGGGCTGGACTACCCCGGGGCGCAGGCGCCGTTCATGGCGGTCAGCGGCGCGCTGCCGGCGTTTCTCAAGCTGCATGTGGCGCGCAAGATCGCCGCGTGCGTGCGTGCCGACGGGCTGCCGCTGGTCTTCGACGCCGTGTGCGCCGCCGAGGACGGGCTGGCGCAGTGGGTGGCCGCGCCGCCGCCCCTGGTCGAGCTGCGGAGCGGCGTGGCCAGCGCCGGTGCACGCGAGCCGACCGGCGGCCGCGAGCCGGGTGCGCCGGGCGCAGCGGCCGCGCCGAGGCCTGGCCGCCGCACCCGCCCGGCGTCCAACGCCACCGCGCAGCTGGCCGCCCAGTTTGCGCGGCTGCAGACGGACGCCACGTACCAGAAGATGCAGGCGGCGCGGCGCCTGCTGCCGGCGCACGCGCGGCAGGCCGAGATCGTCGCGGCCGTGGCGCAGAGCGGCTGCACGGTGATCGCGGGCGCCACGGGCTGCGGCAAAACCACGCAGGTGCCGCAGTTCCTGCTGGACGACGCGCTGCGCCACGGGCGGCCGGTGCGCATCGTCTGCACGCAGCCGCGGCGCATCTCGGCCATCGGCGTCGCCACGCGCGTCGCCGACGAGCGCGCCGAGACGCTGGGCCGGGGCACCGTCGGCTACGCCGTCAAGGGCGACGCGAAGCAGGGCGCCGACACGCGGCTGCTGTTCTGCACCACCGGCGTGCTGCTGCGCATGCTCAGCAGCGACCCGCTGCTCGAGGCGGTCACGCACGTGGTGTGCGACGAAGTGCACGAGCGGTCGGTCGACTCGGACCTGCTGCTGGCGCTGCTGCGCGAGTGCGCAGGCCGCCGGCCGCAGCTGCGCGTCGTGCTGATGAGCGCCACGGCGCAGAGCGACGTGTTCGCCGCGTACTTTGGCGGCCGCGCGCCGGCGCCGGCGCCGGTGCTCAGCATCCCCGGCCGCACGTTCCCGGTGGACGACGTGTTCGTCGAGGACTTTGCGCGCGAGGGCGCGCTGGCCGACGTGTTCGGCGCGGCGCACCTGGGCAAGGCGCGCGCGCGGCTGGCGGCCGTGCGAGTGCGCGCCGCCGCCGCCGCCGCCGACGCCGCCGCCGCCGCCGACGCGGCCGAGTGGCTGCGCCGCGTCGGCGCGCTGCAGCAGGCAGCCGGGCTCGGCGACGTGCATGCCGCGTGCGTTGCGCTCTGGGACGACCGCCACGGGCTGCTGCCGGGCGCGGCCGCCGGCAGCGGCGAGGGCTGCATCGACTTTGCGCTGGTGGCCGCCATCGTGCGCCACATCCACGCCACGGCGCCCGTCGACCAGTCCGTGCTGGTGTTTGTGCCGGGCGCGGCCGAGATCCGCCAGTGCATTGGCGCGCTGCCTGCGGGGCTGCACGTGCTGGCGCTGCACGCCGGGCTGTCGGCCGCCGAGCAGCGCCGGGTGTTCGACCGGCCGCCCAGGGGCAGCCGCAAGGTCGTCGTGGCGACGAACGTGGCCGAGACCAGCATTACGATCGAGGACATCGGCTTTGTCGTCGACTCGGGCCGCGTGCGCGAGGCGTGCCGCGATGCGCACTCGGGCATTGCGCGCCTGGCCACGCGGTTCTGCTCGCAGGCCGCGGCCACGCAGCGCAGGGGCCGCGCCGGCCGCATGCAGCGCGGCACCTGCTACCGCGTGTACACGCGGCAGACGCTCGCGGCCATGCGCGAGCATGCCGAGCCGGAGATCCTGAGGACGCCCCTGGAGCAGGTCAGCCTGCAGGCGAAGGCGCTGGGCCACAGCGACTCGCTGCACTTCATGCAGCGCCTGCTGACGCCGCCCGAGCCGGCGGCGGCGCACAACGCGGAGCTTTTGCTGGTTGCCCTGGGTGCTTGCGACAAGGTGGCCGGCCCCCTGGGCGCGCTTGGCCGGCTGATGGCCGAGATCCCGGTGGACCTGCGCCTGGCCAAGATGCTCGTGTATGCGGCGGTCTTTGGGTGCTTGGACCGCGCGCTGGTCTTGGCTGCACTGATGGCCCACGACAAGCCGCTGTTTGCTGCGCCGTTCGAGAAGCGCGATGAGGCTCAGCGGGAGCGCATGCGGTTTGCTGTGGATGGCCACGGCGACTGGATCGCCGACCTGTGTGCGTATGAGTACGTGGCTGGGCAGCGCGGGCAGCTGGACTTTGTGTCTCGCGCGGTGATGCGTGATGTCAGGAACAACGTGCGGTCGCTGCGCGAGGCACTGGCCTTCACAGGCCTTTCGGAGCCGTCGGAGCCGTCGGAGCCGTCGGAGCCGTCGGAGCCGTCGGAGCTGTCGGAGCTGTCGGGGCCGCCGGGGCCGCCGGACCCGCTGAAAATCACCCGTGGCGGTGCCGATCCCATGGTTCTGCGCGCAGTGGTGTTTGCTGGTTTGTCGCCGAGCATCGCGCGTGTGCGCGTGCCCAAGCAAAAGTACTACGAGGTTGTCGGCGGTGCTGTTGGGATCGACCGCGAGGCGCGCGAAATGGCATTTTACGCAGTTGATCCCCTGGGACCCAGCCCCAAGTGTGCGCAGCGGTGGCAGGGCCATGATATGCGCGCGGACCGCCGTGTATTTATCCACCCCCAGTCGACGATGTTCTCGGAAAACAGATACGCCGTCCCGTTTGTCACGTTTTTTGCACTGACGCAATCGGGTGCGCAGAAAACCTACATGCGGGATGTTACGGTGCCTGGGATGTACGCTTTGCTGTTGTTTGGCCCGCAGCTGGTCGTTGATCCCGAAAATAAGGTTGTCTGTGTTGGGCCCACGGGTGGTTTGGCTGTGAGGGCCTGGCCGAGGGTGGCGGTGTTGGTTAATCAGCTGAGAAGCCTGTTGGATGAGCTGCTGAGACGCAAGCTGGACGACCCCTCCCTGCGTATTGCTGCGCACCCGGTTGTCGAGGCAGTGCTTGAGCTGATTCGCACCGACGGCAAATAGGATCAAGTTTTGATTAGACATAACATAACACAACATAGAATACATTTATAGACTTTTCTCATTAGAAACTTCAAGATTAAAAAAGGCTCATTATTATTGATGTTATTGTTATTGTTACCATTACTGTTACTGTTACCGTTGTTGTTATTGTTACTGTTGTTGTCATTGTTACTGTTATTGTTTGATCCTACTCCAACCCCTGCTGCTTCATACCCCTCATATCCACTGCCCCAAAGTCCTCCTCTTCCTCCTCATTTCCAAAGTCTTGCTGGTGCTCCGAGCGGTCCTTCAGCGTATACACCACGTAGAACATTGGCGGTAGAGAGATGGCTAGCAGCACCCAGTTTCCAATAAGCTGGTTCAAGTACGACACGTTCTTGGCATCCAATTGCCAAGCGACCGTCGCTCCCAACGACTGGATGCCCTTGTAGAACCCAGCATAGCGCGACAGTTTCTGGCTGTCGTTCGTCAGCGACCCAATGATCCAGTAGGCAAAATTCTGGTACAGCGCATCGCCAACGCCATAAAGCATATACAGGATGATTGGGCCCGCCGCACGCTTGTGGTCCAAAAAGTCAATCAGGCCGCCAGGGTAGTCTGTTGGCTCGCCGTTGGACAAGGGCCCGTGGGTGTACTTGAGCTGCATCTTGAGAGTCGCGCCCCAAATGACATTGAAGAACACCGCGACGATGCCAAACGCAATCAGCCCGCGCTTCTTGCGTGTCATCCGCGGATTGTCCAAGAGAAACGATAGCGCGTAGGCACCGACCATTTGCGCGCCCCAGTAAAAGATATTGTTGAACCCACGCGTGCGGATATTGAAAATGGACGCGTTGACAGGGCCGAACTGGTACGAGTAAAAGAAATTCGACGTAAAGCACATGGGCAGCAATGCGAGCATCAACGGGTTGAGAAAAAGCTTGGCAATCTCAGCAGCCTCTTTGCCCGCACTCGTGTACTTGACCAGCACGACGGATGCTCCGTCGTCGCGCACAACCTTGGATGGTGGAGCCAGTGCCAGGCCTAACAGGGCGCCGAGGCATTCGAGCACGACAAATGCAATGTACACGCCGTCTGACAACGAGTCCTTAGCGCTATGGTAGTTGATCGCAAATGGAAGAATTCCGCCCAGCATGCCGCCTAGATTAAATATTATCCAGAAAATGGCAATGTACCTGCCCTTCTCCTCCTCTCGCGGATACGACACCATGATCATGCCCTGCGCCGCCCACAAAATCCCAGCGCCTATACCCAGAATCGCGCCAGCCGCAATTGTGAAGGCACCGTTCCCCGTGTGGTTCAGGTAGATGTACGACCCGGAGTACAGCGCGTAGGTTAAGCCTGATGCAGCGATGGTCCAGCGCACGCCGCAGAGATTGACGATTGAGCCGCCAAGAATCCCAAAAACAATAAACGTGCAGTAGAGCGCTGTGTTGGCGTTGTTGCCTGTTGTGCGGTCCATCTGTCCGCCGCCGCCCATGCCGTTGAGCGCGTTGAACATGCCCGGACACAGGAAACACACAAACCCAACCAGAACAATTTGCGTCATTGGGCTGTAGTACCGGACACCTCTGAACTTGTCAAAAAAGCCCATTGTAATTTTTTTATAAGAAATAAATGGTTGTAATATTAAAACAGATAAACGAATGCCAATTATAAAGGGAAAAGAAAAATTGAAGTGGGAGGAAAAGTGAAAGAAACAAAATGGATTAGACGAAGAGCCCCCGTATTCGACCTATTATATTCCCGAATCACAATGGAATTACAAAAAGAAACGAATTCTTGTTTATTTTAATTTTATTCTAGCCAACGCATTGAATAAATGCTACATCAATTGAAGCCAATAAATAGACCATTTTTAATATCCAAATCAAGGCAGTAAAAAAAAAAAAAAAAAAAACTGCCTCGGATACGGCACCTAACTATAAATAGAAAAAATATCCAACGTATTTTTTAAACTCCAGATAAAATCCATTTACTATAACCAACTAGCTATCAATTATCTAAAAGTGCCGATCGATTGCAATAAATAAATAACTCAAATGGAAAAGCGCTGAATCACCTTACTAAACAAAGATCCTCACAAATGATTTTCTAGACATTTTAAAGGTATTCAAAATTTTTCAATTAATTTTACACTTATAAATAATTTATAGCAACAAATGCTAATCTATTCGTAATAAAAAAGAAAATATACATCGAGAAAGATAAAAACTATAATAGGGGGAAAAAACACTTATAAACATAAAACACTTAGATTGCGATTTTCTTGTACCTACGCAGTGAGCGATATTTATTAGCGCACTGAGTAGGTGTCTTTGTAGCAACAATATCAGCAAAATGCCTCCAATTCCTATCCGCGCCATGAGTCACCGCATACCTAACCAGCAGTTCCGTCTCCTCATCTGTCCACTTTGCCGAATAAAACGCAGGATCAACAACCACAACATTACTGCCAATATTGCTCAATTCTGTTGATAGCTGAGGTGCTGTTAGTTTGGGCTTGCGGTGGGCGCGACGAGACATCTTGCTGGCGCCCAGTGGGTGTGCACAGATAAGGATAAGCGCGCATTTGTCGGCTGTCACTTGGTTGTAAGCGGATAGGGCGGAGCGAACACTGTCGAGCAGCTGCGTGATCTCCATAGACCTGTCCTCAACGTACGTGTTGACGAGGTTTTGCGCCGAGGATATGGCTGGGGCGTCCAGCTCTGCAGGAAGCATTGTTAGCTGCTGCTGCTGTTGATCCTGATTCTGATTCTGCTGTTGGGTATTGAGCGCGCCGTTGGCAAACAAAGACAGGGACATAGACAAAGACAATGAAGATGAAGAGGATAAAGAAGAATGTGCCTGCTGGGCGCGCCACATCAGTCGCGCCTGAGCCACCCGATTTTCAGTCATAGTAGGCGAGAACTGACGCGCAATCTGCATATCCGACCATCCCAGAGCCGACAATCTAGCCAGTTCCTGCAGGGCCGAAGCATTCCAATCAAACCGGCCACAGAGCAAACCGTACATCGTGATACAATCGGGCATTGAGACCCAAAGAAAGTTCGACACCGCTGCAAAATTAATGGGCTCAGGAGCTGGATAAAACTCATTAATTAAGGTGCGCAGTGTCTCGGCCATGTCCCAGCGGAACGTCTCGGGAGAGTAGATCCACGGCTGCTTGCCTGAGTCACAGTGGCTGTTCTCAAGACACTTTTTCACTGGGAGTCCGGTTTGCTGGCTCACCACAGCCCAGTTGACCGGGCCACCCGAGAGACATTGCATTTCGACACATTCGGAAATTCGAATGTTATCGATTTCAGGTATATTAAGCTGCGTCTTGTGCAGCACGTTAGTATGGCCAGTGGTCCACGCCACATGGCTGACCGAGTCTGGCCCCTTCTCTTGCAGATCCACCTGGTCTGCGCTCTTCTCCTGCTCCTCCACCGAGGAAATCTCTGGTTTTTTCAGAGTTTTGCGGCGGCATTGTAGAGGCAGTTTTGAGCCAATAATCCGCGACGCCATGCGGCAGGGGATGCCCAGTTGTCGGCACAAGGCCAGGATTTCAGTCTCGCTCGCAGTCCACTCGCGTGTAATCCTCGAATGTACCGAGTATCCGCGCCAGTTCTCTGCCAAGTCGCCGCCGCGTATGCCCATTATTTGTCCAATCAGCAGCCAGTTTTCACCATGTCGTCTGATGAGCCGCTGCGCCTCGTAAAACTGGTCGACATTAAAGTACGTCATGTGGGCGAGGCCTGCTGGCTCGTCAGTCTTGAATGACCGCCTGCCGCCAGCGCGTTTCCCCACATTTTTAGTGATTGTGGACAATGTGGTCATTGCGCTGCCGGCTGTGATTGAACCCGGTGTTGCTGGCATGGTGCCCTGGGAATTGGCAGAGTGTGTACCTGTTAGGTGGTCTGGTGTATTGGCATTGCGATTCAACTCGGCGCTGTTCTGCGGCAGGCTGCGGCAGACGGTTTCCCAAGAGACGCCCTGCATGCCGTGGTTTGTAATGTGACCAAGCAGGCTATTAGTCAATGCAGACATATCCTCTGGCACAGTAACCAGAGAGCTCTGCTGCTCCTGCTGGTGCTGGTGGTGCTGGTGGTGGTGGTGTGTTGCTGCGATGGTGTTGATATCTGCTGTTTCAGCAAATGGTAACTGCGGAGAGAGCGACAGTGTGGCATCCATAGGGGAAAACATTCCAAGCAGCTGAAAATCCGGGCAGCTGGGCGACGTCATAGACTGGCTGCTATAAATCGAAGCCGTGACCTGTGGGAGCTGCGCATATTGTGTGAGAAAGTTCAAGGAGAGCTGTGCACTCTGAGGAAACTGCGGCCACGCAGACATTGAAGCAGATGCACCAGTAGTTCCAGAGGTGCCAGAGAAGCTGCCAGAAGTGCCAGAAGTGTCAGAAATTGAGGCTGGAGCAGCATCAACTGTGTTGGGGAGCTGTGCAAGCAGAGGCTGCGCAACTGGGCTAGTGTTCATAGGATACGAGGGCCATACCGATGGTGGTTGGATTTGGGTATTTGTTGGGTGTTTGGAATTTGAGCTTGTCTGCAGTTGCAGCGGCTGTGTAGCTGAGATTATGTCACGCTGCATTTGGACCAGTTCCATTGGGGTGGAGAGCATGAACCGCTGGAGTGGATGTCCCTGCTGCATCTGGAATAAGTTAAACGGTGGCATTTCCAAGTATATACGAGCAAAAAAAATAAAGTTAATGTTTGCAAAAAAAGAAGGTAAAATAGTGCTACTAATAATATTAATAAAAAAGATAATAAACAAAGAAAAAAGTTTTTGGCAAAAAAATTTGGCAAAACAAAAAAAAGAATTAAAGAGACAATTTGGGGATATGCAAGTGTACTTATATACACATATGCAGAGAAAAAAATAGATGGGGGTTGTTGGGAAAGAAAAAAAGAGCGGAAAATAAATGTAGCCCGGAGACATGTTTCAATTTATTTTTCAAAATACCATTGTTTAGTTCCTAGCTTTCTTATTTTATTTTTCCCGAGAAACATAATTTTTTTATTAAACTTGAAATTGGATGAGTGATTAAATGAAATGCGGCTCCGGCAAAAAAAAAAATGATGAATGACATATGCACATCCCAATTTTTTTATTTCTCTTCAATTTTTATTCTTAAATATGGTACAAAGTATGTAAACATAAACAAAAAACAAACATAAAGAAAACTGAGAAAGCCTTTGTATGCGAGTCGTTGATTTTTTTGGTTAGTTTTAGTTGGGAAATATCTATTCTTGTACTTGCCGAGTTTTGCAAATACACGATGAAAAATAAATGTAAACAGTGTTTTTGCCATTTCCCTTAGTTATTGAGCTTAAAAAGTAATATAAGGTTTTTTCAATTTCAATTTACTCAAAACAAGCTTGCAAAATGGAAAAAAAAATTGTTTGCCTATCCCAGTAAGGCAAATCCCAGGCAATGTCATCAAATACGCAGCCACACTATCCAGCTCCATCCACATGCGCAATTTTTTTTATTTATTTGAGCTGGAAAAAGAGGATGACCAAAATGCTGCAAGGGGCCTCTGTCATTCTCATTATAAAAAATCAACAGTATACAAAAGCAAGAGATTAGCAGCCATCCAAAAAAGCTTCATATCTCACACACGCACACACTCCCGTTATTCTTTTTCTCTCAACCACATGCAACCGTATACATGCTCACATGCTAATTTTTTTATTCAATACTTGAAATGGCGCAAATGAGCGGCATATAGTTGCTTTGCACCATGCAGCTCCATCATCTGCAGTGTTGGGGGAGGCAAGGTGAGAAATCAAATTTAAGGGCCTGCCCTGACCCTTGCCATGCCTCGGCTCGATGCACAATGATGTATGTATGTATATGCATAAATTGCACAATTAAAAAATAAAATAAATTAGATGCCGAGCTTTTTTTTTGACGAGTTGCGTTAATTAAAAATCAATATTAGTCAAATTCAACAAACAGTTTTGAGCTGATATAATGTCTCTGAAAGTAATGCCTCTCACACACAAACATTAACGCACACCCGGAGTATCAAACCAACCGTCTCCCCTAAAAAACATATTTGAACAAACATCGATACTTTTATTTAAAAGAAAATACAGTAAATACTGCATTAATTTGCATTCCTTATCAACCATTTGCTCGAGTCAAGTTTTTTATTCCTCGCACACTTGGAGCCAAGCGACAGAAAAAAATTTCAAATAAAAAGGCAAGGCTAGCACAGCACGTGATGGGACGCAGCCTTTGTCAGGCGATTCATCACAGCGAGGCCCTCGTTGGCGTCAACAACGCCCTGCACAAGAATCGCCTCCACGTGTTCGATCTCGTCCAGCTCGCGCAGCAGCGCAAAGATACTGTGGGCCAGTTCACGCGCCCCGCCGACGCAGTGCACTGTCAGCTCGCACCCAGCAGGCGCAACAAACGCAGGCGCCGGCACGTCATCGCCAGCAGCAGCAACAGCGACAGCAACAACTCCGACCTTGCGCACGCCCTTCAGTGCCAGCGTGTCGATCTGTGCCTGCATGCGCGCACTGATGGCCTCCGACTGCGGGCCGGGCACAAAGACGTGGACAGGTGCGGTGGGTGCGTAGTGGCGGTACTTCATGCCGGGCGTCGTCGGCGCCAGCTCCAGCGCGGCCGACGTAAAGTCGCGACGGTAGACGCGCAGCCGCTGCCACACGCCGCCTAGCGCGCGCAGGTCCTCGTATGTGACTCCTCCAGGGCGCAGTATGCAGGGCGCGAGCTCGCCGTCGACGTGTGCCGTGGCCGAGTACGCGTCCAGCACGGTGCTCTCGACCCCGACATCACACGCGCCGGCGTCAACAATGAGCGGCAGCCGGCCATTGAGGTCGTGCATGACGTGCGCAGCGGCGGTTGGTGACGGGCGACCCGACGCATTGGCGCTGGGCGCTGCCAGCGGCAGCCCGCAGGCCGAGATGGCCGCGCGCGCCACGGGGTGAGCCGGGAAGCGAAAGGCAACAGTGTCGCCGTGGCCGCCTAGCACAGCCAGCGGCACGCAGGCGGGGCGCGGCAGCACCAGTGTCAGCGGCCCCGGCCAGAAGCGCCGGATGACGGCGTGGTAGGCGCGCGGAATCTCTGGCCACACCCCGTCGCCGCCCTGCTCGCGATCGCGCGTCTCGGCGTCGGCCATCGCGCTGGCCACTGCAACCGGCTCGGCCAAGCCCGCGCCTGCGCCCTCCGGTCCGGCATTAGCAGTGCCGAGGAATGGCGGTGTGGTGCCGGAGCTCGCTGGCGGAAGGTAGTAAAGCGCACGAAGCATGCGCATCGACGACACGTGCACAATCAGAGGGTTGTCTGACGGCCGGGCTTTAGCCGCGTAGATGGCCGAAACGGCCTCAGCGTCGAGCGCGTTGGCTGCCAGCCCATAGACCGTCTCAGTCGGTAGCCCGACGCACCGATTGCGCCGCAGCTCCTTGCAACACTCGGCGATCCACTGCGTGTCGCTGCCTGTCGCCAAAAATGCGCCGTCGTCCAGCGTGCTGCTGAACGTCAGCTCCACGTCATGGGCCGGAAGGATGCGTGTGGCAAAGTGAGCTGTCGCTGTTGCAATTGTCATTGTCGATGTCGTTGTGAAAGGGCTGCGCTGGGATAGAAATAATAGTCGATTAAACCGAGTTTTGGCTAAAACCATGTAAAGAAGCTAAAGAAGAGGAGAAAACTCTTTTTGAAAAATCAAACAAGCGAGAAAAAAATAAAACGATGAGGTGAGGGGAAGCAAGAAACGGCGAGAAGATCGGCGGACGCGCAGTGATGACCAACTAGCCCACCAGCCCATGGGGAAGCTGTTTTTTTATGTCGCACGGCAAATCTCACATAGCATTCAGCATACATTGTCGATCAACAAATCACCGGATCAGCCGATCAGTTTTGCGACGCAGAATCCACCGCTCTCATCAGGCTTTGGCAGCCCGACGATGCTCGCAAAAATAAAACCCGATGTTTTCAATTGTTGATTGTTATTCGCTGTTTGTTTGCTCCGCAGTCCACACTTCATTTCTCATTTTCCATTCTTATTTTCTCGATTTCATTCGCAATTCCAACACAAAATGGCAAATGACGACGATGCCAGCACGCTCCACATTCTCGTCGCCACCGACAACCACCTCGGCTACATGGAGCGTGACCCCATCCGCGGCCAGGATTCGTTCCACGCCTTCGCCGAGATCCTGCAAATCGCGCGCGCGCGCAAGGTTGACATGATTCTACTAGGCGGCGACCTGTTCCACGACAACAAGCCGTCGCGCAAGTGCCTGCACAGCGCGCTCTCGCTGCTGCGCCAGAACTGTCTGGGCAGCGCGCCCGTGGCCGTCGAGTACCTCAGCGATCCGGCCGTGGACTTTGGCACGCAGTTCCAGAGCGTCAACTATGAGGACCCGAATATCAACATTGCGCTGCCAGTGTTTTCGATCCACGGCAATCACGACGACCCCTCGGGCGACGGCAACCTTTCGGCCATGGACATGCTGGCCGTCAGCGGCCTGGTCAACTACTTTGGCCGCCAGGCCGAGGTTGATAACATCCGTGTGTCACCAGTGCTATTGCGCAAGGGTGCAACCCGGCTGGCGCTATTTGGCCTGGGCAACGTGCGTGATGAGCGCCTCCACCGCACTTTTGCGCGCAAGCATCTGACCATGTGCCAGCCGGCAGAGGACACCGCCGAGTGGTTCAATCTGCTCGTCCTGCACCAGAACCGCGTTGCGCACGGCCCAAAGAACCACATTCCTGAGCACTTCCTCAGCGGCTTTTTGGACTTGGTCGTCTGGGGCCATGAGCACCAGTGCCAGGTTGATCCTGAGTACAACCACCAAAAGTCGTTCTATGTAACACAGCCCGGCTCATCTGTAGCAACATCGCTGTCATCGGGTGAGGCCGTGCCCAAACACGTCGCTATGCTGCACATTAACAAGCGCAACTTCAAGGTTGACAAGGCGCGCCTGAAGAACGTGCGCCCCTTCATCATCGAAGATGTCGTGCTGGCTGCTGTGCCCAGTCTGTCGCCACAGAGCTCCGAGGATGAGATTGTCGAGTTTCTGCGCCACCGCGTCGAGGCCATGATAATTCGCGCGCAGCAACAGTATATTGAGCAACTTGAGAACGGCTTTAGCGACATCGAGCCGGCCCTCGGCCTGCAACCAAAGCCATTAATCCGAGTACGAGTCGAGTACAGCGGCGGCTTCGAGAGCTTTCATCCGCAGCGCTTTGGCCTCTTGTTTGCCGACCGGGTTGCCAATCCGCGCGATATAGTGTACTTTTACCGCAAGGCTCGCGCCTCGTCGTCTTCGCAGAACCGCACAGCTGCCAGCCAGAGCACAACTGCCGGGGCAACCCAGGACAGCCATGCTGGCTCCTCGGTGCCCGCGCCTGTCGACGCTGTGCATGTTGAGAGTCTGATCGGCGAGTTCCTCGACGACACCAGTATGCAGATGCTCGTTGATCTTGAGCTTGCTGAGGCCATCCGTTTGTTTGTGCAAAAGGGCGACGCGGATGCCATCTCGCAGTCACTAAAGTCCACCATTAACGAGACGCAGAAGCGCATCATGGCAGAAACCGCAAACACCGTGATTAGTGAAGCCGCGCTGGACGCTCACATTGCCCAGGCACGCGAAGTGCGCCGACAGAAGGCTGCTGATAGCGGCCATGGCATGGTGCACTCGTCCCGTGACGATGCCATGGTTGCTGTTACGCTGACTGGCGGCAAGCGCTCGGCGATTAACGTGGCCGACCGCAAGGCCATACGCGAATTTGAGCGCATCGCTGCCGCCACTGCTGCCGCCAAAAAGGGTTGTATCAGAGGCGACGTTCAGGGAGAGCCTTCCAGTTGTTTGTCTGATGACGAGAGTAATAGCGACAGCGACAAGGGTGACAGCAGCAAGAATGACGAGTTCAGGAATGCAGGCGGCGAGCTGAATCCCACAAAGGGCCGCAGACAGCCGATACGCAAGCCACCATTGCCGCCCTTGGGATCAATATTGGCGCCGGTGTCGGCGTTGGCGGCCAGCAAGCGCGGTCTTGCGACCAAAACCAACGCCAAGGCGAAATATTTGTCCGACAAGGACATGGCTGATGAAAATGAAGAGGAGCAGGGCACCGACGAGGACACAGACGATATTGCAAATGTAAAGTTTTCGGTTCGGCAACCGCCAGCAATGGTGTCGCGGCCATCACGCAACGCGCGCACAACCCTGGCCTCAAGTCGCAGCAACAGCTCGGCAGTAGCCACACAGCAATCCAATGATACCAGGGAAATCGAAGAGAGCGATAATGACGATGCTGATAGCGGCAGCGAGAATGTCACTGACCACAACGATGACTATGACGACAGCGACACGATTGAGGCATCCAACAATGTGGGTACAAATAAGAGACAGCGCGTAGTCCCATCCACGCCCAGCGCCAATGCCCATGCCGCAACTGCTGCTACCAGGGGCCGTGGGCGCGGTCGGGGCAGAGGCCGGGGCAGTTTGGTTGTGACCGGGGCTACCAAACGAGGTAGCCAAAATCCCAATACCACTCAGCGCTCGAACTCCAGTCAAATTCCTGTTGTCAACCTCGATGACGATGACGACGATGACGATGCGTTTGACAAAACCCCTGCCAGTGCCAGAAACACCGCTGGCAGCGGGTTCAGTCGCTTTTCGCTTAGAAAGAAGACTTGAGGCGCACAAATGCTGGTTCAGAATAGATAAAAAACTAACCAAGTTGCTAATTTTTTCCTGGTCTCAGTTCTTATCAAAATGGTTAATTATTTGCTTCATTTTGTAGAATCAACTGCATGGCAGACACAAAGTAAAATAAATAAAATGAGGCGAAAAAATTCTTTTTGATATAAACTTTATCGACACGAGTCAAAAAGAACCAATCCCCTTTATATTTCAAAGGATCAGTTATTTTGAAATATAAAGGAAGCTGAATCCTTCTGATAATTGGCAATTGAAACCTAAACATGTGTGCTCAACTCTCTTTTTTATTATGTATTTGCTTGTCCATTTTCTCATACTTTCACATATTCGCTATTATTTAATTGATCATTATCCATTATCCATTTCATTGCTATTTACACCATTTCCTACGGTATATTTTAATATTAGTCATTATGAAGCTCAACTGGAAAACCGGGTTTCAGCCCCGCACCACGCACAGTCTTCAGCTGCCATACGAAGAATACGTCTACGCTTTGGATATGGCCAAAGACATTGGCGACTGCTCGTCTCGGCTCATTCGTCTGCCAAACAACATGATTGCACTGTGTATTCAGGATATGGGTGCCAAGCAGGCAGCGGCCTCCCTGAGCATCAACATTGGCAGCCTGGCAGACCCGCCAGAACTGCAAGGGCTGGCACATCTTCTTGAACATATGCTTTTTATGGTAAGTGCAGCCAACATAATTATAATGCCATCCACTGTACGTTGTTTCATTTTTATGTGCACTCATATACTCCACAAGCATTATTGCTGATATTTTCAATTGGTCGTGAATATAACACTCAAATGCCCCCCAGAATCCTTATTTGTTTCGCACCATGTTTCAACTTAGGGCTCTGAAAAGTATCCCGACAAGAACGAGTACAAAAGGTATATCACTGACAACTTTGGATTTCCAAACGCGACAACGTCATCAAACAAAACAAATTATAATTTCCAAGTAGATAACAGCGCCCTGGAGGGCGCTTTGGACCGGTTTTCGCGTTTTTTTATTGATCCGCTGCTGAGCGCTGACCGCATCGAGCAAGAGCTTTTGGTTGTGGACTCTGAATTCAATCACTATGTTCACGACAATGATCACAGGTCGCACGCAGTGTTTCGCGCAACATCCAACCCCAATTTGCCATTCTCGCAATTTACAACAGGAAATATTCAATCCTTAAAGGTATCAGCCAAAAATTTGGGCATGGATCTGCGCAAAGAATTGCGTGCGTTTTTTAACACATACTACTCGGCAGACATAATGAAGCTGGTTGTTATTGGTAATCACTGCCTCAACCAAATGGTGGAGTGGGTCGTCTCCATGTTTCCATGTGTTAATAGCAAGGGCGACACAACAATAAAGCTTGCTGGCCACCCGTTCAGCAACAATGAGTTGGGCCGGGTGATTCGCTTCGAGTCTACAGGCAAAAAATACAAGATAAGGATGGTTTTTCCACTGCCAAAATTTCAACTAGACAGTGGTAGCATAAGTACGGCGTTTCTATACATTTCCACACTGCTGGCGCACGAGGGAGCTGGCTCATTACTACCTTACTTGAGGCACATGGGCTGGGCGACACACATTTTTGCATACCGCAACAACTGCGATGCTGACGGGTTTGGTGTATACTTTATTGAAGTTAACGCCACGCCGCTGGGCACAAAGCATTACGAGGACATGACCATTTCTGTGCTGACATATTTGCGCGTGCTGAGCCAAGTTGAGCCGCACAATTGGTTTATAAAGGAGGTTATTGAGCACCAGTCTGCAATTGATGCAAGCCAAGTCAGAAGCAGTGGTGTTAATCTTGCACAAAGGTTGGCCAACACAGCCCACACTTTGCTAAACCCAATCAACAACATGCCACACTGCAAGGCTGATGTTGATTTTAAAGAGCAGTTTGCATTCAAAGAAATAACGCAAGTTCTTGGTTACCTCAGCCCAGAAAACTACTGCTTGTACGTGGAGACTGCTGCATCTACACACTTTGAATGCATGCATACAGTTGAGCATTATAATGTCAAATATAAGGTGAACACACTCTCTAATTATATGACGAGCTTGGTTGACATTTCAAAATCTCCGTTAGCTATCAAATTTAGCATGCCACAGCCAAATCCATATACATTTACATTAAACGGACATAATGTCGATGACAAGTGCAGCTCAGCCCCTGCGGCCACCACCGAGCCAACTATGATCAGGAGCAATGATTCATTAGAGTTGTGGTTTATGAGTAATACTCAAGTTACAAATCGAAATGGCGTGACAGTTATTAAATTGATGCTTCAAGACACTCAAATTTCACCATTGGCAGAAATCATGTTTCGAGCGCTCTGCTCATACGCAAATATTGAGCTCAACGAAATTATGTTCCATGCCTCCCGCGCTGGCCTACAGTTCTTGGTTGAGACAATTACACGTGTATTGAAATTAAAGTTGCTGGGCACATTGCGTTGCAGAGTATTTTGATTGGGGATATTGTCAAAACGTTAAAAACAATAACTATAAAAGAGCCGCAGCTAGACCAAGTGCTGGCACAATTAAAATACGAGTTTTGTAACAGCGCATATTCAAATCCACTGCGCCAAGCTGAAAACGCACTTGATCATATGAATATCACGCCTAGTTGGCAACACGCAGAATTAGAATCCAAGCTATACCAAGTAACACCCGAGGGGATGCAGTCCCTGGCTAACCGCATATTTACAAAAATGCATACAAAATTGCTGGTAGTTGGCAATTTGCACCAGGCAGACGCTTTGCAGGTTGCTAACATTGTGCAGGCTGGATTTGCATCAGCACCACTGCACAACCCCGCCAGTTACTCGCGACGCGCTACCAATATTTCCAAGGGCACTACATCTGCCAAATACCCCTAGTGACAAAAACTGCAAGGACAGTGCCCTTATCCACAGCGTTTATTGCGAACAGTACAATGACACCGTGGATATGTAGCAGGGAACTTGCTAATCAAAATTCTAAGCGAGCCATTTTTTGACCAGATTCGCAACAAGGAGCAACTCGGCTACGCAGTAAACATATCTTCTGTGCGGGTTGTCAATGGGCGAAGAATTATCAAATTTTCTGTGCAAGGCAAAAACAGCCCCGCGTATATGGCTTTGCGTGTTGACAGATTTATATACAACGCTCGTCAGACATTGCATGAGTACAGCTCCAGAAAGTTAGCGAGACTTGTTGAGTCAATTGTCAACACGGAATGCGAGAAAGCCGGGAATCCTGGAAAACAAGTTGATGCCATTTGGAACAAGATATCATCGGGATCATACAAGTTTGGACAAAAAAACGATATAGTTAAACACTTAAAAAACGTGACTAAAGACGATTTGCTCATGTTCTGGGACACGCATATCAGCCCCAAACTTGCTCCAGCCTATACGTGTGTAGATTACTACGCATTGCTGCGGAGTTCCCCAGCCGACAAAGCCTGATATGCATTTGTATCCAGCAGAGATAATTGCATTGCATAGCTGTCTTTATAATCTTGGTGCAACATCTATTTCTGTTAATCGTTTGTGTGCGGCAGTCAATCTGGCAGCCAAGAATTGTAATAGTGCCGACATATTGATGGGTCGGCTGGAAAAGTTTCTTGATGACAAACCCTTTTTAAACTTTACACCAGTGCTAAAAACGCAATTGAAAACTGCTTTGGTGCTTTGCTTGGCAAAGTAAATACTTTAAGGGTTGAATCATATTGGTTGATGGCAATCAACTGATTAACCATTCTTGGTTGTTTACAGCCAAGCGCAACCATGTATAAGTCACACAGTGACACATATCACAGTTGTTATCTCTCACCTCTCCAATGCATAGCACTCATAATATACCATTGATTAAATACATGGTATTATATTATTTATATTCAGTTTATAAAGAGTTTCCCAGAACTCAACAATATGATGGAACACATTAGCGCAGGTAATTATTATTCAGGCTTTTTATAATGTACGCATTTTTATGAACATTTGCAATGGACATATTTTTTTATAAAAGGTTAGGCTAAAATTTAAAATTGTGTATGTATATGGAAACTGAATTTTTAGAAAAGTAAACATTTGGATCCACTTGACAATACCAATTTCTTATCGGCTTGTAGTTGTCGCCTTGTGAATTGGTTTATGGCAATTGAGCAAAATATTTATTTGATTAAGCTATAAAAAAGTTAAACTGAAAACATATTAGTAAAATAAGCTTGGTTACATTAGTGGACCCGATTCATTCAACGCTTTAAGGCCGTTTTCAGTCTTTTCCCTCCAGCTGTCACCTTACTAATAGCTGTATTATATGTCATATTTAATTTATTTGCAAGCTTGTTGTGGCATATGATATAAGCTTTAAGACGTCCATGGATAATATTTTTTGTATCTACAGTGCACTTTTCCTCACAGTAATCTGAAATGCATACTTTGTGCATAACCGCATTAGAATTGGGACCCACAACTATAACTTGAACGTCATATTTTTATAGTTATTTTCATACTCAGTTTTCAGGGTTTTAGTTAGCATGCCCACAGTCATTAGTTTAGTAAATTTGCACTCCTTGAGCTTTTCATCAGCATCGGAGGTAATATCCAAATCGCCATTATAAATTTTTACATCCAAGTCAATAACTGTTGATGGGTCGCTGTCCTTGTTTTTGCTGGGTCCCTTGGGGCTACGCTTTGATAAAAACATTGTATATTATTGTTATAAAGCGATAGTGTTTGTGTATTAAGTAGTGGTATAAAAGCAGTGCACAAATGATAAAATAATTATTGAATTGAAGAAAAAAAAATTAGGGAAACCTTGTCCATGCCAGTTTATATAGCCAGACTAAAAGAGGGAAAAGCGGTGGCCAAAAATTTAATAATAGATGATTGCTTGGTTGGAGTATTCCACTGTTCTTTAAGTTGTTAAACCCCTTTATATAATGGAATAAAAAATTGTGACTGGCTGACAAACGATGCAAATAAATTATATTGATGCGCAGTCTGAGAATATGGAAGTGGATGTCGAGATTGTAGACCGCGAAACACGTTTCCATCAACATGCCGACTGAGAGGGTACTAATTGGATTATGCAGGAGCAAATTAGGGAGGCATCATAGTGATGCCCAGACATGCTCCCCATTTTGCAATGCACACGCGTAAGTGCACACACACGAAAACCACAACATTAACTTGCCAAGATACTGGTCTGCTCGCAGAATAAACAGTTCTCGCCAACGGAGTGCACAACACAGGCGACGAAACATATATAAGACGAGGTCGGCGCTGGTAGCACTTTAGAAGCATTAGTACTAAAAACCATTTATAAAACCATACCCTTCTTTTTTAACACCCCTACAGTAGTGCTTCCACACACACCCTTCCCATTTCAATAATATATAAAGACAAAGACAAAGACAAAGACAAAGACAAAGACAAATTCAAATGCAAATGCAAATGCAAATGCAAATGCAAATGCAAATGCAAATGCAAATAATAAATTAAGAAAATATTAAAGAAAACAAGAAAAAAGGAGATGAAGAATGCTAGAAAAATAATTGGGTTTTTTTTGCTATTGTTGTCACATTTCCGCAGCCATTGGAGGTAGCCTGCGTTATGAGAATTTTTCTAGCATCTATAAGGAAAACATAGTAAGTGACCTGGAAATGTGAATGAAAATAAAATAAAATGACCACGGCTAGAAAGGCGCTATATATAGCTGAAAAGCAAATGCAAAAAGTACGTGGGAATATGCAATACAAATAAATGAGCCAGTACACGCACGCAAAATATCAATTCAAAGCCGAGTTGCAGCATGTTGGAACCATTGTCATGGTTCAATTACCAGCGCATTTATATTCCAACAGAAGTGCCAGAACATTGTCGTGACAGCAGTTTATAGAAGGTGGTAATTAAAAGGTTGCATGCGCCTAGGCCAACCACTCACATTTTTTAGCTCACTGGTAGAGAACCTGCATGCGTGGCATAACAGTTTGGTAATCAAATTGTGCACTGTAATCAGTTCTGGTAAATTAACGCATAGGCCCTTTGATCAATCGACGCAATTTCGCTTGGCGTCCTATACATATTGTATTTTTCAAACCAATTCATCTTTTTTCTTTCTTTCCGTCCTTTGATATTTTATTTTACATTTTCGCATTTGCTTTCTAGTTTATATTAACAAAAAATGACCGACGCATCAAATACCGCTTCAAGCACTAAGCGGGGCAAGCAGCCGCAGCCGCAGCCGCAGCAAAACAAATTGAGATTCAGCGTTTTCCACATTCCAAGCGACATTCTCGCAGGGCTTCGGCTGCCAAGCCAGCTGAACAACAACAAAGTGTACTCTAGCAAAACCACTGACAATAGAGAGAAGCAAGCAGAGCCGCTGCGCGCACATTACTCGACGCCGACTATGGACTATGGCGACCACAGCTCGCACATGGTCCGAGCATTTGCGGCCGCGCGGCTGGCAAAGCCAACATGTCACACATGCGGCGGGGTCGAGTTTGAGACCACTGAGGAGCAGCGCTCTCACTTTAAAAGCAGTGCTCACCAGGTCAATATGGCACGCAAGATGGCGTGGCGCAAGGCTCATGCGGACGTGGAGGTGGAGGCCAATGAGTATCCGTGGGAACCCGTGGTGGTTGAGGGCGTGCTGGCTGCTGATGATGCCGATACACCGGAGGGAGCGCGCTTGAGTGGCAATTCGGACGAGAGCAACGAGGAGTCGGCTTGGAGCGAGTCGGATGCCAGCGTGGTTGGCGGCGACGATGATGGCGACAGCGGCAATGCTGTGGATTCGTTCGTGGGGTCTGGGCCTGTCAGTGCTGAGCACGCGGCGGCGGGCGGCTTGTCTAGGGTCGGTGCATTTGGCAGTCGCGGCAGGGCGACGATGGACGCCGAGGCCCTGGCACAGGAGCTCGAGGCGCAGCAAAAGTTGGGGCTGCGCGGAAATAGCCTTGCAGGAAGTGATGGTGCTGCTGCTGGCGACAGCGACGATGGCGACAGCGATGGCGGCAAGAGGCCCAGCGGCAAGGATAGCCGACACACTGCGCCCTACTTGTGGTTTGCGCCTGCCGCCGAGCCCAGCAGTAATGCTGGCAGCGAGTCGGAGCCGCAGGTGGCCACAGCCTACGGAATCCAGCGGCGCATTCTCGTGCCCAAGGGCCAGCACGGCGTACATATCGACGGCGACCAGGTGCTGCGGGATCTGGTGCAAATGCAGCTGCCGGCGGCGCCGGCCAAGAAGACGCAGCTTGAGCTGAAGGGCTCTGAGCCCAAGGTCTCCGAGAACAGCAGCATGTGGGTGCTGCTAGCGATCAATGGCGGCTTTTTCGCAGGCGCCGTGTATGACAACCGCACAGGAGCAGTGGTTGCGCACAAGACGATCCAGCGGTACACGACGCGGCGGAAGCAGGGCGGCTCGCAGGCGCGGCAGGACAACGCGATGGGCAAGGCGGCCAACAGCGCGGGAGCGCAGATCCGCCGGCATAACGAGCAGAAGCTGCAGGACGAGGTGCAGGAGCTGATGGCGCTGTGGCGGCCGCTGCTGCACGACAGCACACGAGTGTTTGTGCGTGTGCCGCGCACCCAGCACAGGGGCTTCTTTGGGCCAGCCGGCGACGCGGCGGCGCAGGCCATGCAGTGGAGCGACCCGCGCATCCGCTCGGTGCCGGTGGCCATGGGGCGCCCGTCGCTGTCCGAGCTGAACCGAGTGTACAAGGAGATCACCACAGTCAGGGTGCGCTCGGTCGCCTCGGGCATCTTCGCCACTGCGGCCAAGCCTGGGCCTGCAGCGCCAGCTCAGCTGAGTAGCGGCGTGTCTGCAGCCGATGCTGCGGCTATTGCTGCCGCGATGGCCGGTGAAAGCTCGGGCGAGGAGAGCGACCATACACTCGAGCCGGAGCCGCGGCCGGACCTGCTGGCGTTCCTCTTCCACGTCGCCAAGCTGGTCCTGGACGAGGTGCAGAGCGACCAGCAGATCATCGACTACCTCAACGCCAACATGGTGCAGCTGCTGGACGCGCTGAGCGACCCGGCGATTGGGCTGCGTTACCTTGGAGACACAGACAGCGTTCAGGCGCACCGCACGCCGACGCTGCTTCATCTGGCGGCTTTGCAGGGCCGCGTCGCCCTTGTGCCGTATCTGATGGACCACGGTGAGGACCCCACGGTGACTAACGGGCACCCGCCGCTGTTTGCCGGCGGCATGACAGCGTACGAGGTGGCCAGGGACCGGCCGACGCGCGATGCCTTTCGTGTGTACCGGTTCGAGCACGCCGACGACAAGGGCAATGCGGTCGAGTGGGAGCGGTCGCGTGTTCCGGATGAGCCGCTGTCGCGCGAGAAGCAGGAGGAGAACGAGGCCAAGGCGCGTGAGCGCAAGCGCAAGGAGCGCGAGCGGCGCAAGAACAAGGACAAGGAGAAGAAAGAGCGCAAGGCCAAGGCCAAGTCGCAGGCCGAGGCTGACGACGAGCAGGTGTTGGACCAGGCGCTGCAGGACAAGCAGCAGAAGGCGCAGGAGGACAGCAAAACGGCGTCGTGGAAGGATGGTCTGCACACGATGTCCGAGTCTGAGCTTCGCGTGCGCATGCTCAGCATGGCTTATGCGTCGGCTGGGTCCTGGGGCGCGTCAGGCGCACCGTCGACGTTGCCGAGGATGGTCGGCGGTGGAGCGCGGTCGAACCCAGCAGCAGCGACTGAGTCGACGCCGCAGCGGCCCTTATCGCCGGCCTCGCAGCGCGCTCGCGACCGGGAGCTGCGGCTTCAAGCGATTGAGCGCCGCCAGCAGCAGCAAGGGCAGCAGCAGAACAGGGGCAGTGCAGTCAATATTGCTGCGGGCGGGTGCACACACTGCGGCAAGCTGCTGCACGGCTTGACTCCGTTTGAGCAGTTTGACTGGAAGTGTTGCAGCCTCAAGTGTCTGCAGGAGCACCGCATTCAGTTTGGCTAGAGTGTGAGGTTCTGTGTACAAATTGAGTTTAATAGATTATTGGTATTCAATTTTTTTGTTCGTTATTCTAGCAGCTTTTGGAGAAGCAGGCTTGCGCCATGCTTGCTGATGCACTTGTTGCGCTCAGTGCACCCCGAGCGCAAGTACACGCAACCAAAGCACCCAGCGTCATTGTCATTGTCACCATTATCACTGCTATTGTTGTCGCACCGGCAGCCGCTAATGCGATCCAGCGCGCAGTGCACAATATCCCGGGCATGAGCCAATGACCTGCGCACAGGGCCCTCCAGAGAATAAGAAGCACCAGCAGTGGCCGGCTGTCTTTCAAAAACCATGATTCTTGGCTGCCTGGAACTACTACTGCTGCTGCTGCTGGCTCGCAGCATCATTGGGGCCTTGCACTCAGTGTCCAAGTCAGCCACCAAGCATCCCACATGCTTGCTCATTGCATACATCAGGGCATGCTGGGCCGCGTGGATGCTCGCCTCGACATTGTGGTTGGCTGTGGATAGTGCGGTGGCAACGGATAAGGGCACGTCGATCCAGACGCCGGCGACATCAAGGGTGATGCTGGGCAGTGTTGAGGGGTGGTCGACCACTTCAATGGTTTGCTTTGTGCGCGCGTCTATGCGAATGTACCCGAATACTTTTGTGACCACTTGGAGTTTGCCAAACAAATATGGCGTGGTAAAGCAAGAAGAGGGAGAAGAATGCAGTGACAATGGCTGTGCCAATGGCAATGGCAATGCAGGGTCGGAGATAGCGGCAAGAGCTCCTCCTCCCCTTCCAATTTCGGTTGCTGCCAGCTTCATAGTAGGTGTGACATGGCGAGTACCGCGCTGGGCAGTGTACCAGGAGACGTTGGATTCAGACACCAGGGCGACACGCGAGTCCATGTCCACTTGATCAATAGAGTACGTGCGTCCACGGTGCAAGAATATACCACCCTCATAGAGCAAATAAGTGGCGCGCTCGCGGTCGACTTCTTCGAGCAGGCGCAGGCCATGACTGGGCGAGGCCGCGAGGATCACCTGCCAGATATCTTCCACCTGCTGTTGAATGGATCGGATAGGGACCTTGAGCGGAGGCCATGGCTTGAAATGCATGGCGCAGATCCAGCGGCCAGACACATGGTCCCATGGCAGCGCAAACCCAGCCGGTTCAGCCAGGACGGCTGTGTTCTGTAAAGACTCTGGGGTGATACCCATGTTTTTAAGAAACAGCTGGTCTGCAGCAGCTGTCGGGTTAATCGGCCTTTCGAAGGCCGCGCACTGCAGATGTGCCCAAGTGACAGGTGGCTCCATGGCGAGCTCAATAGGAGCGGAAATGTTGCGCGCAAAAATATGGGTTGGGTGTTTGAGCGCAGCCTGGTCAACTACACTGGCGGTGGCAATGACCATGGCCAGTGCGCTTCTTTGTGGCTGGCGGCCAGCACGTCCGATCTGCTGCCACAGAGCGGATGCGCTGGTGGGCAGACCAACTATGAGGACGGCATCCAGGGAGCCGATATCAATGCCGAGCTCCAGCGCGCTAGTGGCCACAACCATGCGTGTGTGGCCAGCAAACATTGCCTGCTCAATCTGCCGCCGCTCCCGCGCCGAGTAACCGGCCCGATAGCTCAGCACCTGTTGTTTGAGCGCATGCATCCCACGGTTGGCATCCAGGTAGTCAATGATTTCGCGGTAGACCAACTCGCAAGCTTGACGATACTTACAGAACACTATGCTGCGCAGCCCGGCATTAAGCAGCCGGCTGCAGATTACAGCAATGTCGTTGAAGTCGCGCTTGTGCTTTGCCCTGGCCGTGTCCCAGACAATTATATGGCGTGGGCCGTGTGGCGACCCGTTGGTGTCAATGACTGTGGGAGTTGGAGTGTGCGTTAGCCGACGCATGTGGTCGCCAGGGTCACTGCTAGCCGTGGCGCTGCAGGCGACAAACTGCACATGCGCGGTGCACAGCCGGCGTAGGCGCGCCAGAATATGGGCGACGTGTTGGCCAAATAATCCCTCGTACGTGTGCATCTCGTCAATGATGACCAGCCGCAGTCGGTCCCAGAACGACTGCCAACCGCGCGCGTTCGGCAGCATGGCTGCATGCAGTGTGTCGGGGTTGGTCAGGATGACAGACGCCAATTGTCGGATGTCTGAGCGTGCGCCAGCCATGGTTGGGGTGTCGCCATCGAGCGTGCTGACATTGACGTTGTGCAGACCTGGGGTGCGGTGGATGAGGTCGCGCAGTGCGGCCAGCTGGTCCTGCGCCAGCGCCTTTGTGGGGAAGACCAAGAGAAAAGTGGCCGAGGGCGTTTGGTTTAGAATGTGCAGGATCGGCAGCTGGTAGATGAGTGATTTGCCGCTGGCCGTTGCAGTGCTCACCACTACGCTGCGGCCTTGTAGTATGGCGCCAATGGCCTGCGCCTGGTGTGAGTACAGCTGGTCGATATTGCGCACGCTGCGCAGTGTGTCCCAGATGCTGTCGCTGCTGACCGCTGGCGGAAAAGACTGTGGCAATGGCGATGGGGTTGGTGGACTGAGCACCAGCGGCTGGTACTGGGCGTCAACGGCGGGTGTGACTACAGTGGCTTCTTCGACAATCTGGTTCTGGTAAAAGTCGGCTGCGCGCAGCTCGGCCAAGAAATCGCAGATGGACGGCGCTGAGTCGTTGTTTGGGCCATCATTGCGACTGGCGTGTTCTGCTGCATGTGGCGTATTGGTCGGCATATTATCTTGGATGAGCCGTTGCTGCCAGCCGTCCAAGCTTTGCTCTCTGCTTACTGCGGCACCGAACGCGTCGATCATATCAGCAATGAGGGCGACTGGATTCGGTGCAGCTGCAGCCTGGCGCTTAGGGGCAGCACGCTTGCAGCGACCACTGCCCTGGCCCTGGCCCTGGCGATTGTCGGCACGAGTAGTGCTTGTGATATTCAGCGAAAAAAACAACTGACGTTCGTCGTCGCTGTCGCTGTTCCTCCTTTCATCAACAGAACCGTCATTATAGCCTCCGCGGTTTGTTTCTTTTAAGTAATACGACGGCCTGGCTCTTTTATTCTTATTCTTATTCTTATAGTTGTTTTTGTTAGCAGTGTCGGCGTCAGCGTCCTGTTCGATGCGCGCCCGAGTCGACCAGAACAAGTCAATGGTTTGCGCGCCCAACAGGCCTCGGAACACGGCCATATCCTGCGCAGTCAGCTCAAGCCCGCCCGTGGCCTGGGCCACACCTGCAGCTACTGTGGACAATGCTATGGGCACGCTACTACTGCTGCTGCTGCTGCTGCTGCTGTTGAGCGAGACAAACACGGCGAGTGTGGCAACCGATCTGAACAGGCGTAGAAGCTGTTGTGGCGGCCTGTCTGCCATTATTACAATTACAGTTGAGATGAGGTAGGATATCAGTTTGGCAAAAATGGAGTCAGGGGACAGAAAACGAAACACGAGAAGCTGAATAAAAAATCAGCGGTATACTGAGAATTAAGAAATACATGTATTTATGTTTATATCTGTTGTTGTAATGGTATATTTTTCTTGTGAAACAATGTAGAGAGAGTACAATATTTGGGGGCTGCTGCGGATCGCGGATTAGATCATTGGATCATCGACGGTGATTCATGAGCCTGGGTTGCGGCACTTCCAGTTGTCGCGCACCTGCACCATGACGTTGACCAGCTCGTCCAAATCCATCGTGTCGCCGATACTGGCGATAATACGTTGGATGACCGACGCGTGGTTGCCGTGCGGCTTGTCGTCGCGGAAGCGCAGGAAGCGCCAGACGGCTGGCGGGCTGTATTCGGGGTCATAGATGGTCTCGGCAATGCGGCCATCCAGGCGGGCAAGATCGGCAAAGTGCGTGGCCCAGTCGTCGGGGCGCACAGCCATAATGCCAAAGAGCTCGTAGTTGTCGCCGCCCAGCCACTGGTGCAACTGCAGCTCCGGTGCATTGCTACTGTTGCGTGTGACGCGGATCTTAAAGTCAATGGAGTTCTCGCCGGCCGGCTTCCACTTGACTATGGTGTTGCACGTGCCGGGCATATAGGGCGCCTTGACGGCGGTGAAGATCAGGCCGTCAGACTTGTGGTAGAGGCGCGGGATGATCTGGTCGTAGACCTTTTGCACGCCGTAGCTGCGCTCAAACAGTTTGACCTCGGCCACCACTGGCACGAGCCGAGCGGCCTCGGGGCTATCGTGGCGGCGCGCGGCTCGGAACGGCCCAACGATGTGGTCTCGCAAGAAGCCGAGCCGCTTCTCCAAGTCGCGCTGCATGCAGTTCGCGCCAAACACGACCAGCGCGTCAAAGGCAAGCAGCTTGCGCACGCGCGAGCCGTCGGGCATGACGTCGATAACGAGCTCGGCGTCGATCAGTGTGTTGTGGTGGAAGCGGCTGCTGTCGCCTGGCGTCGGGAATGCCAGGTTGGGTGCGAAGAAGTACTCGTTTTTGCGCGTGATGAAGAACGTCTGCGGGCCCTTGTCCGTCGCCAGCATCAGCACCAGAACGCGGACGCCGTCGGACTTTTCACATACGAGGTAGTTGTGCGCCAGAAGCTGGCTGATGCTCTCGGACGCTGTGAATGACACTGGCTGCGCCCCTGGAAACGTCGTCCGGTTGGTGCCGGTAATTTCGCCAACCAGCCGCCGCAGATTGTATGCAACGTCTGCCGGAACAAGCCGCCCGGGGATCTCTGGAATTTCGCCAGCCATCGTGAGAGGAATTGGAGCAGGAGGGGGGAATTGGCGCCGATTAGCGAGAGAGAAAAAATAGGAAATAAGGAAAGAGTGCAAAGGAGAGAGAGAGGCAGGCCGCGATCAAGCGGGATAAATCAGGATCAACCGCTCCCCTTCCTTCGTTCCCTCTTATTCGATTTTGGCCGCTTGTTGGATAATTTTGTCGTCACCCATGAAAAAAAACCTTTATTTTTACTGCTCAAAATAAAAAATCCGAAGTCACATTGCTTCAGCAAGCCTTCCTCTTTCTCGCCGCCAATCATTTAAACATCCCAAATCCGCCTCTTTTAACAACCAATGTCCCGCGCTCAGCCCGAGGACAAGGCCGCCGAGCCTGTGTCGCATTCCATTTCCAATTCCGAGTCCGAGTCCGAGTCCGAGTCCGATTCTAAGTTCATCACCACTTTAGAGCCCAAGCACATTCAAATCGAGGCCACTTCCAATGACATTACTGCCAGCTCGAATGGCAATGACAATGACAATGGCAATTCCAATGCAAATGCAAATGCAAATGCAAATGCCGACTCGGCTTCAGAGAGCGAGGCCGAGGCCGACGATGAGCCCAAGGCTAGCAATGAGCCCAAGGCCAAGGCCAAGCCCGACGACGACGATGATATCGACGACCTGCTGGCCGACTACGCCGACGACGAGACCTCCATTGAGCTGATGCACTCGCGGCTGGACTCCCTCGACGGGCTCGGGCTGGAGCGCTTCCATGCGCTCGAGTTCCTGGGCTGCCGGCAGAATCTGATCAAGGACATGCGGCCAGTCACCGTACTGCAGTCGCTCAAAGAGCTGGATCTCTACGATAACCGGCTGAAGCGGATCGAGGGCCTGGACCGCCTGACGCAGTTGACGTACTTGGACCTCTCATTTAACAATATTCGCCGCATCGAGAACATTGATATGCTGGATCAGTTGCAGGAGCTGTTTTTTGTCACAAACAAGATCCAGGTCATTGAGAACCTCGGGGCGCTGACCATGCTGACCAACCTGGAGCTGGGTGCCAACCGCATCCGCACCATCGAGGGCCTCGACCAGCTGGTCAACCTGGAGCAGCTGTATCTGGGCAAGAACAAGATCGCTCGGCTGCAGAACCTGGGCACGCTGCGGCGGCTGCGCATCCTGAGTATCCAGAGCAATCGCATTACCAAGATCGAGGGCCTCGAGGAGCTCGAGTGCCTTGAGGAGCTGTACCTGAGCCACAACGGCGTCGAGCGCATTGAGGGGTTGGAGAACAACACGCGGCTGCAGATCCTGGACGTCACTAGCAATAAGCTGACGGAGATCTCGGGCATCCGCCACCTGCCTGTGCTCGAGGACCTGTGGGTGTCGGGAAACCAACTGGCGTCGTTCGAGAACATCGAGAGCGAGTGCGCGCCTGTGGCGTCGCTGAGGACTGTGTACTTTGAGTTCAACCCTTTGCAGCGCGCACAGCCCGCAAACTACCGCCGCAAGGTCATGATGACTCTGCCGCAGCTGACGCAGATCGACGCGTTGCCATGCCGGTAGAAAAGCGAATGTCGCCTTGGCTCCTTCCTGAAAGAAAAGGACATTCAGAGGCTGTGCGCCCATTCGCTGCCGCTGCTCTCATGCTTGTCCTGCTTTGTGGAGCAGCGCCTTACTTTTATACTTTTATTTTTTGTCTAGCGTGTGTGTCGAGTCTTTGTAACAATTTAAGTCAATTCTTGAGAAAATCGAATAAATATCAGCGTTGCGGAGAACAGCACCATGTCTGCCGCCTCAACAGCACAGGGTTGGCACTGTACACCTCTCCCCCGACAAAGCGCAGAGAGGACACCTGGCAAGCCAAAGAGCGACGATCCCTCCCAATGTTATTCATTTTTATTAGACATTTCGCACTAGCGCCTTTTTTCCTGTCCCCTATTCCTGCGCAATTGTAATTATTCTAAGCGGGCCGTTGTTTGTATTTCCGTCGCTTTTGTTTTGTTTATGTTTCTATTTCCCCGCCGCTTTTGCTTTTGCCCTTGCTTTGCTTTGCTTTGCTTTACTGTGCTTTGCTTTGCCCTTTGCCCTCACTTCACTTCACTTCAATAACTTGACCCCTTTCTTTATCTTTTTGTTTCCTAGTCCGCATTTCACAACTTTATTATTATTATTATTATTACTTTCCATTTGCTCAATGCATCTCGCTTGCATTGGCTCGAATATCTTTAACTGAAACTAAAAATTAAACGGCGGCTCTATTAAAATACCCAGTCCACCCAAACAGCCACACCGGCTCGATACGTTATTAATATTATTACACATTTTTGCTTGCAAGACCAAGACCAAGACCAGGACCAGGACCAGGACCAGGATCTGGACTAAAAGCACACACATATACTATTTCTCATTTTTTCGGTCTCTTTCGTCCTATATTTCTTTGACGCTTCGTCTGCCGCAAATATAAAGATGAAGTACAGGTTCGTTTCACTTTCAAAAATAACTCAGGGCAAGGCACTGGACTGGTATTACACTCCTCACATTAACACAATAGTGTTCCCATTCTGACTGCTAATCAGCCCTGCCGCAACTTTACTTGTTTTTATTTTATTTACATCGTGCCATGCAGTAGCTTTGTATTTGGAATGCTCGGCAAGGATCAGCCGGCAGCGCAAGACAACAGCGGCGAGTCCTCTGGCGCCCGCAACATCTCTGGAAATGGCAACAGCAGCAACAGCAACAGTAGCGGACCCAACATCGGCACAATCGCGTCCAACAACGGCGGCATGGCCAGTGGCGATCCAGCGGGCGAGTTTCAGGCCGAGTTTGTGTGCAAGCAGCGGTTCGCCGACAATTTCTGGTCGCTCGACGAGCGGTGCATATCGGTACTGATGCACAAACTGAAGAACGCCAAGCAGACCAGCTGCGACATTTTGCAGATGGTGTCGACGCGGGCCACCATGGAGGACGACTTGGGCAAGAAGCTGGCCAAGCTGTCGCGCGCCGGCCTGGGCACTGAGGAAGTCGGCAGTATCAAGGATGCCTTGCGCACGGTGCGTGCCGAAATGGAGAGCAACGCCAAGTGCCATTTGGAGCTGGCCAGGCAGCTGCGCACCGAGATTGAAAAGCCGCTGTCCTCATTCATCAACGACCAGCGTGCAAAGAGACGCGCGCAGACGTCGATCATTCAAAAGACCGAGGGCGATCGGAACTCGCTCAGGTCGCAGCTGCGCAAGCTGCAGGACAAGCGGCGCGGCGACACAAAAAAGGTCGGCGACCTTGACTTACAGGTCAACGGGCTGCAGGGTGTCGGCGACCCCAAGCTGCGCACCAAGCTGGACCGCGCACAGATGCAGCAGAAGGCCACAGAGAACGAGTACGTTGATGTGAGGGAGCGCCTCAAGGACGCCGACCAGCAGTGGTACAATGTCTGGCGCTCGGCCTGCGACGTGTTCCAGGTGCTCGAGGAGGAGCGCATAGAGTACCTGAAGACGTGTCTATGGACATTCACCAACCTCATCTCGAGCAGCTGCGTGGCTGACGACGAGTCGATGGAGCGGATCCGCCAGGATCTTGAAAAGATCAGCGTTGCTGACGATATTGCAGAGTTCATCCAAACATTTGGAACTGGCGCCCCCGATCCAGAGCTCGCGCTCGGCCAGCCGGCAGCCGGCGGCGACACCGACCGAGGTAGAGGCAGAGGCAGAGATAGGGGCAGAGGCGGAGGCGGCCACAATTACAATCACAGCAACGGCCAGCAGCCCCATCGCAACTCGTCGGACTCTGACGATGCAGGCAACACGGACAACGCGCTCAATTCCGGCGCGCGGATGCATCGCCCAACACCCAGCACTGGCGGCCAGGGCTCGGCCATCCCGGCACCAGCACCGGTCACGTCATCGCCGGTGTCGTCGTTCTCGCCTGGCACTGCCATGACGCCTGAGCATCCAGCGTACCTCAAGCGCTCATCCACGCCGAACAGCATTGGCAATAGCAACAACACTTTTCCGTCGATTGGCACCAGTGGCACTGCTCGCTCAGGGTCAATATTGGCACCGTCCATGTCATCGCGGCCGCAGACGCAGGAGTCCATACGCCAGCAGCACCAGCAGCAGCAGCGCCCGGTATCGATGCACGCTGCTGCCGCCGGCAACCCGCCTATTTCGGGCAGTCCGGCGCTGCACGGTCAGGCGCAGCACCTTTTCAACGCCAATTCCAACTGGAACAGCCGCCCGGTGTCATCGATGCAGGGGTCCATCGGGGCCAACAGCAACTTCCGCCGTGCAAGTAACAACGATATGTATGCCATGGGGGCGGGTAACCATCAGCAGCAGCCACAGCCACAGCCACAGCCACAGCAGCAGCAGCCGCAGCAGCAGCCGCATCAGTTTGTCCAGCGCACGAACTCGCAAGTGGCCATGCGTCCTGGCGATGTGCCGCCTGGTGGCTACATGGGCGCAGGCAACGGTGGCGTGTACATGGGGGCGATGGATCCGCGTGCACCGAGCAATGTGGGCATGTACCGTGGTGCCAGCGCTGAGCCATCGCTCCCCATAACAAACACGGCCCAGCAGCAGCGGCCAGGCACTCCCAGCCAGCAGCCGATGGGTGACATGAACAGTGGATATGCAATGAACTCGTTTGCTCAGCAGGCACAGCTGCAACAGCCGCCGCGATTGGACTCGCCGCGGTCGCGCGCCAACACGTACAACGGCCCACAGCACACCGGCAACTTTGGCACCCTGACGGGCAACACGCAGATGCACCCATCGCCACAGCAGGCCTTTGTCGGCCCAGCCGTTGGTGGCGTTAACGGGGGCATGGGGCCTCACAGCCAGCCTAACTCCGCGCCAAGCAGCCCGTACCAGCAGCCGATGGGCGCCAACAACCGGCCTATGTCTTCAGCAGGCATGCACAATGGCCAGGCGCCTGGCCAGATGATGCAGGCACCTGCAATGCACTATGGTGCAATGGGTATGCCGCCAAACGCCGGCCCGCCGCAGCCTGTGTATCGCTCGGCAACACCTGTGCAGCAGTCTCCGCAGTATGTCGGCAATATGATGAGTCGCCCGCCAACGCAAATGTCGCACTCGCCGGTGTCTCGTGTGCACCCGCAACAGATGGGCAGTGCTGTGCCATCGCCGCAGATGAACCAGCGCGTCCCCAGCGTCATGAGCGGTAACTACCAGCACCCGCACCATACGCAGCAGCAGCAGCATGCAGCGCCTGCTGCCACGAATAGCTCTGCAGTGGCAGGCGCTAACCAGCTGTCAGAGAGCGGCAAAGAGATTTTGTTTTATGTCAAGGTACTCTACGACTACGACGCCGATAACAACAAGGAGCTCACAATAAGAGAGGGCGACGTTATCTCTGTCCTCGCGGTCAGTGCCGACGGCTGGTGGGACGGCGAGATGACTGACCGCCGGACTGGCCGCGCAATCCAGGGCACTTTCCCGTCAAACTTTACCGACCCAATCTCGCACTAGATTGATTTTTGCGCCAGACTCTATTTCATTATGCGTGCGTGCTATTGCCATTGCCATTTTGATAATAATATGTGTTATTGTCGTCCATTGGTTTATTTTGTTTTAGTTGCAATGGCTCCCATCCTTTCATTATTAGGACTTTTGTTTGCATATATTCTGGTACTTGTCTTTTTTGTTCTTTTCCAAATCCTTTTTATTGTTTTTATAACGAGTGATAGACATGTGTGCCGAATAATTAAAAAAGAAATGGATAACCGGATAATCAAATAGTTTAATGTAAAACGTGTATATTGAAAATTATTTTTAGAGCATAATGAATATTTAAACATGCTGTATGTTAACTTGTGCATTTCATAAGTATACTAAATTTATATTCTGTGAAAGCTAAGAAAAGAGAAGAGCGAGAACTAATACATGTTGTTGGTTTGCCCTTTTGATGACTGTGAGTCTTTGTACCCACAAAGAAAAGGGCAACTGATGGACATTGCCTGTAAAGGAAAGCTGTGCCCAACACTCCTTCATCCTAAGATGTTACCAACTGGTCTGAGTAATGCCTAAATAAGTCATCATCAACATTATATTCGTCGATCCAATCTGACTCGGCTTCTGAGTAACCAGTCCACTGGATGAAATATTGTCTGTGGCCTTAATGATCACGATGATCCAAAATGTCATCGACTTCAAAACAGTCTGAAGTATTGTCAACTGGTCCTGGGCGCAGCAGCTCAGTTGGTCTTGAAATGTATGCCTTGGGTTATGATATGTGGAAAACATTGTGCACAGACATTGGGAGGCAGCTCAATGCAGTATATGGCAGATGAAAGTGCCTCTAAAATCTTGTATGGCCCAAGCCAGCAGTCACACAGTTTAGCAGGTGAGCAGTTGCATTCATAGTCAGAGTTGATAATGGTGGCACTGATCATGAGATCTCCAGCCTTGAACTGAATGTCGCAGCAGTTACAGTTTACTTGGGCTGTCATTGCATCCTGGACAGCTGCCAGTGTGTCGTGTGCTTGACAGATGACTTGCTGGTGACGGTTCATGAAATCGGACAGGGACAAGTTGGCCTGCTTGGTCTGTGGGTTGAGTAGGACATTGGGTGTGACTGGTTCATGGCCATGTACAACATGCATTGGTGTGAGCTCAGTGCCAGCTTGCTTGGAAGTGTTGATCGAATACTCAGCAAATAGCAGGATGTTGTCCCAGTTCTTTTGGTTGTAGTCAGTAAATGCATGCAAAACTTGTTCAACTATTCGATTTCTCCTCTCTATCTCCCCATCTCCTTCCGTGTGTCTTGCTGTTGTCATATTCGTCTTGACACCACACAATTTCATTAGCTATTTCCAAAAATCGGACGTAAGACGTGGGTCATTGTGATACAAGAAATTGCAGCTTGTCTCCGGCAATTGATTAATGAACCAGTAGCTAGTTAATTCCCTACTTGCATATGTGGAAATTCATATGCACACATAGATACCAATGAATATGAACAGTAGAAGCTGTTCATCCCTTAGCTTTCTTTTAGTTTATTTTGTTCAAATATATATCTTTAAAATAACAATAAGCATGTGCAAAATATGAACTAGGATTGTCCAAGTAAATGTTTTGTTGAAAGCCCGTTGTAAATTTTTCCAACACATTGTAAAGAATGCGACTAAACTGGCAAGGGTGGTTAAGAATGCCAAACTCAAAATGACATTTGTATTTTAAAAATAGAAACCACCATGCATTTAATAAAATAGTATTTTAACATGTAAATTTTGAACACATTAAGCCTGTTTTAAATGAATTATTTGCAGCGCCATTGCTGAACTAATATTTTAAACCGAGCAGTTTTGCAAACTTGCAATTGTATTTTATTAGCTGGTCGAGATCAACTGATTAGTCAGCCTTGGTTGTTTAGCCAGATAAACACTCAATTAATAGTCATACAGGGACACACGTCACATAGCTGTACTGTCGCACTCTATCAATGCATAGCGCTTTTAGAATACATAATTATATATATATAGTGTTTATCTCTTCACCTTCACCGAACATTCATAGAGCTCCCAGATTCCAACAAAAAAAGCTGAAATTGATCAATAAAATTGATTGTCTACTGCGCCACCTTACCCACCACGGGCTCTATTTTAGAACCTGGCTACATGCCTCTGGCTACGCAGAGCTGTGTCTAATTTTCTGGTGGTGGAAGTGTCTGCTGAGGCGTTAGTAAAATTAAACCCAAGCACTCGATCTATCAACTAAAGCATCAATCGTGGTCATATAGCTAGTGTGTGCTACAAGAAATTGCGGCTTGTCTCTGGCGATTGATTAATGAATCAATCGCCAGTTAATTCCCTACTTGGACATGCGGGAATTCATATGCACATATAAATACTAATGAATATGAACAGTGGAGGCTGTTCATCTCTCAGCTTTCTTTTAGTTCAAATATATATTTTTAACACAACATAGTGTGCATATATCCTGCCCTCATTTCTATCGTCTGCAGCCACTTTGGTAAGCCATCATCATCTTCTTGTTACTGATTTGGTATTCAGGATGTTTGTTGTAATAGAACTTATTCGTACTAACTAATTTTATTAAAAATCCACTATAAGGGAGCTTAAAGAGCTCCGCTTATCTATTCGAAACTATCGCCCGTGAAAATAGAAATCGTGATCGTAAACAATCACAATTTCAAATAATCGCAATTTCACAATTGAAATCGTCATGTGACATTGCAATAATTGATGTCACATTTGTCGAGATTGGAGTTCTTATCAACAATCAGCATTTATTAGGCGTCAAGGATACCCTCATTTCCCGCTCGACATGCAAGCTCACACTGTCTCTTGTAACAGCCCTGCTGATTATGTACAATCTCATTTACAAACACCGTTGCTTGTTTTTGCGTGATTCCCTTGAATTTTCTTGACCAGCGTTGTGTACCTATACTCTGTCAGCTCTTGCCAACTACGACTCATATCCAGGTCCAGCTTCTTGTCCTGGTAATGGGGGTCTACATGTATCTTGAGTTTCTCCAATGTGCCATCTATTGGTGCCGGATGCACCTGGAGTTTGTTAACCATTTCAGCCAAATGATCTTGCAGCTGGGTCTTAAAGATCCAAGTCAAAGTTCTCTCGCATTCATAATTTTATGCTTCTGTTGTGGACACATGAAACATGTGGCTCTGTGTCTCAATTGGCTTGACAGCCAGGCAATGGGGCATAAACGCATCTCCAGTTCAGTGTACGTGTCAGGGAAGCATATTTTTTTACAGCAGTGAATGGCAGGGCCACCATGCTCCCAAAAGAAACAATATAAGCTCAGAATCAATGCGCAAGGAAAAAGAACAATGCCGATTGGAAATTAATCTGTAAATATAATTATTTCTTGTTTCCATATTTCAGCCAACCAAATGCAAGCATGAGAAGCTCAAAGTTTTTTGTTTATATTAAAAAAATTGTTTTTTTGTTTTTGGCGCAATCCATCGCAACAAATTTTCACCTTTGCAACTTTCCACCTTTACTTTTACTTTTAATATTTGCTTTTTTTTTTCCAATTCGCACCATTTCGTTCAATTTGTTTTTTCTTCGATTTTTATTACTTTTACCATACCTTAGTGCTTATCACACACACACACACACACACACTCTCTCTCTCTCTCTCTCCCTCTCTTTATATTTCCCTTTCCTTTTCTCTCAATGATGTCTGAGCTAACTCCTCCAAATAAGACCCCGCCGAATCAAATAGGCGTAAGTACTTGAGTATAAACAAATTATTACGATATTGATGAATTGTTTGTTGTTGTTTATTTTGTTTGCATATAAAACTAATTTGGTCACTAATTTAAACTTTTGTATTACTTTTTATTAGAACAGCAAGACAGGTGGCACTATCCAAACGCCCCAGAAAATTCAAAAAAGGGAGGAACTGCCGCCCGGGGAATCGGAACCCCCCGAAGTACGCGATAAGCGCCGTCAGCGGCTGCTGAAATGTCTCGGCGATAACATTGAGAAGGTTGATCTGTTTGATGACTTTGTCGAATCGCTGGGCGTGAAGCAGCAGTATGCCCGGTTCATCAAGGATTGGCCTGATCTCTTCCTCAGTATAGCCAGGGGGTCGCCAATGGCTGATAGCAAGGGCATCTTAGCCAATACAGATCGCCCGGTTGAGGAGTTCAGCGATTTCCCCATTGCTGACGTGTTCAAAAGCAACTCGGGGAAATTGATGGGGTTGGCTAAGGAAGCTCGTTTGGTCAAATATTTTATCTTCCTCTTCGACGCGATGGTCAATGCAGTTCGTGTCGCAAATAGAGTTATTTCAGCAGGCGAAACTCCAATCCCAGACCACAGGCTTAAGCTGAAGGACCATCAGACCAAGGTTATACCAAAGACTCCGCACAAGCCAGACATCGCGTTTTACTACAGAAACTACGCAGAGGAGAACGCTCATTCCATCCATGCTATACTCGAGGCTAAGATGGATCCAGATCTCAGCGGACCCATAGAGGATACTCGTGGCCAGCTCGCAGATTATGGCCATTTGCTCAACGATAAGCAGGCAACCCGCACGTTTGCGCCTGTCTTCTACCTCCATGGGCATCTCCTGACGCTTCATGCATATTATCGTGGCGGGCTGTATATTATCGAGCTCGGCCAGCTATTCTTTGATACTGGTCGTTGTACGTCTGACGGAGCTGAAGATATCCAGACATGCCTCATGCGGTTCTGGTTCCTGCTGACTCTTGAGTCGAACATCTTCGGACATTTCTGCGATGTCTCGAAGAAATCTAGCTCTTTCATTTTTTCGCAGCAAGTCGATGTGGAGAGCAAGGGCAATTCGAAGATCGAAGTCTTATATTCGGTTTCCCAGGATGTCAAGGGTGTCAAGGATGTCAAGGATAGCGCTGCTCTATTTTGTATCAAGGAGACAATAGCGCGTTATTCATACATGATTGGGCGCCATGTCCATTTATTCCGGGGGAAATTCAATGGGAAGCATGATGCTGTGCTGAAGCTTTCCTGGACCCCAGTCAATTGTTTGCCCGAGGGCGCTGCATACGCCATCCTCAACAAGAGACCAGTCGAATGTATTCCCAAGATCTTTTCGAGTGGCCTGCTCATCAGCGACCTTAATGGATACCGGCTGGAGTTTGTGCTCATGGAGTACTGCGGCCAGTCAATGGCCGAGTATCTGAAAGTCAAGACTGACAATCAGAAGGCTGAGCTGGTTCCTGGCTTTGTCAAGCAGCTGACCCTGTGTCTTGCCCAGGCAAATGATACCGGTGTCCTGCACAGGGACATCTCAGCAGGAAATGTGTGCGTCAAAAACGACAAGGTGTATGTCATTGACTGGGGCTGTGCCAAGGTCGTTGGCTGGGGCACTGCTGAGGATGCTGCCAGGGACACTGGCCCAACTCAACTTAAACATATTGAGGTTGCCGAACAGTGGGGATTCAATGCAACAACAGTGGGACAAGTGGAGGTGGCCAAGGACCCATTTACAGGGACGCCGCTTTTCATGGGTATTCCCATGCTCAGCAGCAGCCCCATCCGGGGAATCCTCGACGACCTGGAGAGTGTTTTCTATGTCGTTATGGACGCAGTACGCTCAGCTAATACTAAGAGGGATGATGTTCAGGGGTTCAAGTTCCTGGACAGCCAAAGCCTGGCTTTGAGTCGGTACAGCATCATGATGGTTAAGGAAAAGTATCTGGAATTGTTTGGGATAGGAAATCCAGGGAAGATATTCAGGAACCTATTCCACTCAATGCGCCGGTTCTTATTTGAACCGGGAAACCAGTACATTAGCCACCAGCTCTGGTGGGACAGTAAATTTGTCCGGCAGGCCAACTGGGATGCTGCTCCTGAGTTTATGCATCCCAAGGCGGTTGAGCTCCTCAAAGAGGATAATGGCCAGTTTAAGCGACCAGCTGAGGACGAGATCAATGCTGGGTCATTCAAGAAGCTAGCACTTTAGCTTTTTTTGTTTTTAATAAATCTTTTTACGACCCAAAAAATTAACTGCAAAAGATAAAATTATACATTTTATTCATATTTTCTCCACGTTTAATAAAGATTAAAACTCTTGTCTGTTCCTCTTTTATTTACAGATTCACCAACCCACCGATCACCTTTCGCCGATCACTTTAACTGTAAACAATAAATACTTTTAAACTCGCATCTTGACTAATTTTACTGAAGGCTGATTGCATCCATAATTTTCGATTTTTGTTATTTTGCCAAATGATTTCAATTTAACGTTATTCTTTCTTTATTTTTCCTTTCCTTTCCTTTCTAATTCACAGTTCGCATTTTACAATTTAGTATTTTTTACACACTTTCAATATTCTTTTGCTAGCATAGATGATAACCGGCATTACCTTGCAATTGGCGTCAGAGCAGCACTCGGCACATACCAGGTAGTTTTGCATCTTCTAGGCCAATCACAGTATGAGTTAGATTTCTGCTGCACACGCTGACAAAAACAGTGACATGCCTGGTACGCCAGGACCAATACTTCCAAAAGGGAGTGCAGACAGTGAGGCGGCGTTGGACATTCAGATGCTCTGAATGGGTAATTATTTGGCACAATTGGCGCTGCATTCAGACAGCTTTAAACTGCGGGATATTGCGTCTGAGTTGCTGCTCGATACGGCTATACAGTGAGAGATGCTGCAGCTGATAGTCGCGTAGGCTCTGGGTAGTTCAGCAGTAGAGGGTGGCCGGTTGAGGATAGTTGTATTTCTGTAAGTGCCGGTGATGACGCCGCAACGGGTCGGCAGGGTGGTTTGGGCCGGTAGCGTTGAGGTGCTGGTGGATGCTATGCGCG